AACCAATTCACTTAAATTGAACCGACAAAATTCCCAATTTTTTTTATTTTTGGTTTATGGATGTTACAGATATAGGCAACTTACATGAATACTGATTATATATAATAATAACCTAAATACATATTTTTTTCACTTTTTTCCTACCTAAAGAGTGTTACAAACATAATAAAAGAAATTGTTATAATAATTACAAATTTGAAAACTTTCAACCAAAATTAGACAAGAAAATAAGTAAAATAAGCAAAACATATGCACAATATAAGAAAAATATAAGCAAATTATAAGAAAGTTATATCAAATTTTACTAATGCTTACCAAAGTATATAAGAATAGATTAGATACTATTAGGGGCATTATCAGTCGTCATACGACAGTGAACTAAATGTATGTTTGCATGAATTAAAATAAATTTGTGTTTGAAGTAAATTTGTGTTTAAAATAAATCTGTGTTTGAAGTTTCCGTAAATCACAAGCCTACCCGTATATCTCTTAATCTACATATGAAACATTAGACACAGATAAACAGTTATATAAAGCATCAACAGGTCAAGTTTTCATCATATAATGCAAATCAAGTAAATTTGTTATAGATCATATTATGTAAATCAAGTAAACATGTTGTAGATCATATTATGTAAAGTCATATTATGAAATCAAGTCAATCTGTTATAAAAAAAATCAAATCAAGATCCTATTTCTTAGCATTCATATCAAATACTATATGAAAGCTGATATTTTCAGGAACCATGACCAGAGTTAACAAATTAAAGCTAAGTAATTGATGATTTCTCCATATAACTTGGTGGCAATTAGTGAATACAAATTCATATCTACATAATCTTACTTACTTCTCACACACTTAAATTTATATGAGCGCATACTTATCTATTACGATGCTAGTACACCGGCCATAAGTGTAACTAACTGTACGAGAATAGTTAGTGCAACCAAAAAGAATTCAATCATGACACGGACGAAATCCTCCAATGCAAGTCACATCTCCTATTCCAAAACCTGATTATTAATAAATAAAAAGATCAATGATTCAATATGCACATGAGAAAAATATGTTCATAACTAAACAGAACCAAGCAAACATTTAAAAGCTTTTGAATCCTAGAATCAAGCTCAAACTTCTTTTGTTCCACTCCTCCATAATAATTTGTAATGCAGCTCTATATACTGGAGATGAAAGTTCATGCTCCTGCTTGTCAAACTTATCTCTTTGCTGTCCCCATTTCTTCAACACTGGTTCAATCATTATCCTTGTATAATCTTCCCAAGCGTTGAGTCTATGCAATCTGGTTCAAGGAGAGCTTGTACTAGAAGCTTTGTATCCAGCTCCCTGTAAATATTTTTGAAATTACTAAAATATTTCTTCTTGAAGGGGGCATCTTTGACTTCTGACCACTGATCTTGTCAGTGTTTGGATGAACTCTGGTCTGAACTATCAGTATTGATTCCACTATCTTACTAAAATATTGATTCCACTATCAGTATTTCCTGATTGATGTGCCTGTGACTGTGAGTTGTTCTTGATGAAAGCCATGACATAAAAACGCTTATTCTAAAAGATTTCTCTCAAGCACTCAAAGCAAAGACACTGAACACATCTTGCCTGCAAATCTTGAAATCAATCGAGAATCGTCTCAGGGGAACAACCAAAACTGAAAAAAAAAAAAAACAAAAAAAAAGCCTATGAACTTTCCATTGATCAATAATCTGAAATCATGTTCTAAAAGAACAAAAACTGATAACTGTTACCTTATAACGCCCTAAACACTCTTGGGAAAGGCGAGAAAACACATGCAAAAGAATCATCAAACCATGGGAGAATATCAACTTAAAATCAGAGAAGTGGTGCCATGCCAAAGCACTTTACTTTCACTTCGAGGTTGATGTATAGTCTATTCTCAATAGATATAAGATTACCAAATCATCTTAAAGAAACTACCTTCTCTTAACTCCTAAGTTATATCATTCCCGATTCAGGTTATGGTTAGATTCCAGTTTCAGAGATCAAACAATGCTACAGCTTCAGAGATCCTACCTCCGAGAACAAATCCATGGAGCCAAAAGTGACGACGTCAGGCCGGAAACCAAGTTTGATGATCTTGCCAAATGCAGACAAAGCAAATGACGACTTACGACAGCTGCTGAAACACTTTTATCAGAATATTCATACTGTGGATATTGATCGGAATCCGGCGAATCTCCATCTTACGGTAGAGATTCGGTCCTAGCAGAGCGTGAGCACAAGATCCATAGCGACGTGAAAGAAATCCGCAAAGTCTTCTCATCATAGTATTACTCATAATCAATCCGGCGAAGCTCAATCTCAATCCGGCGACTGTAACAGCCCTTGATTCAGATTGAGCATCACAAAATGACGACCGGTCCAATTGGAGTCCCACAGTTATTATCGGTTCAATTGGATTTGCTCAGTGATCGGTTCAAAATTGATTGGCTTAGCCTTGACTGAGACTGAGCACCACAAAATGACGACCGGTTCAATTGGAATCGAACGGTTATTATCGGTTCAATTGGATTTTCTCAGTGATCGGTTCAAATTGATTGGCTCATTGACCGGTTCAGATGAAACAATCCGGTTTGAATAACCCGGATGTTTTTGTTTAGTGCTAGTACTATTGTCATGCGTATTCACATAGGACTTTGTACAAGTTAGCATTTCACATCAGTATCAAAGATAAACCGGCGATTATAATATGAAAGTGTCTTAATTATTAGTTAGAGTTGTTAATGAAAATAGTTTAAGAGGTAAAGAAATTATGTATTCTTTTCTTGTTAACAACTAGATTATTTTAATATCAGAAAAGAAACATTACCCACCTACTATTGAAATGAAAACATTTTAGCTATTCATTGTAGAAAATTACCCACCTAAATAGTTGGATCGCTACAAAAACATTGTTAATTTCACCATGATATTTGGTTATGAAGCTATTCGACACTGTTAATTCCATCCAGTCACATATATTGTTTCTCATCATAGATTCATACATAAAAATGTTACATTTCAGTAACTATATTATTATTGCTAATATAAGTTACAAATATTGATGTTTTACATTTTGGCAGTTTTAATTCTCTTTCAAATTCTAAATAATCCATAAATTAGCCAATTTACTTACTTCATTTCTGATCCTATTAAAGTTCCCATGAAAAACCGTTCTTGAGGCGATTGGGGTTATGTTCTTCATCGGAAGTTTGATCATTGATTCATATGTTTCGATTCATCACTGTACAAGTGAATGTGTATGTTTGATATCATTAGATTAAAGGCAACTTGATAATTTGCTTATATTTTGCTTATTATTTCCCTATATTCTACTTATATTTTGCTTTTTTTTTTTCTATTTTTGGTAGATAAAGTCTTTTTAATAACAATTACAACAATCATATGTTATTTACAAAATTGATGGTTGGCATTTTTGCAGTTTTACCAATTATTTTCTTTATCTATCATAAATTTTACTGATTAGGTGAATTTGTGAATTTGTTTTATGTGATTTTTGGGTTTCATGACTTTGACTAAGATTTTGAGTTTGATATTCTTCGTAAATTGAGTTTCCATGAGTAGAACCAAGATAATTGTTTTGTACACAAAATTCTAGTGATTTGAGTTTTCATAATGAACAATAACTATAACAATTTTATGTAATAATACCAGATGAGAAGTTTGGTAATATGAAAATCTCATAATTTTGATATTGTCAGATTTCATCAATCTTCCAATAACTTTTGTTATGTACCATATTATGGAATCATTCATTATGGTCGATTTTGATATGTTAAATCTTCACTAACAGTAAAATACGGTATATTGACATATAAAATCTTTATAATTTTGATATGATCGATTTTATCAATCTTCCAGTAACTTTTGTTATGAAAAATTTGGTGGCAATATTTGAAAAAAAAAACTACACATCGAATCAGAAAGCTCTAAACAAATTATCCACACTAAAAATAAGTAGATAATTTGCCTTTAGTATCATATAATATTCTTACATAAAATAATTTGCTCATATTGTGCATATATTTTGCTAATTTTTGTTTATTTTTAATCTATTCAGATAAAAATCTTATTTAAAATTTACTGTAATCAACAAGATACGACCACCAAACCACGCAAAATAAAATATATTGTTGTATGTGTTTATATGATATATATATTTTTTTATATAAATGTAGCTGGAACAAATATAATTATTCAGTTATCTGTTTTTTTTTTTTGTTCAAATAGTAATCTCTTTTAGACAAATATGTTATGCATGATAAATATTGGATAATTAAATACATGACAGATGATTTTAAAATGTAATAATGTGGGGAAAATAATATTTCCTTTGAAATTAAATTTGAGAAACTGTTTATAAACGTCCCACTATTTGCTACTATACCAATGCAAACCTCACTTCAAACATTTGTATTTTACATTAAATCCTTGTTTAGCTAGTTTAGCATAAACAGTAAAATAGTTTTATATTATCTCGTGTGTTGTTGTTAATTGCTAGCTAATCTTTATTTATTCGAAAAGAAAAACGAACAAACTTTTTAGTAAACCAAAAACACACCAATATATATTTATTGATAGTCCAGTTTAACACAAAAATTCAAAATCTAACTTGAATTGACGTTGTTTTATACAGGGAATTCAAAATGAAGTAAAAACAAATATTTAGGGATTCATTTTAATGTAACGTATTTTTTTTATTGAAATTTAATTTAATTGAAAAAAAGGAGTAAGTGAAGCTCCCTTTGCAATTTCTCTAGCTGATTCAATCTAGAATCATCCCATCAGCGCTTTCTCGCTCCACCTTCTTCTCAGTGATCAATTTGTAGCTGCTGATCCTGGAATTGGATCGAGTATTTTGAGTTTGATCGGAATTCGATATGCGATAAAACCAAAGGATTTGATCGGAGATTCGTTTCAGGACGAAGCCATATTCAAAAAAGAAAAATTGAGCTGATTTCCAATGGAAAATCCTCCGTTTGGGTTTTGGGCGATTGGGATATTACTCGTCGGAAGCTTGATCGTCGCTTCCGATGCATCGATTCACGAGTACAAGAACGAGGGCTTCGCTGTACGCGCCAATGCTCGCTTCTTCCATGGAGGAAGCGAAGGCCTTTACGCTTCAAAGTTTCATGATTTGAACACTTCTTCTGATAAACCTCTCAAAGGAAAGTCCTTTATAAGGTCAGTCACTTTCTCTCCCTCTCTCCTTCTCATAGTTACATCATTACTGGATTTGAAGAAGGTTCGAGTAGCTTTGTTAGTGACACACTTTGTTGTATTTAGGTTTGATGATGTGACCTTTGTGAGGACAATGGAATCTGCTAGGAAACAGAATGCAATGCAATCAACCTCAGGGCTAGTGGAAGCAATAATACTCGAGGTGAAAGACCGTGAGAGGATCGGAGGAACGTTTCTCAATTCAAGCTTGATCTGTTGCACGCCGGAGCTTGCTGATGCAGGATCTTGCAGTGTAGGGGAAGTTATCATCAAGAGAGATTCGAGTGATCTTGAGTGGCCAAGACAGATCAAGACTTTCTTTAGAGGGAACAAGACTGAGGTTAACATGTCCCCTGAAGCTGTGGTTATAAACAAGACTGGGATGTATTATCTTTACTTCATGATATGTGATCCGGAGCTGGATGGTACTATCATCAGAGGAAGAACGGTTTGGAAGAACCCTGATGGTTATTTGCCAGGAAAGGTTGCTCCTTTAATGAAGTTCTTTGGTTTCATGTCTTTGGCTTATCTCTTGCTTGGCCTTGTTTGGTTTCTGAGGTTTGTTCAGTATTGGAAAGATATCATTCAGCTGCATTATCATATCACTTTGGTTATTGCTCTTGGCATGTGTGAAATGGCTGTGAGATACTTTGAGTTTGCTAATTTCGACTCGACTGGGATGAGGCCAATGGATGTTACTCTGTGGGCTGTGACGTTTTCTTCCATAAAGAAGACTTTGTCCAGGCTTCTTCTTCTGGTTGTCTCTATGGGTTATGGGGTAGTGAAGCCTACTCTTGGTGGTATAACGTCGAGGGTGCTTCTTCTTGGAGTTATATATTTTGTTGCTACAGAGGCTCTTGAGTTGGTTGAGCATTTAGGAAACATCAATGACTTCTCTGGAAAAACAATGATATTTTTGGTGATTCCTGTAGCGTTACTGGATGCTTGCTTCATTCTCTGGATTTTCTCATCTTTGGCAAGAACCCTTGAGAAACTTCAGGTACTATAAACACAACACTGAATTTTTCTTACTTGGTTTTAAGCTACTTATCTCCATAATGTTCACTGCAGATTAAGAGAAACATGGCTAAGCTTGAGCTGTATAGAAACTTCACCAACGCTCTTGCTATCTCTGTTCTTCTCTCTATTGCTTGGATTGGTTTTGAGGTAAACAACTTGCTACTCCAATGACTGACTCTCGTATAAGACGTGACTCAAAGTCAGTGTAACTGAAATGACATTCTTCTGTGTCTCTGTATCAGCTTTACTTCAACGCAACTGACCCTCTAAGTGAACTCTGGAAAATGGCGTGGATCATTCCAGCGTTTTGGAATTTGCTTGCATATGGTCTATTAGTAGTCATATGCCTCCTTTGGGCACCCTCCAATAACCCTACGAGGTGCTAATACTTTCCCTGAACCTTTAGTTTATACTCAAGTGGTCAACTGCTAAACATGTCAAGATTCAAGACTCTTATTTGGTGTTCACCGAGAGATTATTTAGTCGCACTCAGCTTAACTCTAGTTGGTTTCAAACCTTTGCAGGTACTCATACTTAGCGGAAACAGGGGACGACTTTGAAGAGGAAGGTATCTCGTTGACGGGTAGCGGAAATAAGAGTACAAACGATATTGAAAGGAATGAGCTTATGTACGGGCTTGCAGACGACGTTGAGGAGGACAAGCGCGAGTAAACTCTAGGTAACAAGCATGCAATAGCCTATAGACCTAGCCGAGGAGCTTTTAGTGTAAGTCTTGCATCCCAAGTTTGTAACGTTTATGTAAATCTTATAACCTTTGTGGTTGAGTAAGTTGTTTTCTGACCCTTAAGGACTTATTTACTCAGGTCAATGTTTTTGTAGTCTTTTTTGTTTACTGTTAAAAGGAAAAAGGTTGCATTGAAAATCTTTTGCTATAGACAGACTGCTTAACTACATAGTGTCAAATGAATCATTTTAATGTTATACACTTGAGATATTGGTTGAGACCATCATCGTAGCTGTACATTAAAGGAACTGTTCTTGCAATGTTGAGACAAGCTTTTGAGAATGATCTTGAGAATGGTCTTGGATTCAAACACTCTCTGTTCAAGCATTGCCATGCTTTAGATATCTCCTGAGCAACATGTGTTCTTGCTTCCTCAACAGTTGATCCCTTGTGCTCGTTCAGGTAACACTCTACGTATGATCCATCAATCCCATCTTGGTTCTCATCCTGTTAATAACACACAAAACTATCTCTTAAGATTTGATATGAAGCAAGTTATAGTTTCTCTCTTGTCGTTAGTAACTTAGTATCATTAGTTCAATATAACCTTGGCACTTCCGAGATCATCATAGAGCCTGAGGATTGTAGCTGCGGACGATACAATCCTGGGGTTTCTCTCGATTAGCTCGACATTATCTGTTGTTAGTTCTTCTCCCAACAAGAAGTAAACATGGAGCATCACTAGTTGAACGCCTGAACTCACAATACCATTCTTCATATACTCTTCGGTATTCGGCATGTAACCCGACTTAAACCATTTGGCTTCTACCAAGAATGCTTTACACAAACTTGCCCACTGCGAATCAAAAACATTTTAATGTTAAATACGTTTTGAACCAATTGATACAAAACATGACATTGTTTTGAATGATAATTTACCGATTTTCGAAGAGAGTCCGTTGGGTTCCAACCATGTTCCTTGAGGACCTTCATGCTGATCTCCATTGTGATCATATCTAGAGCTTCAAAGCAAACCTTCATGTACCTCGGTAGCTTCTCAAGACCCTCATGGTCCCATCTTGACAAATGTTTTCATCATCATTGACTTACGTAAAAGCATAAAGAATGTGAATCAACAAAACAGAAAAGAGTAGTTTATGTGTACCTCTCAACTACTTGTGTGAAGATGGTGAGTTCTTCTAGCTCCCCATAGACATCGAAAATGTCGTCTATAACATAAACAAGCGATATTGATTTGGTCAGATCAAGCCTTTGTTTGGATAAGGTCGGATCTTGAAGAATCCCCATGGACCATTTGTGCCATTTAAGTGGCTGCTTTCTTGCCTTCCTCAGCTCTTTCTCTAAACCAAGCTCTCTCCACCATCTAACAAAATCAAAAACCCGAAAAAAAATCTATATTAAATTCATTTATTTCCACATTAAAGTCAATGTATATCATCATTCTTGATTTTACTTGAGTGCTTGAGATATTTCTTCTTGAAACAATGACTTCAACATGATGGAATCGATCTCTGCCACTCGTAGTAGAGATTGTAACCACTCATTATCTTCTTCACGAGTCAAACTCTTGGACGTTAATCTTCTTAACGTTTTGTGGCGAGGTTGTGCCAAAGAACTCATTATCTCTCGCTTGTGATGACTTTCTCGACCCGAGCAAAGTTCATTAAGGCGGTTGAATGTGAATTCTTTCACGCGATTAAGTGTTTCTTCGCCTTCTACACCGAGCTCAGAAGCTTCATACAATTCTATTAGACATTTTAGATCATTTTTTAGGAAGACGGTTCCACTCTTCTTGTCTAGTATATTATCCAAAATACCTATAAGCAACGTCACCGTAAATACACTTATATCACGTGAGCAATGTAGGAAGTTTTATTAAAATATAATTTACGTGTTATAATTGCATACTTTCTTGGACATTGTGACCTTCTTGCCTTAGCAATCGAATGCAAAGTGCAACTTCACGGAGATCTCGGCCGTAGTATCCGTCGAGTTGGATGCATTCTTTGTAAATCTTGTGAAGGGTTTGATCGATCTCTTGTCGGAAATGGAGACCAATGCCTAAACCTTGAATGGCGTCAATCATCTCTAAGCTCTTGAATGGATCATCTCGGTTTGCAATAAGTATATTCTTGACCTTCTTGATATTAAATTCGTGTAAATGTACCTACAAGAACAAAACATTTATTCTTTTGAAAATGGTGTTATATTACAAAGAAGGAAGAACTATAATATACATGTACATACTATGGATGTCTTATGATCAAACTGCTTCACAGGGCTAGAAACTGGAGCATAGACATGGCTCTGGATCGATCGTTTAGTAATATTTGAAGGCGAAGAAGAAGCAATTGTGCTGCGAAATTTCGAAATTAGAAACATGGGAGGACTGTTTGAATTTGTTGAAGAAAAGCAAGAAAGTGAGGTTATTTTAGGAGCTATTAAGGCCATAATGATGTATGAGTTTTTTTTTTTTTCATGTGAATGTTGTCAAACTTCAAACAAATCCACTTATTATAAATCACAAAGGAGTGGTGGATGGAGGATTTAGGGGATTGGGCCATAGCTATGTTATCAGTTTCTCTTGTCATACAATACAATTATACAAATACTGTATAATACTACAAAGTAGGGAAACTCTTTTTCTTTCTTCATCGTCATGACTATTCTCTATGCAAAAACCAAAAGCAACTTTATTCCCTCTAAATACTAACTACATCAAAAATCTAGAAACCAAAAACAAACACTAATAACTTACTGAAAAGAATTAGGCCATTTTTGCATTTTTAGTTTAAGAAAACGTTGTTGCGAGATATTTTGCAGCTGAATAAAATTGTAAATATAATTAAAATTTATGAAACCTAAAGTTACACTTTCACGTGATTGAGCTAAGGCAACTCAATTATGAACCTTTTTTTTTTGTTCTAATACGATTTAAAGTGGTAAACAGAGCTGTCCTTGGGAGCAAGTAGAGCAAGCTCCTGCTTGCGGCCCTTTGTCTTTATATAGAATAATTCGGCCCATATTTTCAAAGATTTCTCATAGTCTAGTGGTTTCCTTGCTGTCTCCTGAGCTTCAAGGTCATGAGTTCGAGACTCCTAGACAAACTAATCAGCCCTTTTTAAAAAATAGCTTGCGGCCATTCATAAGTTAGGGATGGCTCTGGTGGTAAATGAATTAACATAGTATTTGCAACAATTTTGTTCAGTAATCATAATACCTATTGTGTTTTTGGTATTTTTAGCTGGATATTCAGATATTTTGTCATCAGAAGTTGAAATTGTTTTATGTCAGAGTATTTCAGTTATTGGATTTGTCAGTACGATGAAAATGACCCGATGTGTCATGTGTATCTTACAAGTTGCAACCACAGATTCTATCCTCTGATGAATCTAATAGTTAGCCGATTTGGGCCATACCTCTAATGCAGACAAATACTATAAACGTTTCTTGGTCACTATATAATAAACAGTAAAAACACATGCACAACGCCTTATTACAGGACCCCACCAAAGCAAACGTCGCCTTAAACATGACGTGTTTGGGGTCAACTCTGGTTTAGTCACCATCAGGTTTAAACAAATGGAAACGGTTTAATGAACGATCATCATCTTACTTAGATTATTGAACAAGTATGTTTTTCCTCAACTAATCTGTTTGTTTCTCAGAATCCAATGCACAACAGATATTGCCATATTGGTTTTTTTATTTTTTATTTTTTTATGAGAATGGTGTAAAACTTCAAACGAATGCTGTTATATAAATCATAAAGGAGTACTGGTAAATAGATGATTTAGATGATGGGGCCAATAGCCCAATATACATGTTGTTATCACTTATCAGTTTATTTGCATATTTCGAACTATGGAAACTCTTTTTCTCTTCACCTTCACGCTTCACTATGCAAAAATCAAAATATTTATTTCATCAACTACAACAAAAATCTTATAACAAAATAAAAGAAAATCAGCAGGTTTGCCCGAGTGGTTAAGGGGGAAGACTTAAGTTCTTCTGCACATAAGTGCGCGTGGGTTCGAACCCCACAGCCTGCAAATTTTATCTCTTTTTATTTTCTTAACATTTACACACAAAAAAAATAAAAACTTATTAAAAGAAACTACGACATAGGGTGGGAAAGTATCATTAATTTATATGAACATTTTGCATTTGTAGTTCAAAAAAAGTTGTGTGAGAAATTTTTGCAAATGAATTAAGTGGTAAATAATTAAAATTGATGAAAACTAAAGTTACACTCTCACGTCACTGAACTAAAGTTTTTGTAGTCTGGTTTGTTTACTGTTAAAAGGAAAATAGTTTCATTGAAATTCTTTTGCTATATACAGACTGCTTAACTACAGAGCGTCAAATGAAACTTTCTTTAATTTAAGTTATAGACTTGAGATATTCGTTGAGACCCGGAAGTTGTTGATCATCATCGTAGCTGTACATTAAAGGAACTGTTCTTGCAATGTTGAGACAAGCTTCAGAGAATGTTCTTGAGAATGGTCTTGTCAGACACTCGCTGTTCAAACAATTCCATGCTTTAGATATCTTCTGAGCAACATGTGATCTTGCTTCACCAACCGTTGATCCTTTGTGCTCGTTCAGGTAACACTCTACGTATGATCCATCAATCCCATCTTGGTTCTCATCCTGTTAATAACACCCAAAACTATTTCTTAAGATTTATATCAAGCAACTTTCATTATTATTATTATTATTTTTTGGGTGCAAACTTTCATTAGTTGTTAGTATCATTAGTTCAATATAAACCTTTGCACTTCCGAGATCATCATAGAGCCTGAGGATTGTAGCTGCAGATGATATAATTCTCGGGTTACTTTCGATTAGCTCGACTTTATCTGTTGTGAGTTCTTCTCCCAACAAGAAGTAAACATGGAGCATCACTAGGTGAACACCTGAACTTATAACTCCATTCTTCATATACTCGTCGGTATTTGGCATGTAACCAGAATTAAACCATTTGGCTTCTACCAAGAATGCTTTACACAAACTTGCCCACTGAGAAACAAATTATAATGTTAATACGTTTTGAAGAAATTGATACAAAACATGACCTTGTTTTGAATGATAAGTTACCGATTTTCGAAGAGAGTCCGTTGGGTTCCAACCATATGATTTGAATACGTTCATGCTAATCTCCGTTGTGATCGTGTCTAGAGCTTCAAAGCAAACCTTCATGTACCTTGGTAGCTTCTCAAGCCCATCATGGTCCCATCTAGACAAATGTTCTCATCATTTAAAAGCACAAAGAATGTGAATCAAACATAACACTAAGAGTAGTTTAGATATGTACCTTTCAACTACTTGTGTGAAGATGGAGAGTTCTTCTAGCTCCCCATAGACATCGAAAATGTCGTCTATAATGTAAATGAGCGATATCGCTTTGGTAAGATCAAGCCGTTGTTCGTATAAGGTCGGATCTTGAAGAATTCCCATGGACCATGTGTGCCATTTCAGTGGCTGGCTTCTTGCCTTCTCAACCTCTTTCTCTAGACCAAGCTCTCTCCACCATCTAACAAAATAAAATAAAATAAACACGAAAAGTCTATATCAAATTCACATCATATTTTAACGTAAAGTTAACATCGATATTAATGATGTATAGCATTCTTGAATTTACTTGAATGTTTGAGATATTTCATCTTGAGTCAATGACTTCAAAATGATGGAATCGATCTCAGCCACTCGTAGTAGAGATTGTAAACACTCATTATCTTCATCACCCGCGATTTTGATCATGAACCTCTTGGACGTTAATCTTCGTAAGGTTTTGTGTCGAGGTTGAGCCAAAGAACTCATTATCTCTCGATCTTCATGACTTTGTCGACCCGAGCAAAGTTCGTTAAGGCGGTTATACGTGAACATTTTCATGCAATCGAGTGTTTCTTCTCCTTCTACACCGAGCTCAGAAGCTTCATACAATTCTATTAGACCCTTCACATCATTTTGTACGTCGTCTTTGATTCCACTCTTCTTGTCTAGTATGTTTTCAAAAACACCTAAATTTTTTATAAGCAACGTAACCATAAATTAAATACACACATATATATATATATATATATATATGATACGAGAAATATATATAAAAATACATATATTTATTTTTGCGTACTTTCTTGGACGTTGTGACCTTCTTGCCTAAGCAATCGAAAGCAAAGCGCGACCTCACGGAGATCTCGGCCGTAGTATCCATAGAGTTGACCGGATTCTTTGTAAATCATGTTAAGGGTTTGATCGATCTCGTGTCGGAAATGGAGATCGATGCCTAAACTTTGAATGGTGTCAATCAACTCTAAGCTCTTGAATGGATCATGTCGGTTTGCAATTAGTACATTCTCGACCTTCTTGATATTCATTTTGTGTATATGTTCCTATAAGAACAAAATATTAGAAATGGTGTGATATTACAAAGCAGGAATTAAGAATCAAGATATAAGATATATGTACATACTATGGATGTCTTGTGATCAAACTGCTTCACAGGGTTAGAAAACGGAGCATAGACAGAGCTCGGGATCGATCTTTTAGTAGTTTTTGAAGGCGAAGAATAAGCAGCTGAATTACGGATTTTTGAAAGCAGAAACTTTGGAGGGTTGTTTGAATTTTTAGAAGCAAAACAAGAAAGTGAACTTGTTGTAGGAGCTATTAAGGCCATGATGATGATGTGTGAATTTTTCTAATTTATGAGAATGGTGTGAAACTTCAAAGGAAATGCTCTTATTTATACATCATAAAGGAGGGTGGATGGCTGATTCAGATTTTTTTTTTTTTGAAACTCGACAAAAACAGATGGCTGATTTATATGATGGGGCCATAACCAAAATACATATTACTATCAGTTTATATGTATATTTCAAAGTATGGAAACTCTTTTTTTTCTCCACCTTCACTATTTTATCTCTATTTTTGGATAAAAGTTTAATAGTTTTTTTAATAAAAGGACTAACAAAACTATACTTATATTTTAGTATATACCTCTATTTTTTGGATAAAAGTTTGCAGAATTTTCCGTTTGCTCTTATACTAAAACAGATTTTTTTAAAATAATTATGTTACAAGATCGATTTGCATTATATATCTCTTTTTTATTAAAGAACTTTTTACTTATTTCTTATTTCAATTTTTTTTTGACATAACCTATACTTTCTTATATAGTCCTTTCAAAAACTATGTATAAGTTTAGATTATATTTGGACATATTCAGTTCGTAGATTCTTAAAGCAGTAATCCAAAATTTCCATGTGATTCTGAATCTTACATAAAAAGAGTTCTTTAACGTAGCTAATATAAATCATGTAAATTTTTGTTTTTATAGAGCTGTGAAGTTATGGGTCCATCTGTAACATTTTACTTACTGCAAAATTTTGTTTACATTCTAATTTGGTATGAAATTAATTCTCCAACCACTAGTTTTAAATTTCATTTAGAAGAAGAAAATTCCGTTAACATTGAGTTTGTGGGGTTAAACTAGAAGCCTTTACTATAAAGGGGAAAATCTCTGAATACCAACTTCGATTCAGTCCATTAGCAACGATATTTGTTGGTACAACATCACATATTTATTTTGTCGTTAATACAGGTTAGGAGGAGGTTAATAAATTGGAAATTGACATTTTAACTGAGCTAAACCAAACTAAACATATCTATCCAAACCGAATTAAATCCAATTGAAAAAGTCTCGGTTACATTTCCATTAGAACCGAACCTGAAAAAACAAATACTCTCTGATGCAATCGGAGACATATTGGACAGAGAGACCAATCTTCCCACACGCGAACGTAGCGCGTGGTTTACATGCGACTAATGAGTAACTTCGAGGCCAGTGTCTTTCACGCGCTCCGCTCATGATCTTATAGGAGGGAGAGGAGCTTCTGTGGATGGAAGCAACAAGCTAAAGAGAGGCTCTAGTTTCATATGTATATGAGTCTTCTGTGTAGTTCCATCAACACATGGTTTATTGAAAAACTTTGACTGATATCATCAATATACCAATCTGATAATAAACAATCAAGCAACATAAAGATTATGTTACAACATATCCAAAATTAAGTATTAGAGTTGAAATCAGTTCGAAGCAAGAGCGTTTAGTTTCTTTTCATAGAGTTTTGCCCTTCGAAGAGCATCTAATGCCTCTGCTTGCTTCCCTGCACGTTTCAGTGTCACAGCTTTTATCTTCTCTGCTTTGATCCGTTCCTCTAATTGACTCCTCTCTTGACTATTATTGTCACTACTCTCCTTTGCTGGATTCGGTTTCACAGCAGCTTGTGGTGTTGTAGTCACTGATGGATTCATGGAATTGTCTATTCCGATGGCTTTGAGGGCAGATAAGAGTTGAGGATCGAGAAAATCTTCAACTGCTACATCGTCCCCCGCTTGGTCTGGTTTAGATGTTGATGAATCTTCTAACTGAGCTTCAAGAGTTTTGGCGATTTCAAACTCAGCTTCAGCTTCTTCCATTTTACCTTCCCTACGAAGCTTCATCGCTTGACGTTTGTGGCTCAGCGACTCTTGCTGAATCTTGAACCGGTCACGGCTAGACATCGCCTTTGGAGCTGAACTTGAAGAAGGACTATTCTCTTTCTCTCTATGCATTGCAGAAACCGAAACAGTATCATCTCGTCCGAGCTTTTCAGGAGAAGGATCTTCTCCTCCTTCTTGTAGTTGTAGTCTCCTCTCCAACAGTTTTGCTTGTTGCAATGCTTCTTTGGCTTCACTCATTTTTCCTTCTCTCTTGAAAGCAAGTGCCTTTCTCTTGTAAGCCAGAATCTCTTGTTTCACATTACCAGGCGGCGCTGACTCTTCACGTGCCACAGTTTGTTCAGTGCCCTGACTAGACTTGGTCTCAGCTTTTCCTATTTCTGGAGGAAACTGAGACCTCTCACAATGCTCACCGGTTAGAAAATCCATCATATTTGGTTGCGGCAGGACTGATTCAGAAACAACTCTGCTTTCAGGGGAACTGGATTTAGCAGGGGAGATGATTAAGTCTCCTAACAAGTCATAATTATCTTGAGCACCATGAGAAACACTAGCAGGTTTGACTGCGTTGTTCTCCATTTGAAAACCAACTAGTAAATCATCAACGTCCATGTAATTTGTAGGGTTGCTTGCGGAAGCTGAAACTTTGTCTACGCTAAAAGCTTCAACCATAGGCTCATCCTTGGGGGTTTCTATTTCTGCTAGCTGTGCTTCCAAGACTTTAGCCTTACTGTATAATTCCTCAGCCTCTCCGGTTTTCCCTTGACGCTTGAAGGCAAGTGCCTTCCTTTTCAAGTCCAGGAGTTCTCTTTGGATTTGTCCCTTCGTTTTGGCTGCTGTTCTTGGACCTGTAGAGTACATAGAGCTAACGGGAGCTTCTTCTTTCTTGTTTTCTTCATCCTCTTCCCATCCCAGATTCTTAAGAGTCGACAGTAGTGCTGGGTCCTTCATATCATTTTCTGTAACGTTATCATCTCCTTCATTGTTTCCACTATCAGTAGCTATCTTCTTTAGCTGATCACTCTCAGCATGAAAACTCTTGCCTGAATTTTCAATCTCGATCATCTCCGCTTCCAGTAGCTTTGTCTGGTTTTGAACTTCCTCTGCTTCATCAACATTTCCCTGCCGCCGCAAAGTTAAAGCCTTTCTTTTCAGCCCTAGGAGCTCTCGTTGTATTTCAGCTTTGCTTCTTCTTCGTTTTGGTTGAGAACTAACTGGTTCAGGCTGTGTTGATGAAGAAGAACCTGCAGGATTATTGTCTTCATCATTCCAGCCTAAGCTCTTGAGCATGGAGAGGTAATTCGGATCGTTTAACTCCTCATCTTTTACATCTACCTCACCATCATCATCCAGAGCATTCATAGAAACATCAGGCAGATCATTTCCATGTTTTCCTTTTTCACGACTTGCCTTTCCTGCTGCAGCTACCTTTGAGGAGTTGTCCAGCTCTTCAAGCTGGTTTTGGAGAACTGCTCCTTTCTTCAACTCTTCTTCAGCTTCGTTAAACTTCCCTTCCCTTTTCAAAGTAAGCGCTTTCTTTTTCACAGCAAGAAGTTCTCTCTGAATCGCTAGCCTGCTTCTGGGAGGAACTTTCAAGCTCGCGACACGCTCTTCCATAGTCGTATCAACAGTTTGAGAGGACGTATCAGCAGCCTCTATTTCCCTCTCAAGTAATTTCGCCTTCTTCAGCGTAGCCATGGCTTCTGCAGCATTTCCAGCTCGTTTTAGAGTAAGAGCCTCTCTTTTCAATTTCTGAATTTCAGCTAAACGTTCTTCTCTGTTGTTAGGAGATGGTTGAGGACGGACATTTTCACGGTGTCCAGGATCCTCAGACCAGCCAAGAGATTTTAACGCAGCAGCGATCGCTGGATCCTCCATATCTTCATCTGTGACATCAAAATCACCATGAACTCCGATATCATCTACAGTTCCCACAAGGTTACTGAAATCAATATCATGATGACTTCCCTCGTATTGAGCTAACAGATCATCTTCTTTGTCATCATCCATACTGTTAATAAGCGCAGATATCTCATCATCTGATTCATCAGCCCCACCCAAAAGCTCCTGCTCTTCGAGCTCCCTTTCCAAAACTTTAGCCTTTTTCAGTTCCTCTTTAGCTTCTACAAGCTTCCCTTCACGTTTTAGCGCAAGAGCATTTCTCTTAAGGGCAATAACCTGACTCTTGTCAATTCCCCCACTCTTCTTTGGGTTAGTCCTTGGAGGAATCTCACGGAGAAGAGACGAAAACTCGCCGTCCAAACTAACATTTGCAGGTTTTTTATCCTCATCGTCAGACCACCCGAGATCCCTCAGCTCAGCTGCCAAATCATCATTTCCTTTACCTCCTCCTTGCCGCGGAGGCTTTTGCGACTTGCTAGATTCTTTCGTAGCAGCCTTGTTCTGCGTCTCAGCAACACTTTGCATCGACAATGCCCTTTTCCGGTTCTTTCTTAACGATATCTCTAGAGCGTCTGCTTGTCTCTCAAGTTCTTTCCCTCTCTTAAACGCTTTTAACGCTTCTTCAGACTTCCCTTCTCCTTTAAGAACTCTGTACTTATTCTTCTCTTCTACTGCTTGTTTTCGCATCTCTTCAGGACTAGCATCTAACTCCATATCTTTGTTACTACTACTGCTTGCCACTGATTCCGATGAAGAAGACACATCAACATCAGATGATCCCAGAATCTCACTCAGAACATCATCCTCATTCTTTACTGTCCTTTTAGAGCTACCTGCTGAAAAAATATCATAACCAATGTAATGCAAGTTTCCATCAATGAGATTCAGGTAAAGGTAGACAAATATGAGCATGTTTGTTTACCTTTTGTAGGTCTAGTTTTGTGGCCATGACGCAGCTCAAAGCGAGCAGCTTCTTCAAGTTTTTTACATGGATCACATATACGCACAGGTGAGTCTCCTTGTCCACGTAGAGACATTCTCTGCTGTGTGCAGCTACCACAGAACAATCCCCCACATCTCCGGCAATGGTGCTGCAAAAGTTAAAGAAAGATGATAAAGCTTCAAGACACAGAACAATCCAACAAGTCACAAGTCTGCTCATTTTCATAAACATGAAACGTAATACAAATTTTCAGTGACTCAAATTTACAACAAGTCACACTAAACTTCCAGCTTCACCAGATGTTGATTAGCCCAATTTCAATGACTCAAAAACAACTCTATTTCTATGAAATCATTCAATTAAGCACATAAATTGACTGAGAACATTACCAGAGAAACCTATCGTTCAGTGAAATTACCGATAAAAATTGGATCCAGAAGAGTTGGTCTCTACAATCGACTGAGACGAAGCTAATATGCGATGAAGAAACCTAAGAACGAGAACGATAGACAATACAGAGAGAGAGAGAGAGAAAGACCTTTCGATTGATGAAAGTGAATTGAGAAGAACATCCTTGACAATGAGAAGCATCAACGACCCAACTATTTCCTCTCAGAGAAGGCTTCGCCGGTAATCCGATCTTCTCCAACATTTTCCGTCTAAATTCTCTCCTTCCCTCCGTAAAGACGAATTTGATATTTTCCCGGAAAACTTAAGATCGAGCTACAAAATAATCGACCAGATCACTCAAGAGGACGAAGAAGAAGACCAAATCTCTCTCTCTCTCTATTTTTCAGAAATAACAAAATAAAAAATCTCCTTTTTTTCCCTTTAAAAATTGATTTATCTGATTTGTTCAATACGGTGCTACAACGGTGCCGTTTTTGCATATACGGTATCGTTTTAGTATAATACGGTGCCGTTTATCCGAAGGTATATAGTCACAGAGGCACACACTTGTCTCCTTGACGAAGCGCGAAAGAGAAAACCCTAAGCAAATCGGTAGAGAGACGACGACGACGAACAAAGTTTTCTAAAATCACAATTCGTGCACGATGATTATCCCAGTTCGTTGCTTTACTTGTGGAAAGGTGTCTCCTTTTTCTCCTCTTTCGTTCATCGACCTCAATTCGTGTTTCTGTTTTCCGAAAGGAGGAAGATTTCAATCTCTAGGGTTTAGTTCATGTCCTTATTAGGTCTTTAATCACTCTGGATTTGAGAAAGGTCAAGGCTTTTTTGTTGTTTCTAAATGGATTAATGCTGCTATATAAGAATTAGATAGAAACACGTTTCTCAGTTTTGGATCTTTTTAGATATTTATTATCAGTTTCTGAGGATAAAGTTTTGAGATTTATGGAGCTGCATCTATGATTTTTATTAGGTGATTGGGAACAAATGGGACACATACCTTGACCTTCTCCAGGCTGATTACTCTGAAGGGTAAGCGATTTTGATTACTCTTGTCTTTTAACTGAAAAGAGACTCATTTGGCTTGATATGAGAGTGACACCAGATTTTGTTTGTTTTCTGACATTTGATGTTGAAAAGAGACTCATTTGGCTGGATATGAGAGTGACTGAGACCAGATTTTTATATGTTTGCTGACATTTGATGTTGAAAAGACTATAAAGTGAAGTATGAAATTAGTATGATGATGATAGAAGAATGAAATATGATGTTGTTTTATGGTTTTTGTGTTCTTGTATAGTCGACGAATAGATTGCATTTTGGTTTGTAGGATCATCACGCTTGAACTGTGATAATGTATTACTCTGCTCTTGCTCTATATTGTTACTGTTGAAGTTGTAATTTGGTTTGTGTTCTTGGGAATGTGCAGGGACGCTCTTGATGCGGTTGGATTAGTCCGTTACTGTTGCAGGCGTATGCTCATGACTCATGTCGATCTAATCGAAAAGCTTCTAAACTACAACAGTAATATTCTCCATACTCTTTGGCTCATTTTCCTCTCTGTATTATATCCCTTTTTGTGTTGATTTGCTTATTCGATTTGAATGCGTTTCATTTGCAGCTATGGAGAAATCCGACAACAATTAGAAGAAGAAGAGGATGAGATGGCGAATAATGAATCAACAAGAGCGAAGTTGAAGTCACAAATGAAAGTTTAAAAACTAGAAGTTTCGTTATAATGTGCACATTGGATTATTTTTTGTGTGTGTTGATTTGCGTATTCAACTCCTTTGTAATTTCTTGAGAAATCCGACTCCGATTAGGAAAAAAAAAATGATGATATAACGAATGAAGAAAAACGTAATGTGAAGATAACGTTACATAACACATCAAATTGTTATTAAAAAGACTATCGACCAAAAATAGAAAAATAAATACAAATCAGCAAAATATAAGCACAACATAAGCAAATTACACGCAAATTATCAAGTTTCCTAAAATCTAAAGACATCAAATGTACAATTCACTTGTATATTGATGAATCCAGGCATCTGAAATCGTTAATCAAGCTTCTGATGAAGAACATAATCCCAATTGCCCAAACGATTTTTTATGGAGATTTTAATCGGATCAGAAATGAAGCAAGTGAATTGGCGATATTTTATGGATCATTTAGAAATTTTAACATACTTAAAAGTTAAAACTGCGAAAATGCAAAACATCAATTTTTGTAACTTTTATTAGCCATAAAAAATAGTTATTGAAATACATATTAAACATAAAAATCCAAGATGCACAATTGGTTTGTTCGAACTCATGTAAACATCAACGTGTACTCACAACGCAATGTACCTAACAAACGCCTAAACCACATCCTAACAGGAAACACTAAATCCCACAAAGAATGTTTATCACATCAGAGACGACAATCACAATTCACAACGCAATGTACCTAACAAATGCTACTCTAAACCACATCATAACCGTCAAGCTAATCGTTCCAAGGAGAGTTGATGAAGTTGATGAGTTGATATGAGAGAGTTGAGTTACCTGACGAAACGAAGGAGAGACCTCGAGCCGTGGAAAAACATAGAATTCCCGAGGAAGTCGAACTCTTTGTTGTCGTATTTGTGAATTGAAGCATCAAAAGCGCCGAATAAGATCGCAAACGCCAGCACAAGTCTCAGGAGAGTGTCCATTGGGTAGGGAGAAGTGAAACAACTGATTTTTCTGCAAAACTAGAGTTGATCAGAAATACATATTTTCACTTTTTTCCTACCTAAAAAGTGTTACAAACATAATAAAAGAAATTAATTGTTATAATAATTGCAAATTTGAAAACTTTCAACCAAAATTAGACAAGAAAATAAATAAATAAGCAAAACATATGCATAATATAAGCAAATTATAAGAAAACTAGGAGGTGATCCACGCTTCACGCGGGAATTTATATTATTCTGTTAATTTTATTGTTTTTTCCGCATATTTAATCTATTTCTATGGTTTATTATTATTTCAAAAATATTACACATATTAACTAAAAGTAGATAGGGTTCGGCAAAATTAATATACCATCTTGTCTCCTCGTATCTCATTTCGTTCATTTTCAGAGCAGAGCGAGTTCATCGGAGCTCTTGGTAACTTTGTCGGCTCCCTTTTTTGTTCCTTCTGGAAGACCAAAGGGTGAGGTAAGGTCTCGTCTTTCTCCACAAAAACAAAAACCTTGATGTTTGTGTGGATCTTAGTTATTGGCGTTATGTCTTTTAAGTTTTTGTTGACTAATACGCATAAACACAATTAGTTTAATTCAAGAGAGGCATGACGTTAGGTTAATCTACTGTTGAATAATACGCATATACACAGTTAATTTAATTCTCCATAAGTGAAACAATTAAAAATCCCAAATCGATTTTGCCCTAATCATTTGGATAACTCATCTGCTTAATCGCAAACGCCAGCAGAGCAAGTATCCGGAGAGTGTTCATTTGGTAAGGAGAAGCGAAACAACCGGTTTTGCTGCAAAACTAGAGTTGATCAGAAAAATACATATTTTCACTTTTTTTCCTACCTAAAGAGTGTTACAAACATAATAAAAGAAATTAATTGTTATAATAATTTCAAATTTTAAAACTTTTAACCAAAATTAGACAAGAAAATAAATAAGCAAAACATATGCATAATATAAGCAAAATATATAAATGTGTGTTTGTGTGGATTAAAATAAATTTGTGTTTGAAGTAAATCTGTTGTAGAGACTGTAGCACACATAGCAAATGCATTCGTGAAGTTTCTGTAAATCACAAGCCTACCCGTATCTCTCTTAATCTACATTTGAAAAATTAGATAAATAGTTATATAAACAGGTCCAGTTTTCATCATATTATGTAAATCAAGTAAATCTGTTGTAGATCATATTATGTAAAGTCATATTATGTAAATCAAGTAAACATGTTGTAGATCATATTATGTAAAGTCATATTATGAAATCAGGTATATCTGTTGTAAAAAAGTCAAATCAAATACTATATGAAATCTGATATTTTCAGGAACCAGAGTTAACAAAGCTAAGTAATTGATGATTTCTCCATATAACTTGGTGGCAATTAGTGAATACAAATTCATTAAATCCATCTTATAGTTATGTGTGTAAGTTTCTATTTAGACTATTGTAATCTCCATTTGAATCAAACTCTTGCAACATCAATAAAGCCAAGGTTGGATCTTTAACATGTAATGCAACACCAAAAGGTCCAAAATGATGTGACCTAAGAGCATTGGAGGAGGTATAGCAGCAATTAAGCAACGTTTACTATGGGATTGTATAATGTGCTTTGCAAGTTTATGCCTTTATTTCGCAAAATTATTGCATGTTTGTTTACTAAAGAAACATTTGATGTTGTGTTCTTCAATAGTGGCAAAGTGCACATGACAATACAATATTTATTGTGTGTGAGTGTGACTTTTGAAGCAGAGAAGAGACGAGAAATGGTTTCAAGGATGAAGCTACATATTGCAATTCCCAAATCTATTTGGTAATAAACCATAGTTCGATTCGGTTTGGTGTGGTATGGTTTGGTTCGGATTTTTAGATTCAAGTTATATTTTGATTTGGTTTGATTCTGTTTGGTACAATATTTTAGTTTTAAAACAATTTGGTTTGGTTTTACAAAGTTTGGATTCGGTTTGGTTTGAGATCGGATGATTCGGTTAACAATTTTGTTTCAGTCAATCAGGTTATTTTATAACCCGGTTTGGATGTGAAATTCAGATTGGGAAATTTGAATCCCAGAACAGAAGCAACAAAACTCTCTGATTTCTCTCATAAACCCTATTTTCGTTTTCCGGCGACTTCTGGTTACTCTCTGGTTGAAGAATCGGAATCTCTGTAAATCGAAACAGTCGTAGCAGTTGTCTCTCGAAGTATGAATCACTGATCGATGAGTGAGTGTCTTTCTTCTTTGCAACAAGGTAGTCCACAACCACAGGAGAACATAATCAGAAATGTATTGGCTTTGAGAGAATTGGGTATGCCTCAGAGGTTGTTATTCTCATTGCTTATCGAAGAAGGTCGTCGAGATGGGTTTTGATCCGACCACGACCACCTCAAAGTTTATCGAAGCTCAAAGGAGATTTCAAGCTTGGATGAGTGTCTCCTTGTGAATGTTGGTTTGTGATCCAACTTGAAGCTGGAGTTTGAAGAAAGAAAGCGTTATAAAGAAGAAAGGTGGGAATTGACTGTTTATCGAAAACTCTAGCTGGTTGTGTTAAGTGTGTGTGTGTGAGTCAGTGTGACTCACACGCTAGAGATATAGAAGAGAGAGAGAGGGAGGGAGGGAGGCGCTTCTTTGTTTATCTTCGGTAATATTTAACAGAGACCAATTATTTCTGCTTCCAAAGATTGAGGTTAATTGAAGATTATTTTTTACACGTAGTTAATAGCCATGATGTGTTAAACTAATACCCCAACTTAGCATATTTCTGGATTTTAGTGACTTTATAAATGAATGTCTGCATTAACATTCAGGGCCTGACTAGTTTAAACGCTGCGGTTGTGGTTGCGGGAGTTTGCGGTTGCGGGAGTTTGCGGAAGCGGGAGTTTGCGATTAAAAGCTGTTTGTACGACTGGTATAGCAATTCATAGCGGTTGCGTTTGCGGGATATTTTTGACTGGTTAGCCAGCGGGTGCAAGAGCGGTTTAACCAAAAGTTACTAAAATAAAAATAATATATAATTATTCAAAACATTTATAACCATATTAATAATTTTTTTTTGAAATATATTTTTTGATGAATTTTTAATTTGAAAACTACCCTTATTTTTTGGTTTTGAAAAATACACTTTTTATATGTAAAATGATTATTCCTAATTTAATAAAAACGAAATTCAAATAAGAAATATAAAATATTAATATTTGATAATAATTTTGTATCATTTTAACATCCTAATTACCTGTTTAGTTTTTTTTTAAATTTAATAAAAATATAAGATTGTTTATATAAAGTTTAAATGGGGTGAGATTAAAGTTGTTTATGCAAAGTTTCAAAAATATTTAAATTTTTCAAAAGATAAACATTAAAAATGAAAGATATATTTCTCCACTTTTAAATTTTTAATAATTTATAAACTTTAAATATATGTAAAGTTTTAATTTATTTAAAGTTTCATTTGGTTTGAATGTGTATGAGGTTAAGTTGTTTATATAAAGATCCAAAATATTAAAATTTGTTTCAGTTTAACATATACTATATTTATTTGAAAAAAAACTTATTAGTTTATTATTTTTTAATTTTCGTTTTAATTTGTAATTATTTATTATTTTTTGTTTAAATCACGTCAAAACATACTTTTTACATTTTAAAAGTGTATTTTTCAAAACAGAAAAAATTTAGGGTATTTTCGAAATTTTTAAACATAATTATGGTATTTTTCAAAAAAATATACCCTTATTCCAAATTTGGAGATATTATGTTTTTTTTTTTTTTTTCAAACCGCAACCGCCCGCAACCGCAAACGCTTGCGGAAAGGAGCTTTTGATTTCCAGCGATATAGAGCGGTACAGAGTGGTATAGAGCGGTTGAAAGCGGTTGTCGTGATTGTTATAAAACGCTAAGAACCGCTACGAACCGCAAACGCTGCGTTTGCGGGTGGTAGCGGGAGAACCAATCATCACCTCAGTGTAAAAAGTATCAAATTTATGAAGCTGAAAGTGCCCATGAATGTCTGCATTAACATTCAGTGTAATTTTCCGCAATAACTAATCGTTGAACATATTGATTGTCTCCTTTAAACACAACATGCATATCTCCACATGTCACTTTACCATTATGAAATTAAAGAAGGATATGGACTTGTGTTTCAGTATATAGTATATGAGGGGTATGAAAAGAAAAAGAAAAAACACTTTACAAATTAAAGAATGAGCTAAAACGAGATCCATTCAATTATGTGTCTTAAAATAGATTTGTTTAAAAATAAGATAAATAAAATTCCTTAGATAGTCACAAACACATTATATTCTTTCTTTTAAAGTGCGTTAAACATCATCATTCTGTTTATTTCTACCATCTAATAATGAGGAAACATCTTCAACTCACCTAACTGTTTTCATCATCTTCATGCTAGGTTTGTATAATTGTATCCATATTTAACATCTTCTTATTACTTATTACTAACAATATAGTCCATCTGAAAAGAAATTGATGTGGATACTATGGTATTTTGTTTTTAATATCAGTTCTAATATATATATAATATATGTCAAAACATTATTACTCATGATACGGAAGAAATGTTATGTTTTCATTTTAATAACTAAACTTGCATGCTTTAATTTACTGTATACTAACAGGAGTGGAGTGGTGGAAAGTCAGGAGTATGTACAATGTCAAGAGACTTTGACCTATACGGAAAAATGTAATCTCCTAGAGTGTAGATTCGTGTGTGTGCTGAAGAGGCAAGGGAAGGCTGGTTGCTTTGAGATCAACGGCAAATTCGCGTGTGTTTGCGCTTATCAATGCCCTAGGATGCATTGATATATATATATCGAGAGGAGAGGAGCTCTACAAATTCGACACATTAGCACTCTATAGTTTCCTAAGAGAAATCCTATGTGTTGCGTGGATTTCAATTACATAAAAATATATACAATATTTCGTAAATATTTAGTAATCTTGTCTCAAGATCGTGTTTGATCAGTTTAAAAAAAAAAGAAAAAGAAAAAGAAAAAGAAAATTGTTCACTTTAGAGTAAGTTGTGATCTACAAATGCATGCCCTCGAATAATAGTCTGATTTGGATTTATCGCCCTCAAATTCATTATTTAGATTTGGACCGAATGTATGGAAAAGTGCAAACTAAATAGATAGGTGCAATAAGAAGATCTTTGTGGCCATTCATACACTCATGCAAACAAATATAAATATTGGAAAGTCCACACACAAAAGAAACACAATTGTTTTTTTTTGGACAGAGCATGAAATCTGAGGTGCAAAATGGGAAAACAGAAAGCATAATTTTAAAGAAGAAAAAATTGAAAATTTGGAAGAAAATATTCTCCTCAACTGTAGTATCACGTAGCATCCCAATATCTTCTTTTGATACTGTTATTTATTAGGCACACCTTTGTTGCATAGAAGACATTGTTCATAGGATGCTGCAACTAAGGGGATTAGTAGTCTGCCTTATAGCATTCATCTGCATTAAATTCTTATCGTAACAACAGCTACCGAATTCATCTGTTGCTCCTGCTCCTGCACTACAGCTTTCAGCGTCTTCTCCACCTTAGCGAAAGATCAAGATGCTATTTAGCATACAAACAAATAACAATTTAAATAAATATAGGAAAGTTGATCTCGTTAGACATAAGGGTCATAATCTATTCAAACGATGCGCATGCAACTTATCTTTCAACTCTGATTCCAAATCAGCTGGATGGTTCTTTGATTCAAGCTCCTTTCTTAGTTTGTCGCTATGTTCCTGAGATAGTACTCACATATAGGATTATATCTATTAAATGCAATAATATTCTCGAGGGGAAACCATTGAGATATGTAACATAAATCTTTACCTTTATCTCATTGTACATGCCATCAGTATATGACTGACCATAGTTGTTCCTTTTGATCTCATCTACTAGAGAGAGAAGCTTATTGACTTGCTCAGCCTTCTTGCCTTCATCTTGAGTTTTGTTGTCGAACAGAACCATTAGGTTACCAGACAACTTCAAAACTTCCTACAGTTCAAAAATTGTAACTTACAGTAAATGAGAATTTGAAACCCTAGCATTTCAAGAATACCATAATGTTCAAAGAATCAACATATCTTTACGAAGGGATGACAATCTTTGTGTACCCAAGAACTCGTCTAGTGTCACACCCTCCTCTTCCAGCACATCACCGCCGGTGAAAACGGCGATAACATAAGCAGCGATTTCACTCCCAAAGAGAGCATGTAAGATTTCAAATGTGCTCATTTCCTTTAGCAAGCGTAACCACTAACCTGAGCCCTTGCAGATAGAACCCATACTACAGCGTGTATCCCTCCTTCCGCTAGTGTTAGGCATCTAACGATTTCTCTACTTATAAACTCAGCGGGTAAACCTAAGTCGGACAGATCTGTTCATGCCCACAACACACATTAAGCACATATATTCAAGGCCATATTAAAAAAAAAAAAAAAAAAAAAAAAAAACAACAAATGCATCGACAAAATCAAGCTTCCAAATCTATCCAGGGTTCAAGTGTATCGATGTTACCTGGAGTATTTAATCACGTTGATTGTGTGATTATCTCCCCTGACAGCTCCATGCGCCTGACATTTTTCATGTGCTTCTGACTCAAACACTATGTTCATGGCTTGCTTTGTTGCTTCACCCTTATCCATCTTTTACTGAATCCCTGCAACGATTGTTTCATGCAAAACTGTTAAATCTTAGCGTGTCATCCAAGTTAAAACATTGTCCAACAAAACCAATGTCTTAAATCTCCTTGCATGCTTGATGAACTCTCTAGAATCTAAACAGTATTGAAGTTAAGTTGACTTACTTACGGTCGAACAATCTCTGGACAGCCTTAAGTAAATGAGAGACAGAAGAGAAGATGAAGAGCCAACAAAGAGATTATGAATATTTGACAAGTAAAACATCTAGTGTTTAAATAGGACTCTGGATTTTTTCGGGAATAATTAACAAAGAAAGTAATATCCGGATCAAGCCTGCGTCGACGTTGCATCGTGAATTAAAATCATTATTAGTATCGAATTGAAATTTCAATAACTATAAAATGTATAAGTTGTCGTGCTACTCATTTTGGCTTAAAGATATTTTTGGTTCTTGAGAGATCTTACACTGATGCAAACTGTAATTCTTGTCTCAAGATCGTGTTTGATTAGTATCAAGAAAAGAAAAAGAAAATAAAAATAGTCTTGTTAATTGTGACTTAGATCACAGATCATATAACTAAATCTAAATTAATTAGTGGCACTGCTAATCCTCTCTTGTAACATCTTGTTCTGCTACATTAGATCTTTCGTCTATAGTTTTGGTGAAAATTTATGTTGCATTCGATTATTAACCTTCATTTAGTTTGAGCGGTCAATGATTTTAAGTTGGCAAAACTACTAACAAAAAAAAATCCAAACAAAAATAGTTAAAGTTGGCAAAAAAAATCTAAAGTGATTAAGTTTAAATAAACGGTTAAACAATAGTTATGACTTATGATTTGCGGAAAAGGACTAATCACATATTCCACCAATTTTCAAAACTAATCAACGATTTTTGTAATTAATCGGGTAAAATCAGTCAAAGGAAATAGTGTCACTAATTGCTGGAAATTGCCTTGGTCATCCTCTTAGAGCGATTAATCGGAAAACATGGGAATTATTATAACACAGGTAAGAAGTAAGAATTAATCAAAAACTTAAGAAAGCTAAGTTTACCAAAGAATGTGACACAATTTATATGTTTACATTATTCAAGTAAGCACTCACTTTTTTAAAATGTGGATACCATAAATTTTCTAATTTGTCCTACTTGTATGAAAGAAAGGAAATAGTGTCACTAATTGCTGGAAATCGCCTCCGTCATCCTAAACTAATTAATTAAAAAGACAAAGTAAGAATTAATCAAAAACTTAAGAAAGCTAAATTTATCAAAGAATGTGACACAATTTATATGTTTACATTATTCAAGTAAGCACTCACTTTTTTAAGTGTGGATACCATAAATTTTCTAATTGTCCTAGTTGTATTAAAGAAAGAACAAGATTCCATATTATATTGGTTTTCACAATTTTAGTAATTTAGCACTCAAGTTTTTAAATTAATTCAAGAATGAAAAACTATTATTTCAAACCTAATTAATTAAAAGAAAGAAGAAAAAATTATTGTCAAATTAATCAAAAACTTAAGAGCTAAATTGTTTCAAAATGTGACAACAAATTTAACATGACACCAATAATAATCAAAAGACAAGATGCCATGTTATATTGGTTTTCACAATTTTAGTTATTTAGCACTCAAGTTTTTTAATTAATTCAACAATGAAAAAATATTATTTCAAACCTAATAAATTAAAAGAAAGAAGAAAAAAATTATTGTCAAATTGATCAAAAACTTAAGAGATAAATTGTTTTAAAATGTGAAAACAAGTTAAACATGACACCAATAACAATCAAAAGACAAGATGTCATGTTATGTTGGTTTTCACAATTTAATAATTTAGCACTCAAGTTTTTTAATTAATTCAACAATCGAAACTTTTATTTCAAATCTAATCAATTAAAAGAAAAACAAATTGTCAAATTAATCAAAAACTTAAAAGCTAAATTGTTTCAAAATGTGAAAACAAGTTTAACATGACACCAATAACAATCAAAAGACAAGATGCCATATTATATTGGTTTTCACAATTTTAGTTATTTAGCACTCAAGTTTTTTAATTAATTCAACAATGAAAAAATATTATTTCAAACCTAATAAATTAAAAGAAAGAAGAAAAAAAATTATTGTCAAATTGATCAAAAACTTAAGAGCTAAATTGTTTGAAAATGTGAAAACAAGTCAAACATGACACCAATAACAATCAAAAGACAAGATGTCATGTTATGTTGGTTTTCACAATTTAATAATTTAGCACTCAAGTTTTTTAATTAATTCAACAATCAAAAACTTTTATTTCAAACCTAATTAATTAAAAGAAGAAACAAACATATTGTCAAATTAATCAAAAACTTAAGAGCTAAATTGTTTTAAAATGTGAAAACAAGTTAAACATGACACCAATAACAATCAAAAGACAAGATGTCATGTTATATTGGTTTTCACAATTTTAGTAATTTAGCACTCAATTTTTTTAATTAATTCAACAATCAAAACTTTTATTTCAAATCTAATTAATTAAAAGAAATAAAAAAAATATTCTCAAATTAATCAAAAACTTAAGAGCTAAATTGTTTTAAAATGTGAAAACAAGTTTAACATGACACCAATAACAATCAAAAGATAAGATGCCATATTATATTGGTTTTCACAATTTTAGTTATTTAGCACTCAGGTTTTTTAATTAATTCAACATTCAAAAAATATTATTTCAAACCTAATAAATTAAAAGAAAGAAGAAAAAAATTATTGTCAAATTGATCAAATACTTAAGAGCTAAATTGTTTTAAAATGTGAAAACAAGTTAAACATGACACCAATAACAATCAAAAGACAAGATGTCATATTATGTTGGTTTTCACAATTTAATAATTTACCACTAAAGTTTTTTAATTAATTCAACAATCAAAACTTTTATTTCAAATCTAATTAATTAAAAGAAATAAAAAAATATATTGTCAAATTAATCAAAAACTTAAGAGCTAAATTGTTTCAAAATGTGAAAACAAGTTTAACATGACACCAATAACAATCAAAAGACAAGATGCCATATTATATTGGTTTCCACAGTTTTAGTTATTTAGCACTCAAATTTTTTAATTAATTCAACAATGAAAAAATATTATTTCAAACCTAATAAATTAAAAGAAAGAAGAAAAAAATTATTGTCAAATTGATCAAAAACTTAAGAGCTAAATTTTTTTAAAATGTGAAAACAAGTCAAACATGACACCAATAACAATCAAAAGACAAGATGTCATGTTATGTTGGTTTTCACAATTTAATAATTTAGCACTCAAGTTTTTTAATTAATTCAACAATCAAAAACTTTTATTTCAAACCTAATTAATTAAAAGAAGAAACAAACATATTGTCAAATTAATCAAAAACTTAAGAGCTAAATTATTTTAAAATGTGAAAACAAGTTAAACATGACACCAATAACAATCAAAAGACAAGATGTCATGTTATATTGGTTTTCACAATTCATTAACTTAGCTTTCAAGTTTTTCAATTAATTCAACAATCAAAAACTTTTTATTCAAACCTAATTAGTTAAAAGAAGAAACAAAAATATTGTCAAATTAATCAAAAACTTAAGAGCTAAATTGTTTTAAAATGTGAAAACAAGTTAAACATGACACCAATAACAATCAAAAGACAAGATGTCATGTTATATTGGTTTTCACAATTTTAGTAATTTAGGACTCAAGTTTTTTAATTAATTCAACAATCAAAAACTTTTATTTCAAACCTAATTAATTAAAAGAAGAAACAAAAATATTGTCAAATTGATCAAATACTTAAGAGCTAAATTGTTTTAAAATGTGAAAACAAGTTAAACATGACACCAATAACAATCAAAAGACAAGATGTCATATTATGTTGGTTTTCACAATTTAATAATTTACCACTAAAGTTTTTTAATTAATTCAACAATCAAAACTTTTATTTCAAATCTAATTAATTAAAAGAAATAAAAAAAATATATTGTCAAATTAATCAAAAACTTAAGAGCTAAATTGTTTCAAAATGTGAAAACAAGTTTAACATGACACCAATAACAATCAAAAGACAAGATGCCATATTATATTGGTTTTCACAGTTTTAGTTATTTAGCACTCAAATTTTTTAATTAATTCAACAATGAAAAAATATTATTTCAAACCTAATAAATTAAAAGAAAGAAGAAAAAAATTATTGTCAAATTGATCAAAAACTTAAGAGCTAAATTTTTTTAAAATGTGAAAACAAGTTAAACATGACACCAATAAGGCAATAACAATCAAAAGACAAGATGTCATGTTATGTTGGTTTTCACAATTTAATAATTTACCACTCAAATTTTTTAATTAATTCAACAATCGAAACTTTTATTTCAAATCTAATTAATTAAAAGAAAAAAAATATTGTCAAATTAATCAAAAACTTAAGAGCTAAATTGTTTTAAAATGTGAAAACAAGTTAAACATGACACCAATAACAATCAAAAGACAAGATGTCATGTTATATTGGTTTTCACAATTTTAGTAATTGAGCACTTAAGTTTTTTAATTAATTCAACAATCAAAACTTTATTTCAAATCTAATTAATTAAAAGAAATAAAAAAAATTATTGTCAAATTAATCAAAAACTTAAGAGCTAAATTGTTTGAAAATGTGAAAACAAGTCAAACATGACACCAATAACAATCAAAAGACAAGATGTCATGTTATGTTGGTTTTCACAATTTAATAATTTAGCACTCAAGTTTTTTAATTAATTCAACAATCAAAAACTTTTATTTCAAACCTAATTAATTAAAAGAAGAAACAAACATATTGTCAAATTAATCAAAAACTTAAGAGCTAAATTATTTTAAAATGTGAAAACAAGTTAAACATGACACCAATAACAATCAAAAGACAAGATGTCATGTTATATTGGTTTTCACAATTCATTAACTTAGCTTTCAAGTTTTTCAATTAATTCAACAATCAAAAACTTTTTATTCAAACCTAATTAGTTAAAAGAAGAAACAAAAATATTGTCAAATTAATCAAAAACTTAAGAGCTAAATTGTTTTAAAATGTGAAAACAAGTTAAACATGACACCAATAACAATCAAAAGACAAGATGTCATGTTATATTGGTTTTCACAATTTTAGTAATTTAGGACTCAAGTTTTTTAATTAATTCAACAATCAAAAACTTTTATTTCAAACCTAATTAATTAAAAGAAGAAACAAAAATATTGTCAAATTAATCAAAAACTTAAGAGCTAAATTATCTTAAAATGTGAAAACAATTTAAACATGACATCAATAACAATCAAAAGACAAGATGTCATGTTATGTTGGTTTTCACAATTCAGTAATAATTTAGCATTCAAGTTTTTTAATTAATTCAACAATCAAAAACCTTTATTTCAAACCTAATTAAAAGAAGAAAAAAAAAACCTTTGTCAAATTAATAAAAAACTTAAGAGCTAAATTGTTTTCACAATTCATTAACTTAGCTTTCAAGTTTTTTAATTAATTCAACAATCAAAAACTTTTTATTCAAACCTAATTAAAAGAAAGACAGAAAAAAGTTATTGTCAAACAATGTGCTTACTTTGGTTTATTGTTGTCATGTATCTATGCATCGCAAGTCTCTTGGCATATACATTGATACATTCTCCTGAAATTATAAAACACTGTAAATCAACATATCATCAACGTTCAGATCAGAAGAAGTTAATTAACAAGAAGAGGAAACAGAGAATAATTACATGACGAAGAAGCTTCCGTTGGAACCTCCCTGCAACTATCAAACCGTCTCTTGAGACCACTGAGATATTATTGATTCACATCAAACACAATTTGGTCATCTGCCACAAAATCACTAGCCAAGGAGGAAACAGAGTGACACTTTAATTTCAATAACAATCATATCTAAATTGCTACAGCCAAAATACAATATCTCTAAGTTGTAGCGTTAAAACTCATTAACAGATCTTTGAAAAGAAAAATAAAAACAAATCCCAAACAGAAGATTCACTATTCAATCGCAGAGTCTCGATTTGCACAATAGAAGACAATCTCACCAATCAAATCGCAGTTCCAATCCAAAATCATTCCTATAGAAGGAAATCGAATTTCCGAATCAGTTTCGATATGAATCAAATTCAATGGAAGGAGATTCAAGTACCTGAGATTCCGACTCGTTCATGGCTAATCAGACTCCGGTGACTCTCCGATACAGCTCTCTCGTGGTGTGACCGGTTTCCGTCAGTCAGAAGTCACACGGCGATCTCATTTTGTAGCTTTACGGGTACGATAACGGCAGATTGATGGAGAAGAAGAGATCTGAGATTCGGGGAAAAAAATTCAAATATCTTTGAGGATCGCTTGATTGTTCTCAACGGCTTGATTTATGTTAAGTCACATAAATCAAAATTCAAAAGGTTCGTTGTATTAAAAAGGTTCAAAATTCGGTTACGTGCGGAGATAATTGTACAATTGGGTCCTTAATGGACTTATACACCTTGATGGGCTGGCTTTAAGACTCGTGTGTACAATCAAATACAATCGTATCTAATAAGAACAGAATTGGGTCCAAGCGGAACAGAGCAAATACTATTGATTTTCAAAATTGATTTTTTGAACCACAATTATTTATGAAAAAAAAGTTTATAAAATCCAACAAACAGTTGAATACTAGTAGAAAACTGTTATTAAAAATAATATAAATAACATTAAAAGAATAATTTTAAAAAATTTAATTACAAAATCATTAAATGAAAATTCTGTTAAATGAAGTCGAAATGGTTCTTTGGCTCGGCTTGTGTCCGAATTCGGAACACATCTGTCTCGCTAATTTCAGTTTTAATTTAGCAAAGCTCAAAAAAACCCTAGAAATCGTTCCTTTTCTTTTTCTACTTGTCCCCCAAATTTGGATCCTTTGCGGTTCTGAGTTTTCGCAAGTGAATGAATCCTTAAAAGATCCATCACTCATCAATCAATCTTTACCGTCTCTCAAACCGGAACTTGTTCTACGATCTTTAGTAAGTTTGCAGAAATGTTGAGCTTTTGATTCGTTTTCTCGAATTGAAATTTTGAGCACTTGGTAGGTGTTGTAGTAGGCTTTACCTCTTCATGTATTCCCTGATTCACCATGGAAGAAGATTGCTCGATTTCCAGAAATGTCGTAATTTGATAATTTCTTCAGTGAATCTTTTTCCAAATGACTCTGCTTTCTCCGATTCGTTCTTCTCTACTAGTGCTGGAGATGGTCGAAAAGGTCAAAACTTTACGGTCTCTTACCTCATTGATTCACTGGGTTTCACTACGAAACTCGCAGAACCGATCTCAAAGAAAGTCACTTTCGACGAGAAGAGAAATCCAGACTCTGTTCTGAGTCTTCTTACAAGCCATGGATTCACAGATTCTCAGATCTCCGACATTATTACGGATTATCCACAGTTGCTTATAGAAGATGCGTAGAAGTCTCTTGCTCCAAAGCTTCAGTCTTTGCAGTCAAGAGGAGCTTCAAGCTCTGAGCTCACTAAGATACTTTCAAAAGTTCCAAAGATCTTGGGGTTGAAAGAGGACAAAACCATCAGCACATACTATGATTTCGTCAAAGAGGTTTCGTCAAAACCATCAGCAATCTTCACCGGAAGGCAACGACATTGAGGCAACCTCCAAGCAAAAACCATAAGAAAAAGGTTGAATCTTTGACTGCTACAACAAGTACAGTAGTTTAGTACTAAGAGAGCGAATACAACAAGTAGTTTATGCTATCTGAAACAAAAGAGAATATGTTTCATAGACCCACAAGAATGAGCAACGTCAAAGTTTGTTCCTTTTTTTTTTGTTAGGCTTAGATTGGTCTATGAATGTTTTGACAATTGACATTAAATGATGAACCTTTTCTTTATGTATCTCCAATTTGTAACGGGGAAGCAGAAATAAGAGATCTTGTTGATGAATTTTTTTTTTGCAATTTAGAGTTTTGTAATCGCAAGATCAAAGAGGTTTTTGGAATCTCTGCTGAATGTGAATGAATACTTTTTGAGCCTCCAAAAGAAAAACAAGCCAATAAAGCTGAAAGAGCGACTAAAACAGCAACAAAACGAAAACCACACCAAAGATCAGTTGAAACTCCAACGAAGAAAGATTTGTTCATATATAAAAATTAGATTTGATATATCAAAATCTCCTAATCCCTAAACCTAACAACGACCACTTTCTTCTTCTCTCTCTCAGTACGTTTAGAGCATTTGTACATAAACCCGTACTGTTTCTCCCCCATCCCTCTCTCTCTAATCTTGGCATCCAACAACTCCGTGTCGCAGACCGAGCCCTCATCTTCTTAATGAAGTCTATACGGCTGCTGACAATTGGTGACCATTGCTTTGAGACGCATTTAAACCTCGTGAGAGATTTCACGCAGTGGATTTTGTTGATTATCTCCACCGTTAGATCCAGAGGAATATAGATTTCATCGCCGGTGGTGGAGATTTCACGGCAGCGAAGAGGTTGAGTTTTTTGTTTTTTGTTTCCTCTCTTCATTGTATCTTTGGTTCGCTTTGTATAAATCCTAATTAATCATAGAAGACATAATGCTTTAGTAGTTTAGGTCAGAATTAAGCTCGGTAAAGTTTCCGTGTGCTCTAAGTTAAATCATTTTAATCTTAACATTTATTTTATAACCCGGTTCGAGTTTGAAATGAAAATATTGGTTCAGGTTGTGAAATTTTGATTCGGTTTAGAGATTTGTGCAACCAAACCGAGGTTCTTTTTGTTATTACTTATTAGGTAAGGGTTCGAACCCAAGCAGATACAAAACTCTGTAGAGGAATTAGGGATCGAACTCCAAAATCAACAAAGCTCTCTGCTTTCTCTGACTCATAAACCCTATTTTCGTTTTCCGGCGACTCTCTGGGTGAAGTGGAATCTCGGAAAGACGAAACAGTCATATCAATCGTCGGTCAAGATATGAATCTCTGATCGATGTGTGAGTCTTTCTTCTCCGCTTGTTAGTAGAAATCTGGGCAATTCGAGATTTCATTCGTTACACACACATCAGAAATACATATTTTCACTTTTTTTCCTACCTAAAGAGTGTTACAAGCATAATAAAAGAAATTAATTGTTATAATAATTTCAAATTTTAAAACTTTTAACCAAAATTAGACAAGAAAATAAATAAAATAAGCAAAACATATGCACAATATAAGCAAAATATAAGCAAAATATAAATGTGTTTGTGTGGATTAAAATAAATTTGTGTTTGAAGTAAATCTGTTGTAGAGACTGTAGCACACATAGCAAATGCATTCGTGAAGTTTTTGTAAATCACAAGCCTACCGGTATCTCTCTTAATCTACATTTGAAACATTAGATAAATAGTTATATAAACAGGTCCAGTTTTCATCATATTATGTAAATCAAGTAAATCTGTTGTAGATCATATTATGTAAATCAAGTAAATCTGTTGTAGATCATATTATGTAAATCAAGTAAACATGTTGTAGATCATATTATGTAAAGTCATATTATGAAATCAGGTATATCTGTTGTAAAAAAAGTCAAATCAAATACTATATGAAATCTGATATTTTCAGGAACCAGAGTTAACAAAGCTAAGTAATTGATGATTTCTCCATATAACTTGGTGGCAATTAGTGAATACAAATTCATTAAATTCATCTTAAAGTTATGTGTGTAAGTTTCTATTTAGACTATTGTAATCTCCATATGAATCAAACTCTTGCAACATCAATAAAGCAAAGGTTTGATCTTTAACTGTAATGCAACACCAAAATGATATGAACATTGGAGGAGGTATAGCAGCAATTAAGCAAAGGCTATATGCCTTTATTTTGCAAAATTATTGCATGTTTGTTTACTAAAGAAACATTTGATGTTGTGTTCTTTTTTTTCTTTTTTTTCTTTTTTTTTTTTTTTTTTGGTAAAAATGTTGTGTTCTTCAATAGTGGCAAAGTGCACATGACAATACAAAATTGATTATGTGTGTAAGTGTGACTTTTGAAGCTGAGAAGAGAAGAGAAGAGAGTTGGTTTCAAGGATGAAGCAACATATTGATATTCCAATGTGGTTTTGGTTAACCGATGTGGTTCGGGTTTCTCGACATTTAGACCCCATTTTGTACTAAACCATAGTTCGATTCGATTTGGTTTAGTTCGAAATTTCAGATTTAATAAAATAAATTCAATTCGGGATCAAGTTATATTTTGATTTGGTTTGATTCTGTTTGGGGCAATTAATTTGGTTTGGTTTTACAAAGTTTGGATTCGGCTTGGTTTGAGATCAGATGATTTGGTTAACAAATTTCCTTTTTCATTCAATCAGGTTATTTTATAACCCGGTTTGAATCTGGGCAATTCGAAGTGGTCGACCACTTATTTGTTGTAACAAAATAACTCAACATATATCATGATAACACTATTAGATCTGCAACTTGTCCACCATTTGCATAATATTTTGATTTTTGTAAAAGCACGTCCATTTCCATGCTATCAACGTATATTTTGATTTGCCATGCAGGCGTATTAAGTGGTCGTCCATGATCTCAAAACTTTATAGACGTGCCTCTGTAGGGGTAATTCTGGAAGAATTTCTGTTCCATGAGGAGAGAGGTTTAATTTTCAACTTATCACTGCTATTTTTTTATTTTTGAGTCAACTCTGTATATTCACCTCAATCACCCTTTTGAAAAAATGTTAAATTTATTCATCTACAAGAATGCAAACTTTTGTTTGAGTTCATATCTCCATCTAGTGGCAAACCACATCATAAGTCCACCATTTTCATATATGTTATGCCCCGAGATGCGAAGAAACGATAACCGGTTAAGACCAAAAACATGTTATTTCAATATTCACTAAATCAAAATTAGTTGATAGAATTGTTAAATTTATAAAGAGTTGTTGTTAGATTTTCAAACAGTTTGTATATTTAAAAAAATATATCCAATATTTTACTATCATGATTTTGAAAATTTTCTTTCAAGAGTTAAATTGTTTAAAATCCATATCCCAATAACAAGGATTTTAATGGATTCATGAAATCATTAAAACACAAACTTTTGAATAAAAATGAATTTTGTATGGAATTTAAAAAATCATCAAACCAATATCCAGCTGTGACAAGTAAGACAAAACACAATTAAGTGAAAAGGGAACACTAATTGTTACATATCCAACCGCTCTGTGGCTTAGAGTTGGACAAATTTAAAGGATTAAGCGATTCAATAACAATGAGAAGCTAGCTTGGTGCTGCAGTCGTTCGAGAGAGGATTTTTAAGGGAAGAAGATGACGACCAACTCCCTTTATATCTCAGATTATATGTTGAATACGGGATTATCAATTGTCACAAGCATCAAATATGGTTAGAAGACTCGAATGAAAATACAGTTCCAACTTTTTTTTTCTTCTTAGTCGATATTGTCAATATATTGAAAGCACACACAAGACACAACATGCAATAGGAGATATCAAACAGAGCACAAAGCCTACACCATATTATCTTACCTTGACCTCTTGATCGCCACCAAAATCAAATCGATTATGAGTTCAAGTTCTTCTCGTACGTAAGTTGTATGTTCTGAAAATTATTCAAAGATAGTATAGGAACCGTAAGAACAAAACGAAACACAAAATGTGATGTTTGTGTGGATTAAAATAAAACAACATCCTTGTTCCTAGAAAACTCGCCAAAAGTACATAATGATGTTTCTGCGCCTAAAACAAACAAAAAAAATTGCCCACTAAAGAACAGTTTTTATAAAAAAAGGAGAAAAACAGTTTTGTCAAAGATTCGAACCCAGGTTCCTGCGAATATTTACAAGCACTTGAACCACTACACTACAGCCAACTTCTGTAATTTAGCGCCCATAAATTATATATATTATATGTATCCAAGTGCCGGCTCTGATAGTAAAGTACACATCGATCAAATCATTAGAGCAAGGATGTTGTTGTCATGGTAAAAAGTAAATATGCATCCAAAATGAAATAATCTAATCAAATGTATTAGTATAGGCACATGCCAAAAGCATGTCCATTACTAAAAAGTCGAAGTATAAATAGTAGATTAGCTAGCTGTCATGTAACAGTGACACATAAGATATAATAAAGAAAATACCAAAAACAAATGCCATTAAAAAATTTCACTGGTGATAGCTTGTTAATGATATTTTCTGAACTTTTTCTAATCAGTTTTTTTTAGTAAGACTGATTATATATAATAACACACATACATATTTGTTTTTCCTACCTAAAGAATGTTACAAACATAATAAAAGAAATGTTATAATAATTGCAAATTTGAAAACTTTCAACCAAAATTAGACAAAAGTGAATAAATAAACAAAATTTAGCAAAAATTGAGCAAAATATAAGCAAAATATAAGAAAATTATAAGAAAATTATATAAACTTTCACTAATACTTACCAAAGTATATAAGAATAGATTAGTTACTACTCGGGCCATTATCAATTGTCTTACGACAGTTAACATTAACTGAATGTATGTTTGTGTGGATTAAAATAAAGTTTGGTTACGCTTCATATTGATGAATTTCAGTATGGTTATGTTCGGTTTGCTTGTTTTTACCCATTTTAAATGTAGTTTTTTTATTATAAGATAATTCCACATAAAATAAGTTAAGTGAAAATATTTTATTCAAAAGATTAAAGTAAGGGAGTCTGCGAAGCAGATGTCTCAGTTTCAGCATCTGATCACTATGTTGATCGCTTTGGGGATGTTTGAGACGGCGGTTCACTACTACGAATACGCCGAGTTCAACAAGACTGGGACGAGGCCGCAGGAAGTGACTGTGTGGCAGTGTGGGATGTGACTTTCTCTTCTATGAGGAAGACTCTCTCACGCCTTCTTCTTCTGCTTGTCTCGATGGGATTCAGTGTGTTACAGCCGACGCTGGACGGTTTCACACCGAGGATGCTTCTTCTCGGAGGCGTCTACTTTCTGGCGAGGGAGGCTGATGAGTTGTTCGGTCAGCTGGGGAGCATTGACGACTTCGCTGGGAGGAGAGTCGAGAATGTGGCGTTTCCCTCAGCTCTGATGGATTCTCTTCTCATCGTGTGGGTCTTCGTATCCTTGTCGGGGACACTTGACAGACTTCGGGTAAGATATTGAAACTGATTTCATATCTTCCAACTTTTAGAGTTATTTTTTTTTTTCATTTCTAATATTCACACTGATTTCAGGTTAGAAACATGGCTGAGCGCGCATTTTACATTTTTATATTACATATAAATATTCACAAAATTCCATTTTGATTTAATTATATACTTTGCTGCAAAAAAAAAATTTGTGTTACGAATTTGAATCAAACCATCTTCGAGTTGGTAAACTTTATTTATTCCGCTCTAGATTTTCTGTATAGATATTCATAAAATATAATAAAAACTGTTGATGTTATTTTTCAAGCAAATAACAATACATTTTACAGTTTTACTTAACATTTTACCAAAAAAAAAACAATACATTTGCTATCACTTTATCTTGGGCGCTTATTTATTTGCTATGACCACAACAACAACCTTCAAGTTTAGTACACTTGCCATAAGTGTAATCATATCTTTTACAAAAGTTAGTGCAACCAAACAGAATATCTTTTTGACACGGAAAAAATATTTGAAAGCAAGTCAAGTCTCCTATTCCATAACCTGTTTAATATAACAAGAAAAAAAAATCAATATTCTCATGAAAAACAAAAAATCCATGACTAAAGAGTTGAGGTATAAAAATAACCTTGATTAGGTCTAGCAGTCATTGGCATACGACAGTTAACAGAAGATAAGAAGAAAATAGATATGAAAACAACAAATATGACTAAACTTTTCATGGTGATGGCCATTTTTATGAATTTTAAATTTCTTAGTGAATTCTGGTTTGCTTTGTTAACTGGTTATATCTTATATAGTAACACTGTAACACAAACGATATAAAAGGAAAACATTTTCTGATCAAAAATGAAAGAAAAATATATTTTCATTTATGCTTTCACCTAAATTGATGTGATTTGATTTTCTATCGGTCAAATGACCAAAATATATTCAAATTTCAAAGCAATAAATACTATGTGATTTTTCTCTTTCTTAGGAGTATGAATTTCTTATTAATTTTTTTTTTTTTTGAATTTACAAATTATATAAATTTTTATCGTTAGGCATTTGTAAATTGTATTGAGAATGAACAAATTATACTTGCAATATGAGAGAAAATTTGTAATGAATGAATATATGTAAATCAAATAATAATGGAAATAAGAATGAAAACTTTATCAAATTAACTAATCGATAAACTGATCACTAGAAACTAGAAAGCAACATAAGCCCTAAATAATAATATATATAAAAAATTTAAAGATATATACGATAATATTCTAATAAATACACGCCAAAAAAAAAGGAATCTATTACACATCAAATTCCAAATTTTAATACTTTCGCAAGCAGAAATCAGAGGAATCCGACGTGGCTACTAATTCAAAGGTTGTTGCTGAGCTGGATTAGGAGTTAGTGATGTGGCAAAGAGCTTGGCTTGCATAAATGCCCCATTATCATAGTTCATAGAGCACATGGACGGAATCTTGATTTATCTGCATTTTATCCCAAACCAGCAGCTTATGATTCTCAGACCGAGTTTCTGTCTCTAACCGGAAATCAAATCTGAATGTGAGAGATTGGATGCTGAATCACGATCCCGATACTTGTCATCGGCTGAAATTACAGTTGATCAACTTGCCTACTGAGTCGAGCCACAAATTCGGAGCTCTAGAGCGTCAAATTCGGAGAATTTTGCATTTGCTTCTGACGCTATGAGTCGGTGACGATCATTACGAGATCGGTGTATAGACTCTTTGTATACGTTGTTTTGATATTTCAATAACGGAGTTTCGAGTTTTGTTTGTGATGCTGGATCGAAGGATTCGCCAAATATAAGTAGAATCGATCTCGCACAGATCAATTTAGCAGAAGCAGAAGAAGAAGAAGAAGAAGAAGAAGCAGAAGAAGAAGAAGATCCCGATCTGCAAACCCTAGCCAACATTTTAATTTCGCCTGATTTCGTTGTACCTTCTCGATCTCTGAAATCTATGATGTTAAGTCTGTAACAAGTGAGCTAAACGAGTGACCGGTTCAATTTGATTGGCACACAAACCGGTTTAATCGGATTGGCACATTAACCGGTTCAATTGAAAAACGATTTGCTTGCGATAACCAAAAACTTTGACCGTTGCTTACTCTAAAGTCTAACCATACATTTCCAGATTGAATCAACAAAAAAGAAGGTAATGATGAGAAAAAAAAATCATCGCCATCAAGCTTTTTTGTACCATCTGACTTTATTGATATCAAATGTAGAGATACATAAGCAATACATAGTTTAATAAACAACAAAGATAACGAAGATGATGAGATAATAACAATAGATCAAATGAAGTAAATTTTGAAGATGTTTTGTCTTGAGTCTTCGCGAATAACAGAGTATCAACACTGTTATTTTCTTTGGGGACTTCAAATCTTCGTTCCGTTAAAAATACCAGTTTTCTTTGTTGGATTACATTGGTAGCCTCCCAATCTAGTTCTATAGATATTCTGTCATATAGAATCCAATATATCGCCATCAAGCTTAATCGGTACTCAATACATTTATTTGATCTTTTTGGTGATTAACATTTAACAAAGCCATAATATAATTAAAGAGTTGAGTATGGCTATAAGAATCTGCAACTTTTGCTCTATATTTCGGGCGCCACAAAAGTTGTCCCGATCAATTTGTAGTGCTTTCTCAAGAAACACATTTCTTCAATGCCTCAACATCTATCTCAAAGCTCTCAGCTTTCCAGGTCAGCTTTCCAGGTACAAGTACTCTAAGGAACAAAGAAAATAAAGAATATTAAGGAACAAACCAAATAATGTTACGGTAGACTGAAAAAAATTGAACTTCAGCATTGTCATATGCAACCAACTGAGAGAACATGACACCAATTTTTTTTTTTCGGATATATCCACAAGCAAAAGCATAAAAAAATATCCATGTCCATTGTAGTAGACGTGTGAAATTACAAGAGAGCGTAATGTGTCAAGGCTATTTTCTTTTCAATCTCAAAAACTCAAAAAGCAGGATGCACTTAAATACTCAAAAATAAATAAATATATCCAGTAAAAAAATGTCAAATATTAGTAAATTGTAACGGGATGGGCATGGAAAGAGAAGAAATGGAGACTATAAATACCAGTGTATGTAGTGCACTTAGTGAAGTTGAGTGAACTTAGGATGGAGTTGGACGGGCTAAAGCAAAAGAAAGACACAACAGTTTTTGGAGTCCCGGAGGTTTCAGTACAACACAAAGACATACGAATGTTCAGGTTCACGCTTTGTCCAGCAAGACCAGAATACAAGGCTATGGTATCAGACTCTTGTTGTCATCACAAATGGGTTTCAAATTCACAATTACGCACTACGCAGAAGCAAACACATGGTTTCGTCGTTCTTAGACATTCAGTTTATGGTGAAGTGGCAACAAATATGTCAAAATGATGATGATTACCACATTGGATATCAGTTAGTAATAATACTATATTATTTTACATATCAATATTCATTGAATTCCATTTCGATTTAATTATGTAGTTTGCTGGAAAAAAGTACCCTTTTATGAATTTTAATCAAACTACCTTTGGATTTTATGTGTAGTTATTCGAAATCTTCATTGAATAACACTGAATTTGAAACTTTATTGATGATAAATTAAAAATCAGATATTGAATATATAACGCTGGATTTGAAACTCTATTAATAATAGATTACAAATCAGATATCGAATAACACTGGATTTTAAAATCAGATTTGAAACCTTAACTGAATAACACTAGATTATTATTCAATTTTAGTTTATTTCAAATACAACATTCAATAACCTCTTAATGTATTTTTCAATAAAATAACAATTCATTTGACTAGATAACTTTATCTTAGTAGCTTATTTATTTGTGCTGAAGACAACAACAACCCTCGATTTGAGTACACCTGCCATAAGTGTAATCATATTTTTTACAAAAATTAGTGCAACCAAAAAGAATATCTTTTTGACACGGAAAATATGTTCCAAAGCAAACTTCGTCTCCTATTCCATAACCTGTTTATTAATAATAAACACAATTAATTATTCAATTTTATCATGACAAAAGTAAATTCATGACTAAAACAGTTGAGGTATAAGAATAACCTTGATTAGGTCTGGTAGCAATTGGCATACGACAGTTAACAGAAGATAAGATGAAGGTAGCTGCGAAAACAACAAATATGTCTAAACTTTTCATGGTGATGGTCATTTTTATGATTTTTAAATTTTTTAGTGAATTCTGGTTTGCTTAGTTAACTGGTTATAACACGAACCATATAAAAAGAAAAAATATTCTGGTCAAAAATGAAAAAGAAATCATATTTTCATTTATGTTTTCACCTAAATTGACGTGATTTGATTTTATATGGGTCAAATGACCAAAATATATTCAAACGTCAAAACAATAAATACTACTCACTCCGATTCTTTTTACTTGTCGTTCTGGATTTTTTCACACAGATTAAGAAAACAATTACCCCTAATTAATACTTTTGATTTATTTGATAGAAATAATTTTTGAGCTAAAAGAGTGGATAATAATAGAAAAGGTAATAAATTTGCACTGAAAATACAAAACGACAAGTAATATGAGACAAAAATTTAACTCTAGAACGACAATTAATTTGAAACGGAGGGAGTATGTGATTTTCCCCTTCTTGTGCGGATATGAATTCTTATATAATTTTTCTTTCTTATAGTATTAATTTCTGTTTAATTTTGTTTTGAATTTACAAGTTTATAAAAAAATTATCGTTAAGCATTTGTAAATTGTATTGGCTTAGATAAATTTTCTTTAGTTGAGAATGAACAAATCGTACTTGCAATATGTGAGAAAATTTGTAATGAATAATAATGAATGAATATATGTAAATCAAATAATAATGTAAATAAGAATGAAAACTTTATTGAACCATTAACTAATCGATAAACTGATCACTAGAAACCAACATAAGCTCCAAATAATAATATATATAAAAATTTAAAAGATATATACGATAATATTCTAATAAATAATTTAATACTACACGCCAAAAAAAACCTATTACACATCAAATTTTAATACTTTCGCAAGAAGAAACAAAGGATAACCCCTCCAACGTTTGCAAGGTTTTCTGCGTCTGAAGATCCGATTGAGTTTCTTGAGACGGTTCGCCCACCAGGTGTTCGACGAATTTCCCCACAGGAACTTCAGCTGTTTAGGCTTTACTGACTCTGTCATCTAAACCAGATCCTGCTTCTTCTGGAGATGTTCCCGAAGTTCCTTAGAGTCAGCTTCAACTCGTACCACTCGATCGGGAACAATCTGGTAGCCGATATTAGAACAGAGATGCCTGTTTTGAAGGACCAGTTCTCAATTGGTCTAATGGTGAGATGTTGAATGTTAGATAGTTTTGCTGGTTCAACGATTTGTACTGCATTCAACAAACTGGAGATATTGCAGATTATGTGAATGAATTCGAAAGAGCTGGTGAATCAGGTTTCGGGTGTGGATGAGAGGAATTGCTGAGTTAGATAGAATGAGAAGGAAAGGAATCTGTTTTCAGAGCAAGGATAAGTGGTTCAAGGGTCATCTCTGTCCTAAGAAGGAATTGATCATTTTGCTGGATAGTGGAGCTACTCAGTACTCAGAAGGAATTGATCATTTTGATATCATTTTTGGAGTGCAATGGCTCAGAAGTCAGAACATTAGGAAAGTGCCTAGTTGATTGGGAAGCTCATGAATTTTCCTTTATTTACAGAGGTTCTTGGGTTGTCTTTGAAGTCTTTACAGGTTAACCATTTTTTGAAGCAAAATGGTAGCTTAATGGAGTTTAGTAATGGAGAGAAGAATGTCAGGTATTTTTTGAACCGACCATGGCTGTTTTAACAAAACATGAAGGTATTTTTTTGCTAAAACAAAGGGTATGCCACCTGTGAGAGGCCATGAACATGTCATTTCTTTGCTTTATGGATGTGGTCCTATAGATATCCCCTCATGCGCAGAAAGAAGAAATGGAGAAGATGGTTAAGGAGATGCTAGAAACTGGGGAGTAATCAGCCAAAGCCGCAGCCCTCTTCTAGTCCAGTTTCACTTGTTAAGAAGAAAGACGAGTCTTGGGCGCTTCTGTGTTGATTATTGTGCCTTAAACCGTGCAACCGTCACTGATAAGTTTCCCATTCCACTTACAGATCAACTTCCGGATGAATTGTAAGGTACACGGATATTTTTGAAACTGAAACATTGAAACAAGCAAATAGTTTCTACCCCAGTTTTGGTATTGCCTGACTTTGCTGCAGTTTTTGTTGTGGAATCGGATGCTTATGGCTATGAACTTGGAGCGGTTTTAATGCAAAATGGTCGTCCTGTGGCTTATTTTAGTCATGGTTTGAGCAACCATGAGCGACTTAAGCCTATCGATGAGCGTGAATTGATGGAAATTGTGATGGCCATCCTTAACTGGAAACACTATCTGCTTGGTCGTCGCTTCATAGTCAGGACAGATGAGAAAAGTTTAAAATACTTGTTGGAGTAGCGAGAAGTTGCTATGGATTATCAGAGATGGTTAACAATGCTTCTTTGATGGCATCGACAACACCTACTTCTTTGAATCTGCAGGTCTAATACAATGAAATTGATATCAATACAGAGATCCAGAGCTTAAAAAGCAGTGTGTTGTCTGATCAACTAAGCAAGCCGCAAAGTTAAAGCCTTTCTTTTCAGACCTAGGAGCTCTCGTTGTATTTTAGCTTTACTTCTTCTTGGTTTTGGTTGAGACCTAACTGGTTCAGGTTGTTCTGATGAAGAACCTGCAGGGTTGTTGTCTTCATCATTCCAGCCTAAGCTCTTAAGCATCGAGAGGTAATTCGGATCGGTTCTATCTCACCATCATCATCTACCTTGTCTCTCAAGTTCTTTCCCTCTCTTAAAGGCTTTTAACGCTTCTTCAGATTTCCCTTCTCCTTTAAGAGCTTTGTACTTATTCTTCTCTTCTGCTGCTTGTTTACGCATCTCTTCAGGACTAGCATCTAACTCCATATCTTTGTTACTACTACTGATTCCGATGAAGAAGACACATCAACATCAGATCCTAGAATCTCACTGAGAACATCATCCTCATTCTTTACGGTCCTTTTAGAGCTACCTGCTGAAAAACATCATAACCAATGTAATGCAAGTTTCCATCAATGAGATTTAGGTAAAGGTACAAGAATATGAGCATGTTTGTTTACCTTTTGCAGGTCTATTTTTGTGACCATGACGCAGCTTCTTCGAGTTTCTTACATGGATCACATATACGCACAGGTGTGTCACCTTGTCCACGTAGAGACATTATCTGCTGTGTGCAACCACCACAGAACAATCCCCCCACATCTCCGGCAATGGTGCTGGAAAAATTCAAGAAAACGATAAGCTTCAGGAAATAGAACAAATCAACAAGTAACAATAGTCGAATAGATTGCATCTTGGTTTGTATGATCATCTTGCTTTATTAATTCGTTTGAACTGTCTTAATATATTACTCTACTCTTGTTCTATAGTGTTATTCAAAGGTGTCACTTCATGCAAAAACTTTATCTTATGCAACAAAAATTCAGTTTATGTGAGCAAATGGTTATCAGGAGTCAGGACAAGCGATCTATTAAAACCTATGTACGACGTAGACAATCCGTTTCTCTTACAATTTTGGGTAATATATTGTATGTTTTTTCAAATTAAGTTGTATTTTGATTAAAGCATGAAAATAAGATAGCTTTGCAGGAAATACCAACTTCAAGAAGTCATCTATAAAATATACAGTTTGAAACCCAAAAAAAAAGGTGGTATTTTGATATAATTTTGGATTTTGTTCCAAGTGCAAAAAAACTTTTTCTCGAATTTAATCAAACTTGCTTCGATTTGGTAAAATATTATTTCTTCCGACGTAGAACTTTTGAAACTATATTTTAAACTGTATGGAAACTATTATTGATGTTATTTAAAAAAGAAAAAACAAACAAATACTAATACATTTGATTAGATTATTTCATTTTAGATGCTATGAATATATGCTTTCTTGATTATGTCGGTCTTCATATCTTTGGCGAGGACACATGACAGACTTCGGGTAAGACCTTGAAACTGATTTCATTTCTTCCAACTTTTTGTTGTTTCTTAGCTGCTTACATGTCTAATATTCCCACTGATTCAGGTCAGAAACATGGCTGAGCATGCACTTTACAGGAAGTTCACCAACACACTACCTGGAGTAGTTTTGAGGTCACAAGTCGCTGCTTACTAGCAGTCGTATGCATACTTTGGGATCCATCCAACAACCCTACTAGGAAACTCTTAGACGACTTAAAGTAAATATGTGAGGTGATTTGACTATGTTGAATCTTAACTACAATGATGTTTTATGTTGGGTTTCATACAATGAGGTATATGAAATTGAGATGTCTTGATCATTGTGGACAAGGTCGTTGAGAGTATCGGTTGTAATAGGTGATTGTAAGTATTGGTTGTCTGTTTGTTAGGTTAGCTATAGTGTGGCTTGATTCTCAAGTTGTTGAGATCAAGAGTAGGGACTTGCAAGATTATACTCTTGAGTCTAGGTTTTGTATCTTTGACCAATTGATTAATGAAGAGAAAGCTCTTGTCGGTAACCTTATCAAACCTGAAAACAGCAGAGTTTTTTTTTTTTTTTTTTTTTAACATCTGCTTATATTAATTTAAATAGTATAAGGGAAAATAAGAATTTAGGCTGTGGACAAAAAATATATATATATAAGGGAATACAAATAATAAAGTGGTGGAGTTACATAAAAACAATCAGCTAGAGCTACACACGATCAGCTACAAAGTGAATAAATAAGCAAAATTTAACAAAATTAAGCGAATTTTAAGAAAATTTTAAGTAAATTTTAAGCAAAATATAAGAAAATCATATAAAATTTTCACTATTCATTTACTTAACATTGATACTTTTGTTTGAGGACAGAACAAAACATTGATACTTTTTCTTATTAATAGGTACATGTGTGTATGTACATCATATATGTTACATATATATATATATATGTGTAAATATAGATTGTTTTACATGATAAATCAGTTTGTATCAATTTTTGTTGTTGTTAATTTGTGTGTTGGAGATATTATTGAAATTATTTGAATTTTTTGTTGTTATTATATATTTTATATTACATAATAAATATTGTATTTCTTGTTAATTTTTGAACTACATAAAATTATTTAAATACAAAATTACCAAATGGAATGGTATAGCACGTGAAAACATATTTTACATTTTTTTAATATTTTACATTATAATATTCACTAAATTGTATTTTTATTCAATTATATATTCTGTTCAACCTGCAAACAACAGATATATATTGTTGTTTCAAATAACAATACCTTTGAAATTTGACTAGATCACTTCATACTCGGTTACATAATATATCTGTTGATTCAATTTCTTTTTGGTTATTAAATAAATTATTGAAATATAAAAAAACAAAAAAAATACCGAATGGAACTCGTACTGTGCGTAAAAACATATTGGGCTAACTATGTATTTATTTTACAAATCAATATTCATTGAATTCCATTTCGATTTATAATTATATAGTTTGCTGCATACGAATTTTAATCAAACTACCTTTGATTTGGTAAAGTATATTTATTTCGCTCTAGATTTTCTGTATAGTTATTAGAAAAGTGTAATAGAAAACTATTGATGTATTTTTCAATCAAATAACAATACATTTGACTAGATCACTTTATCTTAGAAGTTAGAAGCGTATTTATTTATGCTGAAGACAACAACAACCTTCGAGTTGAGTACACCTGCCATAAGTGTAATCATATTTTTTACAAAAGTTAGTGCAACCAAAAAGAATTTCTTTTTGACATGGAAAAAATGTTCCAAAGCAAACTTCGTCTCCTATTCCATAACCTGTTTATTAATAATAAATAAAATTAATTATTCAGTATTCTCATGAAACAAAAGTAAATTCATGACTAAAAGAGTTGAGGTATAAGAATAACCTTGATTAGGTCTAGCAGCCATTGGCATATGGCAGTTAACAGAAGATAAAATGAAAGTAGAAAGTAGCTGTGAAAACATCAAATATGACTAAACTTTTCATGGTGATGGCCATTTTTATGATTTTTAAATTTCTTAGTGAATTCTGGTTTGCTTTGTTGACTGGTTATATCTTATATAGTAACACTATAACACAAGGCAATCATTTTCTGGTCAAAAATGAAAAAGAAAATAAGATTTTCATTTATGCTTTCGCCTAAATTAACGTGATTTTATTTTATATCGGTCAAATGACCAAAATATATTCAAACTTTAAATCAATAAATATTATGTGATTTTCCCCTTTTTGGAGAATATGAATTTCTTATATAAATTTCCTTTTATTTTTTGAAAATGATAGTACTAATTTCTGTATAATTTTGTTGTGAATTTACAAGTTTATAAATTTTTATCGGTAGGCATTTGTAAATTGTATATTGGCTTAGATAAATTTTCTTTAATTGAGAATGAACAAATCGTACTTGCAATATGAGAATTTTTTTGTAATGAATGATATATGTAAATAAGAAGATGCTATACGACACTTGGTACTTTGAACATTTGTGAAAACCATTTTTGGTGTATTCGTTTTAAATACGTTTTTGTATTTATTACGTTAGTCCTTGTATTTTGATGGAATTTGAAAAATCACCTCTATTTAATTGTATTTGACTCAATTCCAAACTGGGATTGTCCGAATTAAACCAATTTTTCCCCGGTTTAAATGTGGTAAACCGATGCATTTCCGTTACATCGTCTTGACCAAATTGACCGGACTCCATATCAAAATCGCTGCAACGAGTGTACTTCGCCGTCGACGACGATGAGCCTATCACGCGGTGTCTTGTTGATTTTCAGAAATGCGGCGTATCGACCATCGTGTTTATGGGCAAACTATTTGTCTTCTTCGTCGTTTTCGTCAAGCTTCGGTATTCGAGCGACGAACAAGGAGTTAAACCAGATGATAAGATCGGGCTACATCGGCGAAGCTAGAGAAATTTTCGAGAAACTGGAATCGAGGAACACGGTGACGTGGAGTACGATGATAAGCGGGTACGTGAAGAGGAGAGAAATGACGCAGGCACGGAAGCTGTTCGACGAAATGACTGAGAGAGATGTTGTGACTTGGAACGCGATGATCTCGGGTTACGTTTCCTGCGGCGGAGTTAGATTTCTCGAGGAAGCGAGGAAGCTGTTCGATGAAATGCCTCTGAGGGATTTTTTCGCATGGAACACGATGATTAGTTTGGATATGCGAAGAATGGGAGGATAAGTGAAGCTCTGTTGCTATTCGAGAAGATGCCTCAGAGGAATGCTGTGTCTTGGGGCGCCATGATCAATGGGTTTTGCCAGAACGGTGAAGTGAATCGCGCGGTTGAGTTTTTTTGGAGAATGCCTGAGAAGGATTCGTCTTCTCTATGTGCACTTGTTTCGGGTTCTTATCAAAAACGAGAAGCTTGAAGAAGCTGCGTTGGTTTTGGTTGTGAGAATGCGCAGCAAGTTTTCACACAGATGGTTTCTAACAACATCTTTTCTTTTCTTTTTCACTTGAGAACAAAGCGAGGTCGTTTAGCTTTGTGTACAAATCAAAACCAAAAACCAATTTGCAGTTAAATTTTAACTACACCGAAATCAAACCGCAAATAAATTGGAACCCAGTTTTTTTATGTTGGGTTTTTAATTCAATTGATTTCGTAAGCCAAACATCAATTTTCCGGGCTACTAAATTAAACCGAAATTAAAATGGATAAACGACGTCGTTTGCGTTTAAGCCATTTTTATAGAATGAGAACGAGATCCAAGACTCATATACATACTCTCATAAAAATTCATTTCTTGAATGATGGCGTCATTTTTTTTTTCTCCACTTTTATCTTTGAGAAAAGAAACAAAATTCATTGAGGTTAAGGTTTTGAGATTTACAAAGCTTAATTTCTAGTTCTTAATTGAGACTAAGATTGTAGATTGAATCCTATTACATGGGAATGGGATATTGACTATTTATGCCACCTGGCCTTTATGCCTTTAGTATAGAGCTAACATATATGAAGTTCAAGATTATCAAATTTAATAATCAGCTCCTTAATTTTGAGGAAAAAAATATCAAGATAAGACTAGAGATGTAAACAAGAGAATCTAAAAATCTAACTGGTCTATCTTAATACTAAGCAGCTCCTTTCACGTCTATTGATTCCTAAGATAGTCGCAAAACAGAATCATACAATAACCAGATAGTTGCATAAAATAAGATCAACTCTGAATTATTTTTTATTTTTTTCCAAGTTCTTTTTCCAAGTACTGTATATGTAATATTTATATCAAAGCCTCAAAGGACATTTTACATCAACCAACATATTGTTTAAACCCATTTTATAGAATGCGAATGAGATCATACTCATATATACTCATAAAATCCATGTTTTACAATATATAAATCAAACTTCTTTAGCTTTGAGAAGTCCTTTTGACTCGAAGTAGTCTATCATCTGATCATAAATCTCATTGATCCCATATTCGAATTCAAAGCCTTCTTTGATGAGTTTTTCCGAAGATAGCCTCACTTTCGCAATCGACAAGCACTCTTCGAATCTAACCAAATTTTCACAACAAAGAATTAATGAATGAGAAAAAAATACAAATTCCCACTAATATTTTCAGTTTATGTGGGGATAAAAATGCTTACTCTGACATGACATTGTACTTTGGATATCTTTGTCGGAGAAAATCAGCAATCTCTGGAACACAAGTGTTGTAAGAACAGCAAATGTAGCGACCAGAAGCAGTTTCTTTCTCCGCAAGAAACAGGTGTGCACGAGCTAAGTCCTCCACTTGGCTGAACGAGATCGAGCCAGACAGCTTCTGCATTTCTTTGAGAGCATTCAGATGCATTTCGTTCCCTAACAACAAAACCAAAACAATCTTGACTTGTCATCGTGAAACTTAAAAGTTAAAAAGTAATTAAAATTCGTGTTTACCGGTGATTAAAGACATCGAGAGAGACAAGCTGCTCGGAGGAGGATCGGAGAGGAGAGAGTTTCCGGATATGAGTGCCGGAATTACGGTAACAAGATCGATCTTATTCTCTTCCGAAAACTTAAAAGCTGTCTTCTCTGCTAAAATCTTTGAGATAAGGTAACCCTAGAACAAGAACAGAGAGATAGTAAGTAAACTCGTAAAGAAAAAGCCCTAGCTTGTCCGGCAAGAAAAGTTAACTACCCAGTTAAACGGCTTCTCCGTTGTGAGAAAATCAATGTCAGACCAGTCTTCTTCGTTCAGCAGAAGTCCAGGTCCAGGGAGATTGTTGATAGAAACCGCAGCAGCTGAAGAAGTGTAGATCACTCGCTTGACTGATTTCGATTTTAAGCAAGATTTCAACACATTGATCACTCCTTGTGTCGCTGGCTTGATCATGTCTTTCTGTATATTGAAACACAAACAAGAATAGCTGAAATACAAATCTTACTCTTAAACATGCACAAACAATCTGTTTAAGATCAAACCTCAGGATCTTGAGATGTGAAGTTGATTGGGGTTGCAACATGGAAAACGTATTCACAGCCTGAGATTGATGAATCAAAACTCTCTTCAACGGTCAAATCCGCCTTGAAGATCTTGAGTTCCCCGAGTTCTTGAAGTGCCTTAAGGTGAGATACTTTCTTCTCATTTTCTGCAAATCTCAGAACAAGGAGTCACTAAAACATTCAAAATGCCTTAAAGAGAAGGAAAGAAACAAAGAAAGTGACGAGACCTGGATCTCTAACTGTGGTGTTAACTTTGTAGCCACTTTGAAGCAAATGCTTGATGAGAGTAGAGGCTAAGTTTCCTGTACCACCGGTTACACAACAAGCCTTTTTAGACCCTGTGGTGGTTATAAGACTCTGATCCATAGTTGTAATCTGATTTTACTTTTGCAAATACAGAGAGATTGAGATCTTGTGTTAATGAGTTTAGTTTAGTGTCTTCACAACTTTTATATAGTCTTTTTGTTCATTTGGTACAACCATTAATCAAAATGCTGTTTTAGAAGGTACACACGTGATCTTTCAGACAGCTAACTACTTGTTGTTACCTTCCACTTCTACAATCAATTCCTCACCTAAGAATCAAATGAAAGATCGAAACTTCATTGACTGCAAGATCTGATATCATCTGCTAATTTTTCTTAAGGGACGATTATCACAGAAGCAATGTAAAAGAATGCTCACAGAAAGTGTTACAAGAGTAATGTTATGGACTCAATTCAACATAACTTTGCTAGGAACTTGTTCATATTTCACCAAAATTGCCTCAAGTTTCAATCAAACAAAGATTCAAACTTTATTGACTGCAAGATTTGATCTTTGTGTTGAAGTTAAGCTTTGCAATTACTCACTGAATGTTTTGGACTCAAATTCAGGAACATAAAGCTTTAACCGAACTTACTTCCATGGTGCTTTCATATATAAGCAACAAAATCCAAAACAGAGAGTTTCAAAAGATAGAAAAAACACCAGAAAGTTACACCGATAGAGATCAAAGATCAAACGCAAGTAAAAAAGGTAGTAGTAGCTCCTAAGTTCAAAGGAAAACCAAAAGAGAGAGAGAGCAATGTCATCATCATCACATCAATGGCATGTCCTTAGTTGCTTCAGCGATCATAGAAGTAACCTCATGCAAAAACTCAGTCTTCTCCAACACAAACTCGAACTCCCTAACCTGCAAGGCCTTCACTTTCTCTTCAACCTTCTTCTTCATCTCCACAGGAACCAATCCCCACCTCTCCTTCACATACCCCTCATCCACACCCAAACCAGCGATAGCACGAACAAGAAACGAGCTCTCAAACCAATCAGGCTTCTTCACAGCAACAGCCAACGAAACCACATCATCTCCAGCCACTTCATCTTCCTCCACAGCTTTCTGTTTACCATTAGGCGAGCCAAAGACAAGTTCTTGCTTCACAGAGTCAAGCTTCTTCTTGCTACTCTTCTTCTTAGACACGCCGTTTGATTTCACAGCCGATTCAAGAGCTAACCCATCAGATCCCCAAATGTACTTGCAGAGCTTGTAAGATTTCTGATCGTGAGGCTTGGTGAAAACAGGCTTCTCCTTGTTCATGTACTTCTTCTTCAAGCTCCTGAGTTTATCCATGAATTGATTCTTAGTGACCACGCAGCTGATTGAGCCTTTGACGAAATCATAGTAAGCGGTTGTGTCTTCGTACGGCGACTTCCCTTTATCAGCCTTGAAATCGATCATACCTTGAAGGATTGTGATCTCGTCGTCTTCAGTCCACAGTCTCTGGAAAGCTGGCTTTTTGGAGTCTTCTCCGGTCTTCTTCTCGTCGTCTCCAGAAGTGGGTTTCTTCACTCGCTTCGAATTGGTTTCTCTCGAAGTGCCTTCGCTCGGACGCTTGGCTCCAGATTTCGCCGCCGGGGGAGGTACTGCGGCGGAGGCTGAGGCTTGATTCTTCTTGGGCTTCGCGGCGGAGGGGACGGTGGTTGCGGCGAGGGATTTGACGGATCCTTGAGTCGGGGGAGGATTCGATTCGGAGTCGGAGTCGGTCTCGGTCTCGGATCCAGATTCGGAATCGGAGGCTTTCTTCGCGGCGGAGACGGTGGGTTTACCAGGGACGGCGATTGTGACGGCGGAGGAAGGAGGTTTGACGGCGGGATCTTTGGGTTCTTCGTCGTCGGATGAGGAAACTTCTTCGGATTCGGCGCCGGAAGTCTCCATTTCGTCGTCGTCGCTTGAGGACGCCGTCGGTGGATCTTCCAGAGGGTTACGCTTCTTCGTCATCGGGGAATTGAGAAATGAGAGAGAGTGAGAGAGGATTTAGGATCTGAAAGGAAGCTTCTAGGGTTAGTGAGACGGCAGGGTCGAGCTGAGATTGGAAGGAGAATATAAAGGTCCCAACTTTAGTTAAAGTGTTTGCTGTCTTCCAATTGATATCAGAGAGATATTTTTTTGGTGTAAGCAATTTTTGAGCTAATTACCTTATTTAAAAAAAAAAAAATCTTATCAAAGGTTTATTATTGTTAGTTTAATTAAGAAATTTGAACGATATCAACAACCACATGGTAAAAATGTTATGCAAAAATGACATTTTGGTAGTGTAATGATTTACATAAAGGAAGAAAAAAATAGGATTGAGAAAATGAAAATTTTTAAGTTGTTGGTAATGGACCATAGAAATGTACACATTTTGTTGTAACTCATGAATAAAACGATTTTTGTTTTGGCCAGTCTAAATTAAGGATACAAGAGATTGAAAAACTTTTTTCTAAAATTTCCACAAAATGTATAAATCGGATAATACTCAACAGATTAAAAGTATTTTTCTTCTAAAATTTCCACAAAAGGAAATATAATAATAATAATGAAACCCAAACTACAAAAGCCCAAAACAGAAAGAGAGTTGAGACTGAAAGTCAAATTAAGCCCAGATATTTAGATTCTGTACCTGAAATTATGAACAGCGAGCGTGTCAGAGAGCAAAAGAGAACAGTTTATCTAACGATCCGATCAAACACTGAACTAATAAATCTCACAGTTAAGTTCATTACCTTATCCTTTTTATTATTAAACTTAAAATAAGTTTTTTAAAAAAAGTTTCAGGTTTTTATCATTGACATTCGTGTATTTAGTTCAGTTGGAATTATTAAACAATTCGGATTGGTTGGGTTCAGATTTGGGTTATGTTAGATTTGGTTCGGTAAAAGATAAACAAAATCATAAAAATACTAAAAATATGATGAAATTAATTAATAGTTTATAGATTGTTAGTACGTATACCCATATTTGAATGTATTTTTCAGTTTTTTAATCAAACATATTTATCCATATATGAATTTATGTTAGTTAATAATTTGGGTTTGATTCGGATTCATCGGCTTAGAAATTTTATTGTGTTTTATAATTTGATTTGGGTTTGCAAATTTTGGTTTGGTACAAAAACAGTTCAATTCCAGAACTTTGCCCAACCTTAGTGTAAGTCTTTATTCAATTTTACTTTGCATAGGGCTAAGTTTTTCTTTCCCAGCTCATATCTCTTTGATTTCTGATTTCGGAATTACTCTCATGATTACTAATTTGATCGAAATTGTTTTATCAACAAAAGAATTTTCAAACTCGACAATGAGTTGAAAATGTTACAATATTGTATTTTTGTACATTTAACATATATAATATCATCAAATATATCCAATAGATATGTTAGACAACCAATTTCATAAATTCACAACAAGAAACATACAGCTTCTTATCTAGATTTGAAACATTCTAGATTCCATCAAAGACATCAAGCTAAACTTACCAAAAAAAATAAACCGCTTATTAATTGGTAACAAAATTATTATTAACTACATATATGTGTATATGTTACTTTTGTAAATTCATTTGGAATTAAACTGAGATATTGATAAAGGTTTTCCTTTTTTTTCTGAACAACATAAAAAATTTGATAAAGGTTTTCCTAAACCATCTTTAGTAGGTACAATGTTTGTAACAAACACCAAAGTTAATATGTCAACGATTGTTGCCATGCATATATGTCCGCGCGTTGTCTGTCGCCTCCCACTCCGTCGCCTCCCTCTCCGCCACCGGTTTTCCCTCCTCCCCCTCCGGCAATGCCCTCTCCTCACTGCAATTTCGTCTTTTGAAAGATTGCATCGCTGATGCAAAAGATGGTTGGGGGAAGAACATTTCCAGAAGTATGATTGTGGAAGGTATATGTGCGGCTGTCGTCTTTTCATATCAATCTATCTGCGAGAGGCCACTTGGAGATTATGAAGAGCTTGAGAACCCATTTGCCCTTTGAGGGACGAACAACCCGCGTTATTTAGTCAAACCTATATGATGAGAAAGATTTTTAGGCACAAATGCCTATCTACAACATAGAGAGACATTCTTAATCGAGATTTGAAATCATCTATATTTCATCAAAAACACCAAACTAAATCTACTCAAATTTTCCAGGAAAGGATATCGTCCAATAAAAAGCTCATTGGTCAATAGTTTTCATAGAATGTTTGTTATTATAACCTTATGCAATGTGATTAAGACTTCATCTTGTTTAATGTGTTGATTCATTGCTTGATTTAAACCTTATTTTGGTGATATAATGTTGGGTATCTGATCAAAGTATTCATAACTTACTTATTGGTGACTAGAAGTCATATGTGGAAAAAAAAAAAAAAAAAAAAAGAAGAAGATAAGATATATACATAACTTACTGTAACGATCAAGTTATAAAAAAAAGCATAAAATTTGATATTAATCTGAGTTTCGGTCAACAGCATAACTTATTTTTACCATATATTCGAATGCACGAGATGTGCATTCTGAATAGTGATATAAAAATCATACAAAACAAATAGAAAACTTATTAGCTCTAAATGACCAAACGGATAAAAGAGCAACAAAAACATGCAAGAACATGATGGATATACACATCTATTACGAACTATTAACCAAAGAAACCAGAACATTTTCTTTCTTTGGTCTCAACAAGGTAATTTGAAACCCATGTAACTACCATCGACAAAATCATTCCAAATATCAAGAGCTCCATAGCTTGTCATCAACACAATACTCAATGCCATGACAATACCTACCGAGAACACAATGATCGAAGCTCTTCCATACTCATTTATAACCTTTTGAACCACCATTAGTCCCATGAGTGACGCCACAAAACATACAACCGCGAATAGACTTGCCGTTCCGGTATGTTCCATGCCTAGTAACAAGTATTGAATCGCAGACATTGTTGATGAAAACAAAACCATGAAAGAACATGTCGCTGCAGTTACCTATAACAAAACAATGGCAAAGTATTTTTAACTTAAAGATCTAGCAAAAATAAAAGTCTCTTTTGATATTGCAAAGAACTTGTAAATTACCTCAGGAGCGATACCAACTTGGAGGAGAAGAGGGCTAATGAGCATTCCGCCTCCGATACCGAAAACACCACCTAAAACTCCAGCTAATAGAGCCATTACAGGAAACATACACTTGTTTGATCTTCCTCCACCATTTGATCTCAAATCTTCTACGTCCTGTGTGCAAGTTGTTGTTTTGTTTTGAGAATATATTCATCAATTTTTTTTTGTGTTTTCGAAAACTAATTAAGTGTTTCTTGGAGCTGTGTGAAATCATACCTTTACTGAAACGTGGTGATCTGATGACTGGCTGCTTTGAACACTGTCACTGAAGCAAATCCATATAGTGAAGAAGAGAGTGAGTGGTATTTGAGTCGATGAGATGAGCCAGTAAGTGATTCCACATGGCTGGATCGATATGATTCCCTGAAAATACAGAATATGACCTTAAATTGTCAATTATTATTTTTCTGTAAGAAAAAAAAAAGATTATAAGACTGCTGCACCATAATTCATATCTACCATGTAGACATGCAGTCGTATATGTATGTATATATATATATATATAATGCATTTCGAATTTTTGTTCCAATATGATAAAACCAATCGGTATATTACAAATTGGTTTAGGTGAAAACTATTTGGTTTGATTTCCGGTTATGGTTTTCTTTCACCTCTAAACATATTTAAAAGAGACATCGAACCAAATGAAAATGACAGAAAAATCTTCTAGGTTTTTAAGGAGATCATTTCAGTATCTTGATTTTCAACAGAGAATCTACCTTACCTAAAATAACAATAAAATATAAACGAACAAAAAGACTAGTTCAAAGAAAGCAAAAAATGATGTATTCTACTAAAATTTGCATTTCCTACATCTATATATATTTTTTTATGTCACCTCACTAAAGAGAATATTGTGCACGCTACAAAATGTTGTACTTTCTTAAAAAGAGATCCATAAGGAAAAAAACACTAATTGTAGGCCAAAGCATCTTCGAAAGGGCAACGCATCTTAAAAAGTGCAAGATCGTATTGAAGATTATAGGAAGAAAAAGACACGAAAACAATGTTTGTATTTGTTTCCATGGCCAATCTCAAGAAAAGACGACAATATCGATGTGACCTGTCTTCACGTGAACAAGTTCACTATCGCTTTTAACACAGTTGTTCAAGACAAAAAAAGGTTCCCTATCGCTATTCAAACGCATCTTCACCACTTGATCCGGTGATTCCAGAAAGAAAAACAAATTAAAGATTTAAAAAAAAAAAAAAAGATATGTCATGAAGGTAGATGAGAACTGAGAACAATTCAAACGTGTTTAATTTCTCTAATCTTTTCACCTAATTACTCCACGTCAGTACTCAGTAATTTCCTTTTCTTATTTAGGTAAACCAACATATTTAAAACGTTTAATTAAAGACCTGGATCGTGGTGACTCATAGACTACTTTTACACGGTTTTGAATTATACTTTCGTTTATAGACCTAGTTAAAAAAACGATTATTACAAAGTTATCTTTAATGAAAACAAAAAATTTACAAAAAAAAATCATCATTTATGATATTCCATCGTTCTATTACTCAACTGTTAAACAGTTTTATTTCCTTTTATGGAAAGAATGTTTTTGTTTCCATAAAACGGTTTTAAAAGGTAACTTTTTCATAGGTATGGTCAAATCTACAACAAGTCGTCCAATCAAATAAAACTTACTAGTGAATTTCACTCAGAATACTATATTGTATACAGTAATATAAATTTTCTCATAATCATGATAACCAAATAATTAGATTTCTGATAAATCTGCAAAGCTGTAAAAGCCTTTTTCTTTCTTTCTTTTCGTTTCCTTAAAACTTTTTCGTTTTGCTTTGTCTTTAGCGTATATTTTTGTCAGTTCCAAATCTGGTAAATCGATCTAAACACTTTTTGAACTGACTTAACTACATTAAATATGCTTCATTAAATGCAACACTAATACTAATAATGATAGTTATTTAAATTAATCATTTTCAAATTACCTCGCCGTATTTGTTTCCGCGAAGAAGATAAACAGCAAAGTAAGAGAGCCAAATAACCACCAAAACGCCAAGCTTTATCCATGGAAACCTCTTTGGTCTCTCGTAATCTTCCAAAAGCGGCAATTTCACACTCTCAATCTTACTCTCATCACCACCGTCATCGTCTTCTCCGATTCGATTCGATTCTCTGATTTTCACCATCTCCGATTCAATCCTCCAGTAATAAACCCCGTTCTTAAACGTCTTCAACGTCGACCACGCCAGAAACACGGCGAAGAGCGTCGTGATAAGCCAATTCGGAAACACGAGATTGCAAATCACTCCGATGCTAACTCCGAGAAGCATACACGGCTCCAGAAGCAGAGCCAAATCGAAATCGATTATCGTTTTGCCTCCGGATTTAGGGTTTCTGACGAAGAGATTGCATCCGACGTTCGCGATAGATCCGCCTGTGACCATGAAGGCGGAGAAGCTCGAGGCTGTTTTGAGATCGAGTCCGGCGACGATCGTCATTATCGGAACGTATAAGCCTCCGCCGCCGATTCCGCCGGCGCTGGAGATCGATGAGGCGAGGAAAGAGAGTACGGCGGCGATGATTGTTGATGTGGTTAGCTCGATTTTCGGTTGGTTGAATTTCGTCGGGAATTGGAGCCATGTGTTGGTTTTGTTGAGGATTTGATCGACGGGGAAGAGGAAAGAAGTCTCCGGTGTCTCTGGTTCGGCGATTGATGGAGTTGAGAGGATGATGAAGATGGTGAAGGAGAGAGTTACAGGGACTAAATTGTTTCTCATTTTAATTTGTGGGGTTTTTTCGTAATTTTAAAAAGTTTGGGGTTTGTTTTAAGATATGTTGGGATTTGTTGTGTGTGTGTAGCATTTGTGTTTATGACTTATATAGGGAAGAGGATTGAAGAGAGAGAGTGTGATGTTTTCATTTTCAAGTAGAAAGTAAAGTAAAATTAAAAATAGAAATAGAAATTGTAAGAAGAAGATAAAAAGAGACAAATCAACACTTGACAAGTGGTGAGACAATGAGACATATAAAATACCAAATAGATCTTGTGGGCATTATGTTATTTGCTCCCACCATTACCTTTTTGTTCTTATCAATTGTAAAATTGATATATACTTTAAACCAGAAAGTTACGGGTGGGGAAGACTTTGATTTAGTTAGTATCGTTTAATTTCAAAAATTTATAGATTTTCCAAATTTTAAGAGAGTTTTTATATTTGAAAAATATCCTAAAGTTTTTTTTCCCTTAAGTTGTATGTAATAACAATTTTTAAAAGTCTGATGGATATCTGTAACATTTTATAATTTCTGTCTTACCTCTAATAACAATGGTTCAGTAAACTCAAATTGATTGTTTAGACAAAATATCCATAACATTTGGAAGATTGATGATTCCAAATACTAATAGTTAGGCTTCAAATTTAAAGTTAGCCATTTCACAAAAAACCAGGACTCACTCAGTCTAACAATGAATTTCTGAATACAAAATACAAATCCAAACATAAAACACCTTTTAAGAATGGGCAATTCTCATACTATATACACTGATATTATTGACAAAAAAAAAGAGAGTACATATTAATATTTTAGAAACCACCGATTAATAACTGCAATATACAACACCCAAGTGTAGATTACTCTGGAAATCCTCGTGTTCCGACCACATGCAGACAGGTTAGTTTTTTTATTTTATTTTTAGGGGTCAAACGACTCAAAGTCTCAAACCCACATGCAAAGAAATTATAGGGAAAAACCCACATGCAAGTAATTTATTTTATTGTTTATAGCCTTAGGCGTTTGTTTTATATGTTTAATTCGAACGATAATGAAACGAATGAGACATTCTCATGTTTTTTCCCAATACTTTTCTAATTCAAGTAAGCAGGCAATTGTCAAAAGTCAAAACAGTGTAATAGTATATCTTAGTATTTTTCTATAAAAAAAAAGATCTTAGTATTCTTTATTTAATGTAATACTTATCTTTAAAGTCTTGCGTTGGCAGAAAACAAATACTTATCTGTAAGTCTGTAACGTTTCGCATTATATATGTAGATCAACTTGCCATTTGCATATACGACAAAATAATATAAACTATTTTACATTTTTGCCGAGTCTATAAACCAGATATTAATGGATCCTTCTTCACTGAGGAGGCTTCACATATATCAGATTTAACTTCTAACTTTTGTACCAAGAATAACGATGGTAAAGAGAAAACATATATAACGATGAAATTATTTGTTTTGTGATCCGTTTTTGCTTTTTGAACCAATATCATTAACGATGAAAACATATAGGACTATAGGAGTATGTTATTTTGATCTTATAGTTCTGCCTGACAAAAAGAGAATCTTAAATCGTGCTTTCAATTCTGTTCACCTATCCAAAAAGACAACTGTCTCGTGACCCTCCTCGTCTGTAAACATTTCTGTAAAAGCCTCATGATTGCAAGAAATTTTTGAACATTTAAAACAAAAAATTTCTCTAGATAATCAAGATGTAGTAAAGGTGGATTAGCATTCACATTCTATTAAACTCAATTCAAATTGAGATACTTTGTACGTAATTGTTTAGAGTATATAATTATGTTGATGGATAGGTTGATATTAAACTGTTGACAAAATAAAAGATTGATTATATCAAGTTGGAGAATGAAAAGCGATGAAAGCATTCCATGGTATACAATAATTGTAGTGGTCAGATAACCTGAATCTAGGAAAACTAATCTTACAATTATTGTTTGGACAACTATATACAAGTTGTATTTTGTACAAATTTTTATATATCAAGCCTTGTGAAGGGTTAAGATATTTCATTAATTAAAGCCTAATAGAAGACTTTTTGGTTTTTTTTTTTTCTGATAAAAGGTTTCCTAATGGAACTTACTTTAATCTTGAATAAAAGATGTTTACACGTCTATGTTCTTATTTCAAACCTGACCAAACAACCATGATCAGGTTCTTTACATTATCAAGAACGACTATTGCATGCTATTTTTCATGCAGTTCGTTAATTTAATCGAAAGTGCTGTGCACTTTTGGGTTTAAGTCGTAATCGTGTATTCGTAACTACATTATTGTAATCTCCAACTGTTCGGATATTTTATCAAAAGAAAAAACTCTTCGGATATTCTAGTATCTGTTGGCTCTTAGAAAGTATCCTGGGTCGTGCTTGTACTATGATCCAAATATAAATATTCAACTGCTTTAATTAAGAATTTTTTCTTTATAAAAAGCATTACCCCAATTCAAAGTTGTCGTGAAGAATTCAAAGCTGCAGAGAAGCAAAGTTGTGTTATGGCCAGAGAAGAAAGGTGGAAGAAAGAGAAACATGGAGAGAAATGTCGTCAACAAGCAACGTGGTTGAGAAAAACTAGTTTTTTCTAGTTTAGGAACATTTTTTTCTTCTTTAAATTTAATTTAATAAAGTTAGAAATTTATCATTTTGATTTTGTATATAAAAAACATATGGTGAAAAAGATTATTAAACAAAATATCGTACCATCAAAAGCCGATCGAATGTTACACCCAAATAAAATACACATGAAACAACATTTTCAAGATATCACTACAAGAAAATTGAGTATAGATAGCATAAGAAGATAGCGTTTTTTATATAAATGCAATATTTGAACCAACTATGTATTTAAGATAGCGTTTCATTAAACGTCTATGCTATGTATTTGTTTGGTGTTTAAAAAACCTCTGTTTTTTAATGTAAACCGTATTTTAATAACCTGCTTAAAGTAACAAACGTTATGTTTAGTATAAGCGGAAAAATTTTATTTCACTTCCCGGCTAAGTATACTTAGGAAAAAAAAACGAGCGCTAAGTTTTTTTCATCTTCCTCTGAAACTTTTATCGCTTTCACAATTACGCATTAATCTACTCACCTTTCGATCTCCTACGGCAACAATCTCCCCACCGTCTTGGTTTCTCCGGGATCTATTTCTCGAATCGACGAAGTTATCTCACGGCGGCGGTCTCTTCCCTGTTGATTTCGATCTCCCACGGCAACAATCTCCCCACCATCTTCGTTTCTCCGGAATCTGTTTCTCGAATCGACGTAATTATCTCACGGCGGCGGTCTCGTCTCCGTTGATTTCGATTGAAGGTTATATTTCATCACTAGTCGAAAGTCATGTCGATTTTGAGTGTCTAGATGATTAATTTAAAGAAAAATTTTGACAATTTTATGTATTTTACAGGCAAATTGTCGCATATTTGTAACCTAAGGTATGTGACATTTTGGGGGTTTTCTTATAGAGAAAGATGCATGTCGATGTTTTTGATGACTATTTCTAAAACATTTTCGGCAGGTTTCACAGTCATAGTTGGGTGTTGGATTCGATCTAAGGTATTTATAATTTTGGGTTTTCTTAAGTCTTTTCGGTTCTAGTTTGGTGTTTCAAATTACTGTTAATTAATTTTAATTTGCTTCATGTGGCTTTGATGTCTTTACAGATTATCGTTAAGAAGATCTTCAACTTATCTTAAGGTACTTTACTCCCTTCTTCATATGACCCAAAAGAGATCTTGAATAATATTACTTTGGGTCCGAATGCAGCAATAGTTAATATTGACCATGTGATTAACAAGGAGGCTTACTTGTGGAGACCAAGCGAAGATATGAATGTGATGGGTGATGCACTATTCACGAATATAGCATGGCCCATTTCGAAGGTTAGACAGTGTAATGTACAACTAATGGAGGAAGAAGTTTATCGGACTGGAACAGGTTCTACTCTCAAAGGAGCAGAACCATTGGTTAACAAAGCAGGAGCGGTGCCATCAGACGGTAAAGGAGCAGAAACATCTAAAGATTCATCACCTAAGGTAAAACTCTACACATAAATATATGTTTTCATCACCTAAGATTCATGTTATGGTAGTGATGATCTGTGTGGATGTTTCGTGTATAGAGTGTAACTAACAGCTCCAGAACTAGCGGACATTTTATGAATAAATGCTTCATCCTAGACTGCTTTGGATCAGGAAAAAAGGTGGCAGAAGGCAGAGTATTATCAACAACTCCAAAAGACAAAGTCCATTTCGTTCCATTGGGACCAAACGCGAGCAATGTATGGGTAGAGGTATGTATGATTTATGATGCACGCATATGGAGACCAACCTCAGAATTCAAGTTTGTTGCTGATGCATTGGGTTCTACAGTTGCTTGGCCTAATGATGCAATTTCTTACATGTGAACTCGTTTGATTGTATTGCTTGTTGAACTCAGATGGCTTGAATAATCGTTTGTCTTTTGGTTATGTAATAATGGAATGGTATGTTTTGGTAATGAAATGGTATGTTTTGAGTAGACTATGACAGAAAACGCATATACAAAACAATGGTGAATCCCAAAAAACAACAAAATTCTCCACCTAATCTTACAGATACAATAACATAACAATGACGCTATTAAAACTATTTGTGAAATATAACAGCGTTTCCTTAAATAATCAACAGTAATTATTAACTGCTACTAGGTTAAAGCCCGCGCTACGCGCGGGTGGTGTGTTACTTTACTTATTTAATTGGCTTTTCATTTTTATAAAATTTGTCTAAAAAAAATATTATGATAGTTTTTTCGACACAGCGTTTTGTTTAGTTTCTCGAAATTTAATTTCACATCATTTGCGCATATTTTCTCTCTTTTGTAACTTTTTGATTGAAATAAATTAAAAGAAGGTTAATCAAATATCTTAGAATACATTGATGTATGTTTTTCCTAATAACATTAATGATAAGGTCATCCATGATTTTTTTTTTTAATTGATTTATTATTTGGTATTGTTCATAAGTTACTATTCTCTCCATTAGACGAGTATACCAAGTAATTAGAACCTTTATGTACTTGACAATCTCTCAGTCAAATAAAGCACAACAAAAATAAAAGACAACTTAATGTAACTTCTTATCAAATTCATGTAGACTCCTCTATATTTCATTTTTGCATTCAATTTGATTAAGAAATTATTCCCCTCAAATTCAGTCTGCTTTCGACAAGAGAAACATCAGCTTCAAGACAAAGTTGATTCACATGTTTCGGCAATTAACATTATGATCCATCACCAAATGCATCAGGTAATTTTTGCATCAGATGCTTCTTGTTAGGTGCGATTGAACGATGGCAGGCTTGACCATCCTTTTGGTATCAGGCTACAGAGGATGGAGTGATGATATAGAACAAGCTTTTTCAAACAAATGGTCATTTCAAATGGCAAAGAGTGTTACTTTGAAAAATCGTTGGCAGTCTTATGTAGCTGAAGGTCATTCTTCTTGGTTACATGACTTTTTCACTCGTGAGAAGTTGTCTTCTTCAGAATGAGAGATAATGAGGAGCATATAAAAGAACATGTGGTACTCATGACTGTTGTAATAAGATATAAAGTTTTCAGACATGGCACATTATTTGAAGCAGCAAAGAATGCTCCAACTACAAGCATCTTGAACTGCAGGTTAAAACAGTGACTCTTCTACCGAATACAAAATCTGACCACATGAATAACCGAATCCGTGGTCAAGAACTCTTGTTTCTCTCTTCACTTAATTTAGCTCTCAAAGTGTTCTCCTTTACTCCGAGATCAGACGAATTTTGCTCTCTGCTCTCCTAGATGGTTAACTCTAAGAAGCTTCATCGATTCCCTTAGTTCCCGACAATAACCTTCGATGGGTTCTAATCATTTTTCTAACCACATTGTTTGTTTCTTTGCCACACTTATCATCAGTCTTTTTTTTTTTTGAACAACTTTTCATTTAATAGAAAATAAGTGGTTACAACCGTTCGACTAGACGGGATGTGAGATTGCATGCAGCCGATTTTGCAAGAAATCAGCTTCTCGATTCTCCGATCTCGGAACAAATCGAAAGGAGATCGAAGTGAATAACTTTGCGAGAGATTGAATGTCAAAAAGGAGACCGTAGATTTCCTTTATCTTCTCTTGCGATGTTAGGGCTCGGATTAGATCCTGAGCGTCTGATTTGATTTGGAGGTGGAGGAAGTTCTTCTCCAAGGCTTGGATCAAGGCGGATCTGATCGCGATGGCTTCTGCCATGAGAGGGGAAGAGACGAATGGTTCCGCCAAGCTGCCTGAATCGAGATTGGATCCTTCTCTGCTGGTGAAGATCCATCCTGCTCCCGCGATTGCAGTTTCTTGTTTCCAGGCTCCGTCAGTGAAGCAGATCACTGTGTCGGGGTGGAGAGTCCGTTGATTAGTCGCTCGTGGTGTAGCTTGGTGAGGTTTCTTCTCCAAATCCTGTGCCTCTTGCCATTCTCGAGCATCTTGGATAGATTTGAGATTCGTGTCTTCCGGAGTAAAGATTCTATCTTCAAAGATGCGATAGTTGCGGGCTGACCAAATGGTCCAGCAAATCCAGGGGAAGAGAGGCCCGGAGCTGATTCCGGTGGGGGGTAAGCAGACGAGACGTTTCAGGAATTTGACAGAGGCTTCGAAGCTAATTGTTGTTAGATCGAGGCTCTTCCCAAACGGAGCTAGGGACCAAACTTTCTGCGCAAACTCACACCGGAAGAAGAGATGTTCTGTCGTTTCAAGCTCTCCACAATGCACACAGCAGACATTGTCAAAAAGGCCTCTGTTCAGAAGATTCTCACCCGTAGGTAATGCTTTTTGAAGTATCTTCCACAGAAATAGCTTAATTTTCAGAGAGAAATGACCTAGTCAGATATCTGCATTTCAATTGATTGTTGTTTGTTGTAAATCTGCAGGGGGTTCCTTGAGAGCTCTGGAGATATGATAGCCCGTTTTTGCTGTATACTCTCCTGATTTAGATGGCAGCCAGATGTAATCGTCTTGTGCTCCTCTTCGACTAGGTCGGATTTTCATGATCATTGGTAAGTGGTGTGGGAGCATCTCTTCAATCTTTTCTTTGTTCCATTCTGTACCGTTGATCAAGGAAGCAACTTTTGCGTCTTTGTCGTGTAGGTTTGGGGGACCTAGAGGTCGGATTGGGGACGTGTGTGAAAGCCATGAATCATTCCACAAAGAAGTAGTCTGACCATCCCCTATTGCCTTGCCTAGTTGTTCCACCAAAAGATCTCTACCAATGAGAACTCCTCTCCAGCCATGCGACGATGAAGTGGAGGTAGGGACATCTAGGAAGTTGTAGTCGTTGCAGTATTTTCCTTTTAGAACTCGGGCTAAAAGACATGTTGGGTTTTTCAGAATTCGCCAGCTGAGTTTGGCTAAAAGTTCATCATTGAAGCTTTGAATATCACGGAACCCAAGACCTCCGGAGCTTTTAGGTTTTGTCATCTTCGTCCAAGAAGACCAACTCATCTTCTGCACATCAGGTGTTTGGTCCCACCAGAACCGCGTGAGTGCAGATTGGATCCGTTTGCAGAGGCTCACCGGGATTTTGAAACACAACATTGAATAAGTTGGTATGGCTGAGAGCACACTTTGGATGAGTGTTAACTTGCCTGCAATGGAGAGACGTTGTGAGGAATAATTCACTGCTCGCTGGCGAATGCGGTCAACCACTAAGGAGAAAAGATCCTTCTTCTTCCATCCAAAACTCTCCGGTAACCCCAGGTACTTGCCTTACCCTCCTTCATTCTCTATACCAAGTGTCTGTTTTACTCTATCCTTTATTTCTTGGGGTGTTTTTGATGAGAATGAGATGGATGACTTCTGGTTATTGATTTGTTGTCCTGAAGCTTCCTCATACTTCTGCAGGATCGATGCTAACACTTATCATCAGTCTCAATTCCAGTTTCAATGGCTCTACATCGCCCATGCCGTTATCTTCAAACTTCACCTGTAAACTTGACGGTGTTTGAAAAAGCATGTTCCTTGGTTAAACAAATTGATGAACACAAACATTACAGCAAAACAAATTGAACTCTGTCTAACATATTCGAACTCGAGAAACAAAACATAAATTACAGAAAGAAAAGGACTTACGTAAACTCCGACAAACAAATTCACAATACAGTGACTGTTGAAAGTAATTCTCGAAATCTCCGGCACTGATTTGAGCAAAATCAATTAGTCAATCAAAAAAAAAATATTGGAGGAGAGCACGAGCATAGATCCTCTAACACTGATCCAATACAAAAAGTGACACATCAATACATCATATACGAAAAAATGGGATGTAAAGTTGCAGTAGATGATTGAAGTGAATCAATATAAAAATGAAGGGATCTAAAGTTGCAGAACCAGAAGAAACCGCAGAAAAAAAATTCGAGAAGAAGAAGAACGCAACGAAACCGAATGGCGGATCAAAATAGATAAACCAAAATAGATAAACCAAACCGAGTTAAAATCATTTTAAATAAACCGAAAATGTTGCTGACTGGTATTATTTAGAATGTTTCTATTGGCTATTTTTTTTAAATGATGTGGCAGTTCTAGGAAGCTTAAAAAAGCTGATGTGTCATCACCTGGAGAGGCACAAGGATTTTTGCTATGTTGATTAAAAAATCTATAATGGCGGAGAAATAAACGCCATCGAAAGTATTAATTGTAATAGCATACGTAAAAACGTTATCAAAAGCGGATGAGAAAAGATAACGGGCGCAGACACATCGTTCACCAAAACGCTATCGTTTTCAGTAATAGCGTTTTTCGGACGCTATCTATGCTCAATTTTCTTGTAGTGTATCATTTGTAACAACTGTTTAGAATACAACATATATTGGACTAATCAATATGGAACATTTAACAATAATAAAAAAAGAAATTAGTTATATATAGTTTAGTCAGGTGAAATAAACTGGACATCTCTTGTCTTTGGTCCCATTCAACAACAAGCCATCCCAACCAACCTCAATATAACAGTTTGCGTGCATCTTGTGGCTCTTACTACGCCACGTGTACACCTTAAACCGTATCACGGACACAACCTCCAAACTCAACACAACCTTACCTTGATTCCTCTCTCGTTCCATCTCCATCCAACGGTCCTTATTCACCGTCATCGTGGGGCCACGCAACTCTCCTTCGATCAAGCTCGTGTTCTTTGGGTCTTGGTAAAACGGCTGAGCGAGTTTAGTCGTCGACCCAATCTTTTTATCTTTGTGGTAAATGGATGCGTCCATGGAGTCGTAGTAAACGCCAACGTTTTGGTTTGGGTTATGAGCCGTTATCTTGAAGCTTATGTGTGAGGTCTCGTAACCGTCCGGTTTACCCAAACCAGGGAGAGAGAACCCTCGGATGTGGAAACGTGGACGGTGAGGACGTAGACTGATCCATAGGATGAAGAAAACAATGCCTAAACATAACAAAAGAGATAAGAAAATTGCACATATGAGTTTAGAGACTCTTGTTGTGAGGCTTTCTTTGACTCGATGGACAATGTAGCTTGTGGAGTGGTGACGGGATATGGGTCGGGTCGATGGGTCGGATCTGACCGGTAAGGAGTTGGCCTTGTTGTGCATATTTTTGTTTGTAGATTTATTGTTGTGCATGGGTCATGGGAAGTAATATGACAAATACTGTGGATGAGTTTGTGAGGTTTATGTAGTAAGTTAAAAAATCTCTTTATTATTGTTGGTTGTAAGAAGAAAGCAAAAGATACCTTGGACAATATAATGGGTATATCACTTTGAGAAGAAAAGAATTGACAACTAAGTTACTAAATTAAAAAAAAAAAAAAAAAAAAAAAAAAAAAAAAAAATTAAAACTAAGTTACTAAATTTTGTATTTCTTTTCTTTATATGGAAAGTGCAAAGATTCCAAATTTGACCTTCAAGTTCATATTTTTTAATATTAAGTAACCTAAATTTGGTATGATATGATAAATGTTTACTATTGAAAGTGAAAGTTTGATATGGCCTATTAGATCTTATAACCATGGCTAAATACTATGTTACCTACATTGGTTTGATCTAAATTTTGTGGCTCTTATAAGTAATTTACAAATGATTAGGAGGATTAAAGGTTTCTTGTTGAAGGGGCAATCTCCTGCAGAAAGTGTAGATGTTAAGAGTTATAAACAACTTTAAGCTTCTTGCTTTGTAACATGTGATGTGAAGTGTAGGAGAAGCATTTGAGACAACAAAAGTACAAATGAAAGAAGAAAAAGAGAGATTTCAAAAATCGAGTGGGAAGCTAAATAAAGCCCATAAACGAAAGATTGGATCGGTTTCGAAATCCCAAAATAAGAATTTTGAATAAAGCCCATAAAACATTGAGGTCAAAGACGAATACGTAATCATTTTGAACTTTGTATCGTAAAGAAAAAGGCAAAACTATAGCTTATACAATTATTTTAATGTAAATCCTAGTATTTCGCACGATACAATTCAATTATTACGACTCCATAATATAATAACGTAACTAAATCTATACGCCGCGAAAGAAAAAAAAAATATAACTTGTAAAGTTAATTTTGTTGTTGACCTTCCAAAAAAACTCTCAATTTAAGTTTCAACAACAAACAAATACAAAAAAGGCCCAAAGTGTGTTTTCTCCTCTCAATTCGCCGACGAGTAAAGCGAGAGATGGCGCCGCCGGTGACGGAACGGTGGTGCTTGGCTTTGATTCTTCTCTTGATTTCGCTGTTCGTCCAATCTTCGACGGCCATTTATTGCGGCGCGGAAGATTGTTATGCTCTCCTCGGGTATCACCTTCCGATCCCAATTTTCCGTCAGATTGTTTGTTTTTTAATCTGTCTCTCTCTAAATCTATTGCATTTTCGATTTCAGAGTCGAACAAGATGCGAATGCGTCGGACATCAAGAGATCTTATTATAAGCTTTCTCTGCAACAGTAAGGATCCTGGATTTGTTCGACATTGCTGATTTATTGAATTTAATTTTGTTCAGATTGGATTTGATCTTAAGTTTCTTCGTTTGCTAATTTGTTTTCTCACTTTGATTTGAATCGATTAGTCATCCAGATAAGAATCCGGATCCTGAATCGAAGAAGCTGTTTGTGAAAATCGCTACTGCTTACGAGGTACTTATCTTCTATGATTTTGATTTTTTTTTCGAATCCCATTATACATGTGCGTATAGCTGAGAATCTTAAGAACAAGAGAGTCTTCTATGTGGTTAAAATGGTTACTGGATTGGTGAGATTGCTGTGATAAGTTTCATCTCAATATGTGAATCAAATTTGATCTTTATACAATACCTTTATACATCTAGCTGAGAAATTAGGAACAAGAAGATCTTTTATGTGGTGAAATGGTTCTTCTAGGGAATAATTGGATCGATGAGACTGCTGTGATAAGTTTCATCTCAATCTGTAAAATGTAAATCAAAGTTTATCGTGATTGAGATTTTAGTTTCCTGCTTGCATGCCTAAAGCTATAATTACTATTCACAGAGTTCTCAAAAGAGTCTTTTTTGTTTGTGTGTAATCTTTGTTGCAGATTTTGAAAGATAACGAGACTCGTGCACAGTATGATTATGCAATTGAACATCCTGAAGAGGTCAGTAGAATATTTTCTTAGAAATGTCAATTTCATTTCTTGTTTTTCTAGCTAGCTGTTGATTGCACAGATAAAAGATCTTGCTTTGTGTTTCTTGTATTTAGGTGTTTTACAACACAGCTCAATACTACCGCGCGAAATATGGACATAAATCGGTAAGATGTTATATCACTGAATGTTTTTGATAACTTTTCTTGCAGAAAAAATCTTTGGCATTTTGGACTGATTTTACTGCTTATGTGTTTCTAGGATCCTCGTGCTGTTCTTGTTGGTCTACTGGTAGTTCTATCTGCATTTCAATATCTGAACAACGTGGCAAGATACAATGAGGTACGTTTTACAGTCTTGGAGTCGTACATCATGTTCTCATAGTCAAAGTCTCTGTTCTGCTGAATCATGCCAAGCTATCTTGTTGTATGTTAAGCCTCACTAAGCATCAGAGTAGATGATAGAGAATCATGGACATACGACCTCTTGAATGTGATTCATGTACTTTCTGTGCTTGCAAATATGAGGACTCTATGTAGCTTAAACTCTTAGAAAATCAAATCCTTCTACAGACTTTGGCTCATTTTCTTAATGAGACCCCTGGATCTTTGTTTTGATGAAGGCTCTAGCGACGGTTAAACGAACTCCTGCGTACAAAAACAGGCTCAAGGCCTTAGAACTGGAACGCACGGGTGGAGTAACAAACAAGAAGAAGGGTCCAAAGCAAATCGACCAGTATGCTGCTGCTCTTTTTTTATCTCATCACCTTCTTGTTAGCGAAGAACGAGTCTTATTGCTGACTATATCGTATTCGTTTTTCTTTTGGCTTTGGCAGGAAGCTACAGGAAGAGCTAAGCAACGAACTCGACCTACAAATCAAAGGAGCTGAAAAACCATCTGTCTGGGATCTTCTCGGTGTCCGATTCATTCTCCTACCATACACTATCATCAAGGTTTTTCACGTTTTCAAGAATTTCCACATTTCTCAAGATCACTGTATCAACTCTTCTGTTTCCTTCTTCCAGCTTTTGGTATGGTACAGCAGTTGGGTATGGAGATATAAGATCAAGAAAGCTCCTTATTCAATGGAAGACGCATCTTACCTAACCAGAAGATCACTCGGAATATCTCAAGACGCATGGACTAATCTCGGTATCATTCATTTTATGCTAATTTTTACAACACCAGAACGACACATGGATAAAGATTGATTCTGATATAATGTTGTTGATGATGATTGTGTTCAGATGAATATAAGAAGGAAGATCTTGTGCAGAAAAGGCTATGGGAGAAGCAGAATCTTGACAACTACTTTGCAGAGATGCGTAAAGAGTCAAAGCGAAGAAGATAGGTCACACCATGCCAGGATACACAGCATAACTTATCACTTTTTGTTACCATTATTACTTTTACTTTTAATGTTATAAAACCAGTTACAAGAAGAAGAGACAATATAATTGTATCGGTACAAGGAACCAAAATTTTCGATTTAGCATATATACATGTTGGTTTCATGACTTGATAATGAGCATGATACAGTTTTGACTCTTATGTTTTTCGTTTAACCATTTTAATACGAAAGATTAACACTTAAGATTAGAACTTGATTATCAACCCAAAACAGGGAATTTTTTTGTTTGTTACAGAGAATACAAGAGTGAGATTGTTAATGAAGCTCATGATATCACAAGATAAGTCGTCATGATAATGCAACTTGACATCAAAGGGATCAAAACAAGAGTGTGAAAGCTTGAAGATTTGTTTATATTATACATTGCTTTGCTTATACATCTTCGTGTCCAGCACTTGTTTCCCGCACATGGCACACACTCCTGCACAACCACGAACAGCCAATTACATTACTTATCGAATCAAATTTCTCTATTATAATATGGCTATATGATCAGAGGTAAGAATGGTTAAAGTAAAAGAAGAGAGATGGGTGTATTTAGTATTTACCTTTGCTATAGGCACAAGTGTGACAGTATTTACCATCTTGATGCACTTGCTGCTTGCAGATCATGCACTTTGTTGTAGCGGTACTGTACGGTGACCATCTATTAAGCAAAGAGAAACATCACAAGACAAGATTAGAAGCAGCCAAGAAAACAAAAAGAACGAAAGATGAACACTTGAGACCCTTAAAAGATTATCATTATGATTAGTCCCTTTATAACAATAGTAGAGTTTTACAATCATTCAATCTAGCTAAACATTTACTCATGATTCTTAGACGAACCTAATGGAAACAAACCAATATTCAACTAGAACAAACACAATACAAAACATCCCAAAACTTACAAATTTATGGCCTTTTTCCATGAAAACTTCTACATTTACTAATGATTCTAAGAAGAAACTACATGAAACAAACCAATACTCACCTAAAAACAAAGACAATTCAAACATCCCCAAGCTTACACATTTACTGCTATTCATGTTCTAGAATGTGAAAACAAAACAAACAAAAAACTAACAGAGAAGAAGCTAATCGATGAAAAAGGGTAAAGGAAGATTGAAACAAACCTGTTCTTCTTGGAGAGAAGTTTGTTCTCGTTGAGTTTACGGCCACCACCTTCAGTTACATTGCGAGCACCATCCTTCCACTTATCTGGAACTATCACTTTGGATAACTTCTTCTCACCTAAAGCACACAAAAATCATGAAATTTGAGTCAAAAAGGTTCATGCTTTAAACTCATAAACAGATCTGAGAACATATACTCAATGTTTCGATCTAAGAAAACGAAATCATTAGGTTTAATACCCAGACATGTAACATATCGAGCTAGAAACGAATCGAATCACAATCATTAGGTTTTCCCAATGCTAATTTGGGCGATTTCATCTCAACAAACACAACGATCGAACAAATTGAAAACGAAATTTTGATGGAAGTATTGATTGATTGATTGAATTAGAATACGAAATTGAAGATTTGAAATGAAAGAAGATGAGATTTGTTGATGAACTTACACTTATCGCACACCATCCTTCGTCTCCTCGAGAAGATAGATTGAAGAAACCCTAAGCGCTAATTCGATTTCGAACGCGAGAACTTTACCCTTTTGCAGTTGAATTATATTTAAGTTTAAATTTTATTTTTTCCCTTTTTTCTCTTCTTCTTCAAAAAGTGGTTTTGGAAAGTGGGTGACCGCTTGTCATTTAACACGCGCGATTAGAGATGGAATCGCGTTTCCAGAGATTAATAATGTTTACCTTAAATAAATCACAGTTAAATTAAAATATTATGTTAAGTCAATTTAATGTTTTCAGTTGAGTCATTTTGATAATCGATTTGTGCTGTCATTTTGGAACAAAAACTTGAAAATGTGTCATTTTGGAGAATTGTCCCAATTTCCAATTCTTAAAATAAGAAAAATATTTGGTTGACTCTCAATATATTCAGAGTTTTTTTTTTTTTTTTTTTTTTTTTTTTTTAATTCCACAAATATTACATTTGGTGATTCAAGTACAAACATATATATAAAACAACCTTCATATATCTCAACAAGAAGATTAATAACCATCATAATCTTCATCACATAATTTACCCAAAATACTTTTAGCAGAGGACGAGTCCGACCCACTGAGACGGTCTAGCCTATCCTCAGCCCAAGCCGTTGCATGTAACTTACGGTGACCCTTAGATTTGCCGGCTGACTTGGTAGTATAAGTCGGCGATCCATGGCAATTACTCCACTTAGACTTGTCACATTTACCAGTGAATTTGGAGTGGTTAGTTGGTTTTGACGGCACTTTGGTAAATACTCCAAAAGCTGGTGGTGAATCGAACCGGTTCATAGGTCTTGGATTGAAATTTGACGGAAGAGCCATCAACGTTCGAACCACACCGTGTTGACGACCTTCTCTCTTCATTTCTGCTTATTTTGATTTTGAGACTTGATGAATTATAGAATCACCAATTTGTAGATATATATAGAGAGACATATACTTGAGGAGCAAACCAAATGTGTTTGGAGCACAAGAAGATATAAATGGTCAAACATACTTGTGCACCAAGAAATTAGCATTATTTTGTTGATTATTCAAAGTTTTGGTCAGGCATTATTTGAAGGTTTCATTGGGCTGAGCTCAGAAGAGAAATGGGTTTTCATTAGGCTGGGCTCGAGTACGAAGCCCAACAACAATATTGTGAAACTGTTGAAGACGGCCACGTGGATACACTAACCAATCAAAATCTTCCATCCTGGACAAACCAGCGAGATGAGATATCAAACGCTTCGTAGACCTTCTTCTTCAACTAGAGGCTTTCTGGTAAACGGTGATACCTTTTTTTCCTTCAGTTTTCTCTTCTCTTTCCGAATCTGAACTCACCAGAGAACCTTCGAAGGTGAGAGATCGACAATGGCGATCAATAAAAAGCTCTTATCTCTCCTATTCCTCTTAGCAGCAGTTTTATCATCATCGGCCATAGCAGCTTCGTTTTCGGATTCAGATTCCGATTCAGATCTCATCAACGAGCTTGTTTCTCTCAGATCATCCTCCGAATCAGGCGTAATCCGTCTCGACGACCATGGAATCTCAAAATTCCTCACATCCGCTTCCACTCCACGGCCTTACTCTATGCTCGTCTTCTTCGACGCTACTCAGCTCCACAGCAAATCCGAGCTCCGTCTTCAAGAGCTCCGCCGCGAGTTCGGCATCGTCTCCGCTTCGTTCCTCGCTAACAACAACGGATCTGCTGGAACCAAGCTTTTCTTCACCGAGATCGAGTTTTCGAAATGCCAATCCTCGTTCCAGCTCTTCGGCGTCAACGCGCTCCCTCACATCCGCCTCGTTAGCCCTACGATTAAGAACCTCCGCGACGAATCCGGCCAGATGGATCAATCGGATTTCTCTCGGTTAGCGGAATCAATGGCGGAGTTCGTCGAGCAGCGAACGAAACTCACCGTCGGTCCAATCCAACGGCCGCCGCTTCTCTCCAAGGGGCAGATCAGTATCCTCATATCGTTGATCGTGATCGCTACTCCGTTCGTCATCAAACGGATTTTAAAAGGAGAAACGCTTCTTCATGACCGTAGGCTTTGGTTATCAGGTGCTATCTTCATCTACTTCTTCAGCGTCGCTGGTACGATGCACAACATCATCAGGAAAATGCCAATGTTTCTTCAGGATCGTAACGATCCGAACAAGCTGGTTTTCTTCTACCAAGGATCTGGAATGCAGCTTGGAGCTGAAGGATTCGCTGTTGGGTTCTTGTACACTGTGGTTGGGTTGCTCTTGGCGTTTGTCACCAATGTGCTTGTTCGTGTGAAGAACCTCAATGCGCAGAGATTGGTTATGCTTTTGGCTCTGTTCGTATCGTTCTGGGCTGTGAAGAAGGTGGTTTACTTGGATAATTGGAAGACTGGATATGGGATTCATCCGTATTGGCCCTCAAGTTGGCGTTGATTCTCACTCTTTTGAGTTTTGAGGAATGTTGTTCACAAAGGTAATGCGTTTAGCTTTTCGAAAACGTTTCTGAGATTGAGTAATGATGTTTTTGGACATTTTGGCGTTTCGATTCGAATACTTTGAATCAGTGTAGTACAATTTCAGATGGTTTAAACATATTACCGCTACATTACTAGTTCCTTGTTAGTTATTTCATCTGAATGAGAAACTTATAATCAAGAATATGGATCTCTTGTCACTGGTTAGGAGAAGAGAGATGAGTCTTGAGAGCACACTAAGATAGTTATTATCATGTGTCTGATTGTTTGTTTGCATTTTCGTTTACATGTTATAACATTACACTTATCATAACATTGAAACGCAAACGTAAAATGCAAAGAAACAATCATTCTGAGTTTGTATGTGCATTTAGTCTTTTCTTTTTGCATAATTCAGAAAGGACTTTGTGATAAGAGGATAGTGTAAGCATTATGAGAGTTTTTGCTTTGTTGTTCGTCTTCTTCTTCTTCTTCTCTTGTGGGTTTTCATTTCTCTAAAGTGTTATTACCATCTCGTGTTACCATTTGTTTGCAAACCAGTCTAGACTTGAGTCAAGCTAGGTTTGCAAGTACGAGTTCTTTACTTTTTCTGCACAATTTGAAGATAGAGATTTTTGGTTTATTTATACCTTCTTTAGCCTCTAGACATGACAGACTTTGTTCGCCATTAACGTTGTTTTTGCGACCAGTTTTAGGCCCAGATCATTGAAGTCCAGCCCGTTTAGACCTGTGTAAAGTAGAGCCCGTTTAACTCAAGACCGTGTATATGCCTTTAAAACTAACTTTAGAACCGTTGAGTGTACTTTTACGAAGCATCCAACACCAATATACACATTTTGACATATTTTATGTGAATGAATATACTGTGAAAGTGTTATAACACCATTACGTAGTCTATTACTCTATTTAGGGTTTTCCAAAAATGAAGCAAGATTTTGATTTTACAAAGCTAATATAAGTTTAAATTGGCAAATTATGTTCATTATGTTATTGATTTGAACTCTTGACCTAACAAAACAAAATCACTAGGCTACAAACATTTAAATATACAATTTCTTAAAGATACTCATTTAGATAAAGTTCAAATAATATTCCGACGGGGAAATTTTATTTATCAACAAAGGCAAGAGGTGTCTTGAAAGTGACTAAGCACAATTTTCAACCTATATAAACAAAAAAGACATAGCTGTCTCACTTAGTCACATTGTATGTTGACACAAATTTACAATTCAAGACAATGACGATTGCATACACATAAATTTGCATATACACATATTTTATCGGTATGTGTATAGAACTAAATAGCGTGAAGGCCACTACTCATATATCTCAAAAATGTGTAGCTTTCAAAATTTTATAAATAAAGGATTAAGGCTAATCATTTGATTTGACAGCAATATAATTTTTGTTGGGCCTTGTATAGTATATTTAATATTTTGTGATTAGTTTATACTTAATTTAGTAATTATAAATGACAGCTTTCCTGTTGATTATCTAAGCGAAAGTCACATGATTTGGAATTTTATGTTTTGGTTTTATCGTTCCGACAGTATTTGTTGTCCGTGAACTTCCAATTACTTAACCTTATTTCCTTAAGAAGCCAACCAATTAGATATAGAAATTCACAAGATTGATAGAATGATGCTACAAATTTACCATGATTTTGATTTTGTGTGTGTTTGCACCTAATTGGGCAATACGAAAGACTATTTTTACGTAAATCATTTACTATTGAAACAACCGCAGACTTCCGAAAATATGAATACATTTTGATAATAACCAAATCAAGTATTTCAAAAATCAAAATAATCACACAATTATACTTTTTAACCAAGCAAATATAAAAATTCACATATGCTCTACCATGTTTTCACTTTAGTTTAGGTTTTCAAGTTGTTAGACCAAATCTTTGGTTTCGTTGATGAATGAATAAAAATTTAATTTCCTAGCCAATCAAATTATATAGTTGAACCAACTTAAAAAAAAAAAAAAAAAAGTCTTGTACACTAACTAGTTGTTAACTTGTTATTAGCCACTATCCTTATTTTGTCGAACGGCTAAGATTCGATCGTACCTTTTTTGGGGTAAAAAATCGATCATATTTATCCTTCATGTGATTACAGTATAAACCTTCTTTGTGATCCCAAAAAGAAACCATTAATAAAAACATAGAATTGTTAAAATGTTATTAACTGTATTGTATGTAGTGTTTTAAGTTTTATTTGATATGCCAAAACAGCATCAGGGTTCGAAGCCATTACAACCAGATTACGTTTCCAAAACTTAAATAACAATTTACATCTATTGTATTGTATATGTATGTTGTGTTTACCTATTTCATTCGTACAATATTTGTTAATAAAGAATTAGAAAATTTATTTGATATGCCAAAACAAAATAGCCATTGCGACCAAAATACGTTTCAAAAACTTAAAATAAAACACCTATTTTGTATTTGAGTAGATGAAAAATTAATCATCGGTTGGGATTAGTAGTTGAACCAAAACTCGTGGAATGGATTACCTAACTCTTTTAACTAATTTACTTATACATAACATCGTGATACAAAAAAAAAACAGTATTCGGCTATTCGCCTTGTCCTTATCGGATAAGATATTCGTTTTTCTGTTTTCCGTTAAATATATACAAATTTTATATTCTTGAATAATTGATAAAGAATATACTTCATATTTATTTAATAAGATTACCACGACTCTTTCATGTCTCCTCCCATTTTTTCATTTGTCTTTAAATATCATTCCAATCTCAAACATAAGGGCATTTTGTCTCATCTTCACCTTCATCTTCATCTTCTTCCTCTTCCTCTTAATTCATTTCTTTTGTAAACCAAAAATTATTTTGTTCTTTGTAGCATTATCATCGTAGAAGTGTTTCGGATCTTTGACAGACACTTAACTGTTGTGTCGGATTCGAGCATGGCTACAAGATTCAAAGGGATTTATCACAAGAGCTTCAAGTGTTTCTCGGACGTTTTCGGTAAATCAATACTCCCTCCGTTTCAAATTAGTTGTCGTTTTGGCAAAATTTATTTGCAATTTTTTGATGTATCTGCAATACAAAACACGTCCAGATACGTTCAAATATTTACAGATACATTTTGCCAAAACGACAACTAATTTGAAACGGAGGGAATAGTATAAAACTATAAATTATAATCTTGTTTACCTTTATTAAATGGACATAAATAATCATACTAATGATTACAAATTGGATTAAATGATATTTTTCTTTTGTAGATGTGAAGGAGGACGAGATGGAAATCGGATATCCTACAGATGTTAGACACGTGTCGCATATTGGTTGGGACAGTTCATCTAGTAGTGCACCTAGTTGGGTAAGATCTTTTTTTCGTTTCTGAAACAATTGGAAATGCTTTTGTTTTTTTTTTACAAATATACAACTTGATCAAGTCTTAACCTGTTTGAAATAATTTTACAGCTACATGAATTCAAGACGAGCAACAACGTCTTAGAACCAAATTCATCGTGGCCATTTCAAGGCAAGTTTTTTGTTTTGTTTTTGTTTTTTAAATGAATAAATTCTATTCCTATATTATTTAATTTAAGCAGGCTTGTAAATATATTACTTGATCGATGAATAAAATCAATAAAAAATATATTGAGAGATTATATGTATTTATGGATATGATGTATATATGTGTCTAATAACATAAGTTCATATTATATCATTTCAGATCATTATACAGATTTGAAATCTGCAATGGAGGCATTTGATAAAGTTGAAAGCAGCAAAGAAATGGGAAGAGAACCAACAAAACACAATCTGAAGAAGAAGCTCTCTTCAAAAGCCTCTATATTGTGTAGTCCATGGTCACCAAGATTCTCAACATCAAGCAAGGTCCTTGCTTGATTGTTTTTTAATAATTTGTTTTCCATGCCACTGTTTATATAATAATATAGAGAATATAGTGATATATCAATTCAAATGTTTTCAGTCGAGGTTTTTTTTTTTCAGAAGTGTGTACAAATTAATAATCAAAGTGTCTTTGCAATGATATTGGAATGGTTTTACTAAGTCCCTTTTTAGTAAGTTGGGATATGATATTTTATTTAGGTCTTCAAATGTTTCTAGAGTAATTTTGAGCTACGTCTCATATGAGATTTCTGAAGTACGAACAAAAAATTGTTTTCAAACCCAAACAAAGTTTTGCCTATTGTCTAAGTTTAGTATCCTTTTTAGTCAATTTTTTTAAATAGTACTGTTCCTTAACCATTTTTGCGACTGAAAGTTGAGAAATTAGAGGCGTCTAGAAAGAGCGAGATCACCAATAGTAGAACTACCTCCTGAAGCTCTGGTTGAAGCAAGAGGAGAAGTGCGTGAGGTAATGGCCCAATACGCAAACTGTGCCGACCCAACTGAAAGTGCTGCGAGAAAAGAACGACTGAGATTAGCAGAAGAAAGAGGCGAAGTGGATCAAACTGCTGAACAGATGGTGCGTTTCTCACTACGTACTCAAACTCAGGCACAAACGAACGAGGAAGAAGTATTGGAACCCCTAATGCATGAAAGAGTACCTGCTATACTAAGGCTAGGACCAGTGTTGACAGACATCCCTATAATGGAAGCTCCACCACGGATTCCGGCGAAAAAACGCTTGGGAAGACCACCTAACAAAAAGAAATCAGGGATGCCATCAGTAACAAAGAGGGGTTCAAGCTCAAAAACTCGAAAAGTGGTACAAAGGAAGGTGGCACAAGTCAAGATATCTCCGAGAAGAAGACTTACAACGGGAAGTACGTCAAGGAGAAGAAACCAGAGTTCACCCGGGATATCTCCAAACCAGAACCCCCAAGATGCAGCGCCGACTTCCTCAAGAGAGCCTCCTCAGATGACCATAGTGCCTGCAACCTCAAAGAGGAAGATGGATTTTCAAAATCCATCCAACCCTCTTCCTTAAAAGTTTTAAGTTGGAACTGTCGAGGTTTGGGAAACCCCGCGGCAGTTCGGAGCCTACAGGATATCAAGAAGAAATTTGATTTTCCTGAAATAATTTTCCTAATGGAGACGAAAAATGGAAATGAGTTCGTTCTCAAAGAGCTTAACTGTTTAAACTATGATCACATTGCGTTGGTACCACCGTATGCACAAGGAGGAGGAGGCTTAGCCCTACTATGGAAAAAAGAAGTCGAAATCAGTATCCTCCATCAGAGCGATCACTTTATAGATACAGAGATAAAGTTTAAAGGAGAGAAGTTTAATGCTACCTTTGTGTACGGAGCTCCGGAAAAGGAAGGAAGAGCAGAAGTATGGAGGACAATCAAAGATCGAGCTGAAAATCGAGAGACTCCTTGGTTCCTCACCGGAGATTTTAATGAAATCGTGGACAACTCTGAAAAACATGGAGGACCAGCCAGGGCAGAGAGTTCCTTTGTCGACTTCCGATCTTTTATGTCAGAATGCGATCTTTTTGATCTGAGGTACTCGGGCAATTTCCTGTCATGGAGAGGACAAAGAAGGAACCATTTGGTGTGATGCAGACTCGATAGATCAATGGCGAATAGTGCATGGATAGAGGCTTACCCGTCTGGCCGGAGTGAATACCTAAACTTTGAAGGGTCTGACCATAGACCTATCATCTCCTTCTTCCATGCTGCTAAGAAAAAGAAAAGAGGGCTTTTCCGTTATGACAGAAAGCTAAGGAATAATGAGGAAGTTAAACAGCTTATTGAAGAGACATGGAACTATAACTCACGAGCAAACGTGGAGATGCGAATCTCAAACTGTCGAAAAGCCATAATCCAATGGCACAAGAGCAACCATACAAACAACCAAAAGCAGATAGAGGAAAAGAGAAGAGAGTTAGAAGGAGCCATGTCAAACAATGAACCGAATGAAATCCTGATTTCTCAGATAAATAAAGAGCTAAAAGGGGCTTACGAGGCAGAAGAAGAATACTGGAGACAACGCAGTAGGCAAATGTGGCTCAGTCTGGGAGACAAAAATAGTGGCTACTTTCATGCTGCAACTAGAGGAAGAAGAGCAAGAAACAACATTTCGGTCATTGAAGATGATGCAGGCAATACAGTTTATGAAGAAGCAAAGATTGCAGAGATAATCACATGCTATTTTGAGAAAATGTTTACCTCCCAGGCTGGATCCAGAACAGAAACAGTCAATCAGAGCATCACACGTAGAATCTCGGACGAAACCAACAGGCGACTAACTCAAATTCCTAGCCAACAGGAAGTCAATGCAGCGATTTTCTCCATTCACCCGGACAAAGCTCCTGGTCCAGATGGTTTCTCAGCCAGTTTTTTCCACTCTAACTGGGAAACAATTGGAGAGCACATCACAACCGAGATTCAAGACTTCTTCAGAACCGGATCCCTCCCTCAGAACCTAAACGCCACCCATATCTGCCTAATACCAAAGAAGACAAGCCCTAAATCAGTCGCGGATTACAGGCCAATAGCGCTTTGCAATGTGTTGTACAAAATCATCTCAAAAATCCTTACCGCTCGACTACACCCAATCTTAGATGGCTTAGTCTCTGAGAATCAGTGTGCCTTTGTGCCAGGCAGAGCGATTTCGGATAATGTCATGATCACCCATGAAATCCTGCATTTCCTGAAAATTTCAACGGCAAACAAGAGAGGCTCAATGGCGATTAAAACAGATATGACAAAAGCATATGATCGAGTGGAATGGGACTTCATCAAAGTTGTTCTGGAAAAAATGGGGTTCCACGAAAAGCTAATAGGGTGGATAATGCAATGCGTTACAACTGTTACCTTCAGTTTCCTGCTCAATGGAACGGCAGTGGGAAAAGTGAAACCATCTAGAGGCATACGTCAGGGAGATCCCCTTTCTCCCTATCTTTTCATCCTATGCAGTGAGGTCCTATCAGGACTCTGTAATAAAGCACAAGAAACTGGTCAACTCTCAGGCGTACGAGTGGCAATGGGAAGTCCGAGAGTGAATCACTTACTCTTTGCTGACGATACAATGTTTTTCTGCAAGTCCAATGCGAAAACATGCAAGGTCCTGAAGGAAATCCTGGACAAGTACGAAGAGGCTTCAGGACAAAAGATAAGCTGCCAAAAATCAACAATAACCTTCTCAAAAAAGACTTCACGAGAGGTTAAAAGAAGTGCTATGAATATTCTGGGAATCCACCATGAAGGTGGTCAAGGGAAGTACCTAGGGCTTCCTGAAGCCTTTGGGAGGAAGAAAAAGGATTTGTTCAGCTCAGTGGTAGATCGTATCCGACAACGAGCTATATCTTGGTCCTCAAAACTTCTGTCCAGCGCAGGGAAGTTAGTACTCCTCAAATCAGTCCTATCATCGATGCCTACTTATGCCATGTCCTGCTTTAAGCTCCCTGTAAGCCTAAGCACAAGAATCCAATCTGTGTTAACAAGGTTCTGGTGGGATGCAAACCCAGAGAAGAGGAAGATGTGCTGGATAGCTTGGAAAAAACTTACGAGAGGGAAAAGTGAAGGAGGATTAGGCATCCGAGACATCCAAGACTTCAATGATGCACTCCTGAGCAAATTGAGTTGGAGAATTCTCACAAAACCCGACTGCCTTTTAGCTCGCATCCTGAAAGGAAAATACTTCCAAAATCAGTCTTTTCTGGATTGTACCTTGAATACTGGATGTTCTCATGGTTGGAGAGGCATAATGATTGGCCGAGACCTATTAAAGGAGAAGCTGGGAAAGGTTATTGGTAATGGGGATACAACAAGGGTTTGGGAGGATCCTTGGCTATCTACAAAGGAACCTATCATTCCTATGGGCCCAGCGCCACTCGCGTACAAGAATCTAAGAGTTAAAGACCTTTTCCTACCAAACTCTAGAGTGTGGAATGCAAACTTGATTAGACGAGTTCTACCAGCTTATGAAAGAGAGATCTTAGGAATAATACCAGGAAATTATGCGACGGAGGATCGTTTGGCATGGCTCCCTCAAGCAAACGGAGAGTACTCAGTCAAGACCGGATATCACACAGCCAGAGCACGAACACCAGACGAAGTAGTCCCTGCATCAGCAAACGGAAGCTTTAACTGGATAACAGATATTTGGAAGGGCTACTATGCTCCGAAACTCAAAATTTTCCTCTGGAAATCAGTTCAAGGAGCCTTACCAGTCGGAGAAAACCTAGCAGCCAGAGGTCTCAATTCGCAATCAGCTTGCATCCAGTGTGGAGCTCTGGAAACCACTCTTCATCTTTTGTTTCATTGCAGATATGCCCAAACGGTCTGGAATGCAGCGCCCTTCCGTGACCAATTTCTTCCAAGCGCCATCACGAGCACAAAGGAGGGAATTGCAAAGCTAAAATTGATAATTTGCCTTCCACCGCTAGGAATCAAAGGAGAATCTCTGGCGCCGTGGATCCTCTGGAGCATCTGGCTGAGTAGAAACAACAAAATCTTCAACAATAACAATCTGGGTGCTTTTGGAACTCTGAATTTAGCAATCATCCGCGCCAGAGAATGGATGGAAGCACAAACGGAATTGCAAGCTAAAACATTTACCGGAGCGATCAGATCCGCAAACCAGAGCATCCCTGACGAGTTTATCCGATGCCACACAGATGGAGCATGGAATGAAGAACACAGATCCGGAGGCCATGGGTGGACCTTTCAGGACAACAAACTCGAATTCCTAAAACAGGATTCAGCAGCAGCTGCGAACATAGCTTCGCCTCTAATTGTAGAGAGCATAGCGATCCGATCGGCGCTCCAGCAAGCCCTAGATCTTGGGATCAAAAGTTTGCATGTGGCGTCGGACTCACAACAGCTCATCAACGCGATCATTTCCAATTCGAAACTATCGGAGATCTTCGGGATTCTTCAAGATATTTCGCATCTTTCCTTGTTTTTTTAACAATGTTGTTTTTGTTTCCATTCCAAGAGCTGCAAACGCTGTAGCAGACTCGTTGGCTAAACTAGCTCTCCGAAATTTCCTTTCGGAAGAGTAAGAGTCGTTTAATGAAAAAAAGAGTTTGAACAAAAAAAAGAGGCGTCTATAATGAAATGTTTCGGTATTTTTTTGCTCTAGCTAATCGAAAATGAAATGTGGTAATGAAATGTTGTGACGAATGGAATGGACTCGAAAAGCTTGATATTTTGTTCGCATGGGCTAACATTTGTATAGCAGATACGATCAGCCCATTTATTATTAGTCTATGTATCCCATCATTATACTTTACGAAGTAACGAATTTGTAAATTGAAGAAAACGGTCCATTTATTATTAGTCCCTACTATTTTTTTAAAGATTTATATGTTGAAGAAAAGAGAATAGTAGTATAGGTTCGTAAACTCTATATAAAATGTGAACATCGCGACAACGAAAGCGACCTGAGATTCAATACCAATCGTTAGTGTGCTCCATTTCCCAATGAGGTTAGTTTTATGATCACTGAACCTTTTTTTTTCCTTACCTTTTTGGGTTCGATCGTCGTTACTATACCTAAAAATATTACAATCTATAAAACTTTACCGAATATGTAAAAATATTAATAATTGTTAATGGTCTATAGAAAATACAATTTTTAATATTGTCGAGCAATGTGTAAAGTAGTGAACGATAGAGTTTAGGTATTAGAGAATTGTTTAGTTTAGATGTTTAAATCAAGGTTACTAGTAAAGTGCTGCACTCTTAACTAACGTCACCACATTCTGATATTAAACTTTCAATCAGTGACTCATAGCGAACACGTAGGGAGACCAATCAAGGGAACAATTTGGAACGCGGAATTTCCCAATTTCCACACAAAACTTTCGTGCAAAATTTTCCTAGCCGTCGAAAATGAACCAAATTTACCTGACCTGTAAACAAACACACACATACATGCAAATTAACGACACATGTGTTGTATCAACTAGGGGAGTTGGTGAAGAGAGTGTTTGTCGTGTAATGAGAGTTGCATGTGTTCAATAACACTGTTATGTTTTGTAATTTTCCTTTGAGATATTTTACGCGGTGAGAAATCGATTTGTTATGTTTTGTAATTTTCCTTTGAGATATTTTACGCGGTGAGAAATCGATTTGCGAGGTTACATCAATGAATATTGAAGCTGTACGTCCCACATGTGACCAGATCCTCTTCCATTTCAACGGTCCAAATCAACGTTACATAACACATATATACAAAAAAGTACAAGACTAGTCTGCGCATATATGAAACATTATATGTTTTTTTGTTAAAGTTGAAACATTATATGTTAGCTCTAAAATTCTAATGAACTTAAACAAGATCTAATTTAATGTGAGGTTTTAGATTATTGATTTAGTCGTCGAGTAGATTATCATCAGTTTAAGAAGGATATACATGTTAATATGTTGTTATTTTGATTAAAGGCTATGATACGTATTTTCACCCACTGTGTTTCCATTAAAATGGCAAGAAAACTCTCTTACTACACTTTATTAATTGTTACTTGTCTCTGGATTTAGGCACATGATTTATCTGGTTATAAGAAAAATAATTAATTTCATTAAATATCTTAGCTTACTTATTGATTGACGTTACTCATTGACTCACATGACAACTAAAATAAAAATCATGGTCGAAAATACTTTTAGTCTAGAGAAATTTTATGAAATACACCTCTTGAGATGCAAATTTTCAAAACTATATCTATAGTGTGGAAATTCCCCCTTGTGTTAATCAATAATGTGTAAGATTTTTTATCAACATGAAGGTTTTTTTTTTTTTTTGGGTCAACACATGAACGTTTTAGATTGTAGTGTAAATTAAACTTATTTTTAAAACAGATTGATAAATACCAAGAGAATAATTGGGTATGTGCAACCGTGCAAGAAAGCTATACTAATTCAAATTTGATACTTGCTTCCTCTTAACGTAAGTCCCAAAGACTATACACTTGGTTTCTTCATGGTCTCATAGTTTCAAGATCCTGTAAACACAAATGGTTCCACTTTGTATCCATAATCACATGAACCAACCAAACCATAATATAAAAGGGTACTTTCGTCATTTCATAACATCTGAATTCTGTTTTGTCGTTACCCTTTCCCTCCTCTGTTCTCAAACCTTCTATAAATCCTCTTCTTCTTCCTCTTTCACTTTACCTACCAACAAACGTCTCTTCTCTTCTCTCTCACTCTAAAAGAAAAAATGATATCTTCAATTAAACCGACTTCATCTTCCTTCTCCGGCGTCTCCACCGGCGTTAGACAGTCAATTCCGACGAAGCTCTGTTTTTCTCCTTTACACATCATCAAAAACTGCCATAACCAGACCTTCAGCTCCAAATTCTCTTCTCATCAAAAGCCTCTCCACATTTCATCTATCCAAAACTTCAAGCGTGAAGTCAGAGTCGAAGCTTACGAGGCCGATCGATCGCGTCCTCTCGACATCAACATCGAGCTAATTCCCGACGAACATTCAGCTCAGAAACTGAAAATCGGACTTTACTTCGCGACTTGGTGGGCACTTAACGTTGTCTTCAACATCTACAACAAGAAAGTCCTCAACGCTTTTCCTTACCCTTGGCTTACTTCGACGTTGTCTCTCGCTTGTGGGTCTTTGATGATGCTCGTCTCTTGGGCCACTAGAATCGCCGAAGCTCCTAAAACTGATCTTGATTTCTGGAAAACTCTGTTCCCGGTAAGAAAATTAGGTTTTTTTGTCATGATTGTTGCTTGGCAAATTCAGCTTCTTTATGCCAAATTTATGTCAAATGTCGATCTTTTATTTAGATTGAAAGCTCTATTTCTTAAAAAATCTTATTTTTCGGTATAAATTATGAAAAAACCCGACACTTTCTGACGATTAAGAGCTCTGTTTCTGGAAAACTCTGTTTCTGTAAAACTCTGTTTCGGGTAGGAAATTTGGGGTTTGTGTTGTTGTCTCTTGATGTGTGAATTTAAGGTTTCGTGAAGCTGTTTCTTGATAATTTTATCTTGTTTTGTTTGAAATTTATGGCAAAATTCGTTGCTTTCTGAAAACCAAAGCTAGAAACTGAGACTGTATTAGACGAAAAACAAGAACTTGGTGAATGGTTTGTTGTCTGATAAAGAAGTGTTTTTTCTTTCCTTATGGTTCTTCTTCTTCTTCTAGGTCGCAGTGGCGCACACGATCGGACACGTGGCGGCAACAGTGAGTATGTCAAAAGTAGCAGTTTCTTTCACACACATCATCAAAAGTGGTGAACCAGCTTTCAGTGTAATGGTGTCAAGATTCTTCTTGGGAGAGACTTTCCCTCTTCCTGTCTATCTCTCTCTCTTACCCATCATCGGAGGCTGCGCTCTCGCCGCCGTCACCGAGCTTAACTTCAACACCATCGGTAACAACTCACAACCCTTCAAAGATTACCTTTTTTTTCCGTAACCAATTGATCTCATATTACTTCTTGCATGTGTGACATTTTCTTGATTATGTATATGGTTTATGGTTTTTGGTAGGGTTTATGGGAGCGATGATATCGAATTTAGCATTCGTGTTCCGGAACATTTTTTCGAAGAAAGGAATGAAAGGGAAATCAGTGAGCGGAATGAATTACTATGCGTGCTTATCGATGATGTCTCTTTTGATCCTTACTCCGTTTGCAATCGCTGTGGAAGGTCCTAAAATGTGGGCTGCTGGTTGGGAAACCGCCGTTTCTCAAATCGGACCGCACTTTGTTTGGTATGAACGTAACTAAAAACCAAATATCAATAACTTTTTTTTTTCATTCCATATGGACTTCAGTCTAGAACCTCCTAGTAATTTAAAATAAAGAAGTTTGATTGTTTTGTGTTTTGTTTTGGATATCAAACAGGTGGGTAGTGGCACAAAGTGTGTTCTACCATTTGTATAACCAGGTCTCATACATGTCCTTGGACCAGATTTCGCCGTTAACTTTCAGTATCGGTAACACGATGAAGCGGATTTCGGTCATTGTGGCTTCCATCATCATTTTTCATACACCGATTCAACCGGTTAATGCGCTTGGTGCTGCCATTGCCATTCTTGGAACTTTTATCTACTCTCAGGTATACAAACAAACCTTGTTCTTGTTTAGGTGCTAAATCACTTGCTGAGATTAGGTGAGAGATGTGGTTCTTGAATGATATAATCAAACAGTGGAAATATCCCTCGGTTTCTATATTTCGGTGTTTTTCTTTCAATTCTAGTGAACTTGTCACTAATGTTGTTTCTCTGTTCCTTGCAATCTTTGAGCAGGCGAAGCAGTGAGGATGGTTTGATGACGCAAATTTCTGGGTAGATTTTCAAAAAAAGAGTTAGCTAACAAGAGTAGCCAGAGAGGAAATAATATTCCGGTGAGATACACACTGGAAGGTACCTTTGTTTTTGCGTATGAAGAAACTGGAGCATGAAGTTGATAATTAGTTAATTACATTAAGAGTGTTATCATGGTTTTTTATTTATTTTATAAATTTTGTATCACAAATGATATTTGAAGTAGTTTTCTACATTTTAATGAAATCTGAATCCTGAGGAGTGCTTAACTATGGAGCTACAATTCACAAAGTGTCATGCTTCAATGCTTGGAATATAATAGTTTTAAACAAAGCAATATTCACCAGTAGTAGTAAAGACTAAAGAGTAAACAAGGCAATGGATCTTAAGATTCAAAAAGATGAAAACACCCTAAAAGAAAATTAAGTGTCATCGAATAATACAAGGACAGTACGTAGTAATAAGATACCGTGACGATGAAGTGCTAACAAGAACCTAGAGCCAGAAGTAGCTCGGTTAAACCACTCCCATGAGCTTTATGTCCTCTACATGATCAAGAAACATTTGAACTTGATATTTTTCAAACATTTCCATTCCTTGGACTTCAACTCTTACGACTGTCTTTCTCTCGAGATTGTAGTAGAAGAGGTAGAAAGGCGAGGTTGGATATTTTGTAAACATCACAATTTCATTTGTGCAAGTCACTCCAACAAAACCCAAACAGGCTCTTCTAACTAGCTTCTTCCACAAAGCAGGTAATACGTATTTATGCTTGGACCATTCCTGTTTTTTTAAATCTTCAAGAACCCACAGCTCAACTTCAAGAAATTGATAATCTGTAACTGTTGACTCCAAGATCAGTCATTAACTGGATATCCTCCTGTAAGCATATATACATATTGGACAATTGAGGCAAAAGCAAAGAAAATAGATAAACCACGTTCTTCAGGATATAAAATTAACAAAAGGTCACAACAAAATATAAGAAAACTATATAACCATAAATCGACGATATTGGTCAACAGCTACATCTCCATTCTTCCCATCCAATATTTTCTCTGCATATATTTTGCCATATAATAATATTGTCACTGAAAAACACGATATCTAAAAAATGATAACGTGCCGACAAAAAGTCAGAATAAAGTTGACACTGCAAATAAATTTAACTATGCTATGATTGCAGGTGACGAATCTCGAAAACGTTTTTTACACATATGCGAAATCACATAAGTTCGTGTACAGAGTCGTCTTTGGGAGCAAGCAAAACAAGCAGCAGCTTGCGGCCCCGGCTCTAAATATATATTTTTTCGACCCTTGATATAAAGAAAACCTTTAGTAGTCTAGTGGTAGCTTCCCTTCTAACTTGACTTCAAAAGCACGAGTTCAATTCTCCTTTGGTGCTTTTGTTATGTTTTAATTTCTTTTCTTTTTTTTTGAAAATTCGACCCAAAAAACTTTTGGGCTTGCGGCCTATAACATTTCAGGGACGGCTATGTTCGTGTAGCCAATTAAGTACACCAAAAGAAATTAGGCGAACAAAGAAAGTCCAAATAAAAAAAATAAACGGCAATATAGTTCAAATTTCTTCCAAACCGAATTAACCAACAAAAAAAAGAGTACATACCAGGGTTTTCATGGGTAAAGACATCCCAATTGTCCAGACCTTTTCCATCGGTTAAGTACCCACCTTCATACTGAATAATGAAGATAAATCATCCCAAGAAGTTAAATGAAATTAAACAAAAAATAAAATAACATTGAGTACTCTAACATCTGATTTTAGAAACTTGGAAAGAAGCAAAAGGAAGTACCTGGTAAGCAGAAGAAGCTGTGCCAAAGAGGAAATCAGAAGGAAATGGAGACAAATCTCCTAAAATGACGTCGTCTGAAGAAGTTGTTTGATGAAGACTTGATGAACTGTAAAGAGGAAACAATAAGCTTTGTACCAAAAATATAATTACAATTGCAGAACGTTTCATTTTGTGTGTGTGTGTGTGTGTGTGTGTGTGTGTTTATCTTCTGAGTTTTGGTCTACGATTATCCATCTATATGTGTCTATATTTATATGAACATTGTATAATATTTTGGGTGGATGATTGAGATTTGGTTTAGTCTCATCAAATATTTATATTAGAGTTTCTTTAAGACTATCTATCAAAAATCATTAAAAAATATATTCAAAACTCTCAAATTTCATTAAGAGAAAAAAGTTCAACTTCTTTTCAGACATATAATATATAACCATTCATATCGTGGTACATATATTATAACAAAGGTCCAAAGTTCAAACAAAATCATAACAACTCCCTCTAACTCCGTTGATGTTTTACTGTTTTTATTTAAGTACAACTTAGAAATAAAATTACATAAAGTAAAACTAATATGGCCCTTTTTTTTCTTATTTTCTAGGAATCTATACTACATGGAGCTTATCAGCGATAAATAAATTTTAACTTTTCATGATTAAGTGTTCCATAGTTTATGTTGCAAAGCGGTTGACACTAGAAACGATCTTTTCAAAAAGACACATAAGGAATTCATCAACCACGCTACCATTTCTTTATGTAACTGTTGAGTGTATATATCATTTATCTCATCATTTGTTCCAATTGTTCGTGTGTCCTTTTCTTTAGATTGTTTAATGACGACTCTGACTCGTGCGTCTCGTGGTGTATTAAGTATATAGCGTTACCTAGTCTATAATCAACTAACTCTATCCTAACTATCACCTAGTCATATTTATATTTATTATAACATTCATACCAAATAACAAGATGTTATTAATTCTTAGAAGCTTTCCTAAAGTCAAAATTAAATGAAGTGTCATTTTATATCCACATTCTCATTCCTAATCAACTCTAAGCTGGTGGGGAATAAGAAAATCATTCTTAGCTGTCTTTTCCTCTTCATCTTGCTCAATTAATTAATTAACACTTAAATAAATTACCAAACACGATCGACTTTTCCTACCATCTTTCTTTTCTTAAGAAAAAAACGGGGCTGACTGTATTTATAATCCCGTAAAATACTATTTCCACCTTGTCCAACAATTTTTTTTAAACTCTTAACAAAACTCTCCCAAACTTTAATATTCTCCTGTACTAGGGTTACAAATCACACGCACTGTTTCTTTCCTTTCCTTTACAATCCGCTTATATGTAACACAGACTAAGCCATGGACATGAGGCACAGGAAAACAAGTTCTAAAGGAACCATCCAAGGGGAGATTCATATGATACTTGGCAGCTATAAGAGACAGATTCATATCCGGGTTTTGAAGCTGAGGTGACGTAAAGAAAAACAACTCACTGTCACTGTCATTTTTGCACGCGAACAATAGCTGCGGGCGAGCATAAGATCTGGTAAAGAACAACTCCGTGAAATCTGGACGGCGAATTATGGACGCCCATAGCTTCGATACGCAAGGACATGTTGCTATAGACTTTGCGGGCAATCTCGTGAGTATTTCGAAAACAAGATCCTCTGAGAGATTTCTCCATCGTAATTTCATGGTGTTAAAATCCTAGATCCCTTAGTAGACGAACTTCGGCTTTGCCCTTCCACGATTTCAACTCTTTTTTCTTGTTCTTTTTTTTTTTCAGACAAGCTAAAGGGATATATATTTGATGTGTAGCCCAAAATTAGACTTGCAAGTTCTTGTATGGATCTAAAACACTTTCCTTACGCATTTGTTCAATGCAGATTTTGAACATTTTTCTTTCTCTCTTCCCTAATCATATCTCTCTATTTATTATGTTTAGTCTTTCATGTATGTTTTTTTTTTTTTTTTTTTCATGTCTTTGATCATCACGTGTTGAATATTGTTGCTTTTGGCTTTTGGGTTTAATCTTTTCGTATTGTTGACTGACGCTAATTAGGCCTTAGGGTGAAAATGTGTTTCTGATCACTTTTTCTAGAACTCAGCCTTTTTTTATTGCACTAATTAAGTGTGAACAAAGTTTTAATGAGTGGTTTTATCCTAACCAATGAAAATTGATGTCATGGTGCTATCATGAAAATTGACGTATCACTCATGAAGAAACGATTCACAAAGTGGCATGCTTAGAAGATAATAGTTTAACCAAAACAAGAAATTTAACATAGAATTCACCATTGCTTACTGAGTTACTGTAAAGAGTACACAAGGCAATGGAACATAAAAGATTCAAACACCATAACAGAAAACTAGAAAATTGTCATCAAAACTAGCTTTGTTAAACCACTCCCATGAGCTTCACGTCCTCTACATGGTCAAGAAAAATGTGAACTCTATTTTCTTTAAACTTTTCCATTCCTTGGACTTCCACTCTTACGACCGTCTTTCTTTCGATATTGTAGTAGAAGACGTAGAAGGGAAAGGTTGGATAGTATGCAGACATCACAATTTCGTTCCCACGAGTCACTCCAACAAAATCTAAATAGGCGTTTCCAACTATATTCTCCCACAAAGCAGGCAATACATAGATATGCTCAGACCATTCCTGTTTTTCAGAATTTTCAAGAACCCACAGCTCAATACTTCTACTCTTTCCACAAACATGGCCACGCCCTTGAGAAAACAGTATACCTAATTTCCCATTGTAGTTTGTCAGAGTTCCACAATAAAGACTTGTAGAAAAAGAAGTTTCCGTGGTTTTAATAAAAACGAACTTTTCAGACCTAACATCAAAACAAACTATCATATGGATACCGGTCTCCCCAGACGAAGTGATAGCTAGATAATAAATAACACCATTGATGCATATCTCTTGAAACACACGACAATGAGGTATGCAACATTCAATCGTTCTCCATGTCCCAGTTCCTAATGTCAGAACTTGATGATGCTCTTCAAACATTTCTTTTCTAAAACCTTCCGCTGTCGTGGACAATAATACCTTGAATTTTTTATCAATCGGATCATAACCTAAAGAGGTTATCATCACGGCCGTTACATTCCTTGTCTTCACTTTGGGTAAGATTAAAGATTCCCTTGTACTAGGGTTAAAAATCACACGCACAGTTTCTTTCCTTGCCTCTAAAATCTGCTTATCTGTGACACAGACTAGGCCACGGACATGAGTCACACGACCAAAGGGGAGATTCATATGATATTTGGCAGCTACAGGAGACAGATTCACATCCGGATTGTGAAGCTGAGATGACGAAAAGAAGAACAACTCACTGTAATCTTCGCAGGCGAACAATAGCTGCGGGCGAGCCCAAGATCTTGTCAAGAACAACTCCGCGAATTATGGACGCCCATAGCTTCGATACGCAACGACATGTAGCTATAGACTTTGCGGGCAATCTCGTGAGTATTTCGAAAATAAGATCACTTGGGATCGGCTCTGATTTTATTTCTCTTCGACTTGTGGTCATAGATCGCATAGTGCCTCTGTTGATGGTGTGACGATCCTCCCAGAGATTTCTCCGTCGTGTTTTTCTATGGGACAGTGGTGTTAAAACCCTAACTTCCCTTGTAGATGAAGCAAAAGGAAAATAATTATGTGTTGGGCTTAGAAATAAGGCCCCGTAAAGGGGAGGTTCGTTAACGTTATAGACTTGGATCTATACATTTTCCTACGATGCATTATAGTGAATATTTTTCTTTCTCTATTGCCTAATCTTTCTATAACATAAGACCCAATGAGGCAAAATGTAAATGTATTTTATGTTTAATAATACAAACAGGTAAAAAGTTTTATATGATTTATTGATAAATCTATCGAATAATTTTGGTCAACAGTTTACTATATACTACATACTTTTTTTTTTTCATTTCTAATTGAAGAATTTTTTTTTATCAAATAATATTTGTTTTTTTGTGAACAACTTGCATTATGGGGATTCGAATGTACATGAGTGATGAGTGTATGATGACGATTCAAAACACGAAACTAATACATTTTGTAATATTTTCTGCCAATCTAGTCATTATAGTGCAGTTGGTGAGACACACCCACCAACATGAATACGTAATTCATTCCATTTTTGTATGTTGTAATATTGTCCGCTAGCTAGTTAGATGGAGACATTTTCATATATCATATACGAGAAGATCCCTTTTTTGGAAGCTTTATACATCAAATATTCTCTTTTTTATCAAAAGTGTGAAATTGAGAAAGTGTTCATTGGTCCGTCGCTTTGAATTTACAGAGCTCTACAAGAAAGACTTACTATACAAACTGAGACTTATGTTATTGGTCCCTTTGCTCGGCGCAACCTTATCCGGTATGGAGAGTTATCTTTTATCGATTCAAGACCCTCATGGGCTTGGCTCCACCTCTGGCTTCCACAATTTATTTACTTTCGTTGTTTTCTCTACTAATCTGGGGACGTTCTAATTAGGAATTATCTATTTTTGCTGCTATATAAACTTGACAATTTCTCAATAGCGCGCGAAACAGAAGCGCATACATACATACATCATATGGTGGCTTTTCTCGAAAGTAAACTATTCGGATTTAAATTTGTTATTCGTGGGTGTCCGGATAAGGTTTATATCCATAAACTAATTAGCTAAACTTAATAAATTATCATAAAAAATATCAAATGATAAGATAAACATAAATTGAACATGTCGTATAACAATTATACAGTACTGTACGTAATCTCAGGGTGTACTTTATATTAGACATGATTAGCTTAATATAATCATGTGACATGTGTGATATTGCATAGAGTTAGTTGATTATAGACTAGCTAACGCGCGCCTAGCTATATAATTAATACACCACGAGTCATTAAACAATCCACAGAAAAGGACACACGAACAAATGATGAGATAAATAACATATTTAGAAAAATGGAGTCGGACTCAACAATTACATATATATAGAAATGGTAGCGTGGTTGATGAATTCAGTTGTGTCTTTTTGAAAAGATCGTTTCTAGGTATATAGAAGTTAGGTCAACCTATTTGACCAAAAAGAAAAAGAAGAAGTCAAGTCAACCTCTTTGCCATGTAAACTATGGAACACTTAATCATGAAAGTTTCAAGTTTATTTATCGCTTATACCTTTTTTTGATTATTTCTCTGAATTAAGCTCCATATAGTATGAAAAGAAAAATTGATATGCTAGATTAGAACGAAAAGCATTAATATAACTAGAGATATGAAGAAGAAGTCGATGCAGATTTCAAAATAAACGGTATTGGTATCATTATCATCATAACTTTTTCTTTTGAATTTTTCATTATTCTTGCAGTATACGCAACCTTGTCCTACGTACGACGTTTGTGCAGACACTGGAAACATCAAAAGAAGTAAGTTGAGATACGAAATTTACGACAATATCTGTATAGCTATGAACAGCCACGTCACTAACCCTATCCTCAGCCGCCGCACCACCAAACACTTCACCAAACCGGTCAACAATTCTCCGCCGCACCACCATTTTGTGTTCTAATTAGACGGAGTTGTTATGATTTTGTTTGAAGTTTGGACCTTGATGGTAATAATAGTATAATATGTACAAAATATTCTGTTGTTGTTATAATATATGAACCGCGTTATGACTGGTTATATATTATATGTCTGTAAAGAAGTTGATTTGATTCATTGTTTATGATATTTGATAGTTTTGATTTTTGAATATACTCAGTAGGTAGAAATTGGACACTTTGTAATATAAATATTAGATAAGACCACACCAAATCTCAATAATGCAACAAAAAATTTGTACACTTAGCTTTTCCTATAAATATAGACACATATTGGCATAGAGATAATCTTTAGACCGAACCTTAGAAGATAAACACGTCAAAAAAAAAAAATGAAAAGTTCTGCCAACTTTTTAATAATATTTTTGTTACAAAGCTTATTGTTTCCTCTTTACAGTTCATCATATCTTCAACAAACTTCTTCAGACGACATCTTAAAAGATTCATCTCCGTTTCCTTCTGATTTCCTCTTTGGCACAGCTTCTTCTGCTTACCAGGTACTTCCTTTTCCTTCTTCCTAAACTTCTGAAATCAGATTTTTGGAGTCATTTTTTTGTTTCTTTCATCTTTTAATTTTGAGATGATTTTCTTTATTATTCAGTATGAAGGTGCGTTCTTAACCGATGGAAAAGGTCTGGACAATTGGGATGTCTTTAGCCATGAAAATCCTGGTATGTTTTTGGATTTGTTTTGGAGAAAAAAAAACTGTCATAAGTATAAAAAATAGTTATGTTGTTCGTCCATTTTTTGGGTCTAGATTAGCACACGAACGTCCTGTATTTGTTAAACTCGAACTTACGTATTTTTTTTATGAAACTTACGGTTTAGTGTTATGGGCAAAACTGGTTATGGGTACAAATTCGATTTGATTTCACAGACGTGTGTTTATATGTTGATGTGTACGTATCTATTTACGAACGCGTATGCATAGCACACTTAAATTTAACTACTGTTTCAACTTTATTCGACTTTTTGACGGCACGTAATGGTTTTTTTAATCCGTGTTAATTCCCTTGACAATATTATATGGTAAAATGCAGGCCAAATACTGGATGCTAATAATGGAGATGTAGCTGTAGATCAATATCATCGATTTATGGTTAAGATCATTTTCTTATTATATTTTGTCGCTTTTATATAAAGAAAAATTCGTATAGTGCAGAACGTGGTTGATTTTATTATTTAAAATTATCCACTATATATGTTTACAGGAGGATATCCAATCAATGGCTTATCTTGGAGTGAAGAGTTATAGATTTTCAATTTCTTGGTCTAGAGTATTACCTAGTAAGTCATTACTTTTCTTAATCATGATTATCCTAATCAAATACGGTTGAATTTAAATTCCTACCATTAACTGATCAAACTTAAAAGAACCTTTGGATTTGGCCTTTGGGGAATACAGAAGGGAGATTTGGAGGCATTAACTATTTGGGAATAAAGTATTACAATAGTTTGATCGATGCTCTCATTGCTAACGGTAATAATCACTATCCCTACGTTTACTATTTGTCGAGGAATTAAATAGAGAAATACAATTTCAACATATTAATATTTTCAAGTAAATGTTTTCAGGGATTAAACCATTTGTGACACTGAATCACTATGACTATCCTCAAGAATTTGAGAATCGTTTTAAAAGTTGGTTAAGCCCCGAGATGCAGTAAGTAATTAAATTAAATCCCTAACTATTTAACCATACAAAACTTACTAAACCTAGTTCCTTTGGTTGTATTTTTATTAGGAAAGAATTTGCGTACTTAGCTGATACATGTTTCAAACATTTTGGAGATCGAGTTAAACATTGGATCACGTTAAACGAACCAAACCAACAAATGATCTTAAGCTATCTAGAGGGTATATTTCCACCATCCCGTTGCTCCATGCCATACGGAAATTGTAGTCAAGGGAACTCGGAAACTGAGCCTTTTATAGCAGCGCATAACATGATCCTCGCACACGCAAAGGCGGTGCAACTATACCGTACCAAATATCAGGTAATGTACTGTTAAAAGTACATAATCTTACATATTTAAACAAAGCGATGAAATATATGTAAACATAAAATATGTTGTGTTTGTAGAAACAAAAGGGAAGCATTGGCATTGTTGTACAAACAAAATGGTTTGAACCCATAAGTGATTCCATTGCGGATAAAGCAGCTGCAGAAAGAGCTCAATCCTTTTATGCAAATTGGTATGTTAGTAATCAACTCATAAATAAATATGTATATATATTTCGCATATATTATATTTTCTTATGTATTTGTGTACTAATTACCAGGATTCTAGATCCCATTATCTACGGGAAATATCCAGAAGAAATGATGAATATACTTGGATCAGCTTTGCCGCAATTTTCCAGCAATGAAATCAAGAACCTAAAGAACTCAAGATCAGATTTTATTGGTATTAATCACTATACAAGTTATTTCGTCCAAGATTGTTTGATATCTGCTTGTAATGGTGGAGATGGAGCTTCTAGAGCCGAAGGATTTGTCCTCAAACTAGATCGAAAAGGCAATGTTACAATCGGAGAACTTGTAAGTCCATGTATAAACAAAAAAAAATTCCAATTTCTCATACTCCTAATCATATTAAGTTGCTTTGCATTTGAAATTAAAGTTTTGTCTAATTCTGCATGCTAGACCGACATAGAGTGGCTGCACGTTCATCCTGAAGGGTTTCGAAAGATGTTAAATTACCTAAATTATAGGTACCCAAACATACCAATGTTCATAACGGAAAACGGTACAAGACCACAAGATTTAACCTTTGATTGAGTCATGATCCATAATTTATTTTCGAAATTCCTTGAACAATTTACTTTTGATGGTTTGAAGGTTTTGGCGACATGGAAAAATCTGAAACTACTGTTAAAGAACTTCTACATGATACAAAAAGGATCCGATACATGAGTGGATATTTAAAAGCTTTACAAGCAGCAATGAGGTAAATAATTTATGTAAATTATGTGTTGATCCAAATCTAAACTTCGACCAAAGCATTTAGTAATTCTTCCAACCAGTTTACTCAGTGCCATTTTACTAATTCTGTATAAGCTGTGAATATGTTTCGGTAGGGATGGAGCAAATGTGAAGGGTTACTTTGCGTGGTCACTATTAGATAATTTTGAGTGGTTGTACGGATACAAGGCTCGATTTGGGCTATTCCACGTGGATTTTACAACTCTTAAAAGGACACCGAAACAATCAGCTTCGTGGTTCAAGAATTTCATTGAACAAAACGCGAATACTGAATACAGAAGATCTAGTTGATAAATAACTTAGTTAGTGTTAATAGTCAAAGTCTTCTACTCTTCTCATTGTTGAATGTTATTAAAATGTATCTTCTGTAGTTAATTGTTTTACAAATCTTGACAACAGTTTTATTATTTAGTTTTATGGGCTTCCAACTCAAAGCTTAAAACAATATATAGATTATCTCTTATCTTTTGTATGATTCTAAGAATCCTTATCAATTTCTGATGTGAAATATCCCTTAAGACTCCTTCTCTAGCTCTTCAAGCCATTGACTTGATATATTTGGAGATAGATTGGTAACACTAATTTGGATTTGATCAATTTCCATAGAACCATTTTTTTTATCGGATTGATCGTGGATCCAGGTTTTAATATTATACTAGATATAGACCCGTGCTACGCCGCGGTAGATTTTTAGTGTTCCAACTTATTATTATTATTATTTTAATTTATTAATCTTGATCAATTTTTTACCGATTTGTTAAATATATTAAAAAAAATAGTTTGGGTCAATAACATGTTATAATTTGTTTGTTTATTTCGTATGAACCCCATTGATCTATCAATTCCTTTTTTAGTGCTTGCCTTGACTTGATTGCTTCAACCCACGCCATTGCTGTTTCTGCTATCAGTTTCTTCAGCGTGACGAGCTTGCCACTCAAGTACTCGAACCTGTGATTGTCGAATTCCGCTGAGAATACATTTCTCGAGCTTTCATTATTTTCTCTACCTTTGATTCAAGCTTGGTTAGATACCATTAACCAAAAGAAACTCTTTCTCTTCTCCAATAAATCATGTTTCAGTTTTCTTGATGATCATTTCTTCTTCTTTAAAGCTCCAAAGCTTCTTTAACTTTGATACTCTTTAAGTTTCTAAGATATTTAGTGGCCTGCTATAAATGGACAATGTTGTTGAAATAGACAAAACAATACAAATGACTGTTTTTTTGTTCATTGCACAAAGAGACAATAGAACTCATATTCTTCTCTTTGTTTTCTTTATCTTACAAATTGCTTCTGATCTTTATAGAAACCACCCCACAAATAGAAACATCCTTGAGGAACTTCTACGCAGAAGATCGTTTTTCTGTCTTTTTGAGCTCCTTCTTGTGCGGACTCTTTTTCAAAAGTCGAGCCAAAAGATGAATCAGATCAGCTCACTCTGATCAAACACGATTCTCAAAACCACTTGTTAGGGTTGAGTGACTCTCTTCCTCTGACCTTATCATCCTAATCCCATATAGTGTTGTTTCGACACCCAAAGAAGAAGCATAGTGGTCACCATTTTCCTCACATGGCATTAAATTCAAATCCGGTAGCAAGAAATTGCCATCATCCACCTTGCAATCCTCACTGAATAGTGATCTGAGAGCGAAGTAGGCATCTCCGTGTTCAACTTCATCCTCTTCAAGTTGTTGTTCTCGCTGAATGGAGAGGTCAATATCATCAAGAACCAAAAAGTTTGATTGAAACCAGTAAAGAGAAATCATAAGCACCTTTTTCCTCTGCAATCTTTTGACATCAAATTCCAAGTCTGTGGTTTCAAGAACCTGCAATAAGAAGAAGAAACCGTTTAATAAATAGTGAAAAATGAAAAAGGGTTGAAGAGTAGTCACAAGAAACAGAAGTTTAAAGTCCCCACAGTCCACACAAATTCAATGTTTGAGAAAAGGGGTCCCATGTGACAATCACATAAACAATAAGAATAACGCGTATAACCTAACTTTTTTTTTTATTTCAGACTTTGCATTATCTGATTCTTCTCTCACTTTGGCTCTCTCGTAAGACCTACAATGGCATATTTCACATTATCTCAAACGTTGAAAGAAGCACTATGTAATTTTTTCACAATAGAAAGAAGGTGAGAGTAATAATTGACCTGAGATTAATCGATAGAAGTATATATACATCTCGCTTCAATCTCCATCTGTTAGCTTCCTCTGCTGCATACTCCGTAACTCCCTTGGCATTAATAAGTCGGAGGTCCTCATAGCCAACCAAACAGAGAAGCAAATTCATTAGCTCAACATTCAGAAAATATCATGTAGAAGATAAGCGAAACTTTTGATCTCTAAAACAAAACATAGAAATTAAACACAAACCCCTTTAGTACTATCAATGCTCAAAAATAGAAGATAAGCGAAGCTTTTGATCTCTAAAACGAAACATAGAAATCAAGCACAGTCGCATATCCAAGTTAAAGAAAAGGGATCTGAAAAATCTTACCCGTTAACTGATCTAGACACAGAAGATCCGAAATTAAGATCGACGAACACAGAGGACCCGCCGTCATTATCAGGACCGTCAGGAACCATCTCCGAGCATCCGATCGAAATCTGTAAGACAACACTACAAGCACCGGAAAATGTAAAACTTCGAGAAAGACGGAGAAGCGTTCTCTCGAAATTCCAATGGAGGGTGGACTCCGAAGAATGAAAAGGAGAAGAGAGAATGAAATCGAGAATGAAACGAAGATGAAATGGAGAATGAATCGGAGATTCGTGTATCGCTGTCTTTTTTTGCGAAACAAAGACAGAATGGTGATCATCGAAAGTGTCGAAGAATTATGAAATTGAATGAACCAAACCGGACCAATATGTGGTGAAATTAAATTAACCAAACCGGATCAATATGTGGCCAAATAAACCAAGACAAATGCTGACTGGTATTTGGTATTATTTAGAATGTTTCTATTGGCTATTTGTTTTAATTGAGGTGTCAACACAGGAAAATTTAAAAAATCCTAGGTATCAACTCCTGGAGCAACACAAGGAATGTTGGTGTATTGATTAAGTTTCATGACTTTTACTTCTAAACTAGTTAGCTATAAAATATCTGTTATGTATTACTTAAAAATTTTGCCCAGTTCCGATAATAGATGATTACCATTTAGTTCTTCTGAACAAAAAAATAATAATTGTTAAAATTAACGAAAAATTAAAAGAGTTATACGGATTTGTTAGACAACTTACAATGGTGCTATTGAAAAGAAAAAAAAATATTTAATATTTATAATGATATTTTGAATCGAATGTTTAAAAGGAGAATATTTTCTTGGTAGGTACAGCCGCAGAAGTTCATATTTTAATCATTTGAAAATTTTATGATTTTCTTTGGAACTTTATAATAATGTATATACAAATACTGTTGAGCCAATTATGTAGAAAACAGAAAAACAAAAAGTATAATTGACAAAGTGACAATGATGTTACTATTTATGTCAGAAATGTATTTCTCGAACAAAACACGTGATTCTTCTTCCATTTATTATAATATAATATATACATTATGAACGAAAAATACATGCTTATATAGATAAGTTAAATGTTAAGTGTTTCCATAACACGTTAAAATATTTATTATTCTATAAAACCTTTATATGGTTTTCTTACGTCGTTTTTAACCTAGTAACTTAACTGCTGATTATTAACTTTAAGATTAACATATCTATATACTTGAAATACCTAGGAATTTAACCCCATTTATATATCCAGAAACTATGGAACCTAAAAACCTGATTTTGGACACATATCTTAATTGGTGAAAATGTTGTATTCATCCACCAAACTTCCAGAAAAAGAAAAAAAATCGTTTTTATTTCACTAGTTGAAAGTGTTGTAATGTTTAGAACCCCGATGAGTGACCTACTTGACGGCTATACTCAACTTAGAAAGATTAATCGGGTGTTAAACCAACTTAGAGAACAATTCAGAGAGTGGTCATACAAGTTATGACTTGTTGTTACAAGTTGTTTTCCTCCTCCATCTTTTGCTCTCTCGGAGTCTTAGCGTCTTGTAGCTTCTCTAGCATTCACTCCACAGAGCTTGAAATTTTCCAGAAAAAGTTGGGAGTCTCGGAAATGAAACAAACAAGCTTATTATTGTAACATTATCACATTTATGTATCAGTCTCACTAATTTAATTCTTAGTTACAATAAAAAAAAAAGAAGATTATATGCTCTAATGATGAAAGAGACCAGAGAAAGAAAGAAAAAAGAGTCAAGTGTAAAATGGAATTGTAAAATGTCGAATAGTGCTACGAATAATGTTTTGTCATTTTCCTTATTATGTATCAGTCTTACTAATTTAATTCTTAGTTATGATAAAAAAAAAGTTTATATGCTCTAATGATGAAAGAGACCAGAGAAAAAAAAAAGAGTTGAGTGTAGTAAAATGTCGAATAGTGCTATGAACAATGTTTTGTCATTTTCCTTATTTTGTCATTCTCCTTTCTTTTTATTTTCTGAACGATTTTGATTATATTAAACCTAGATGGAGACTAAATAGCGGCAAGCAGGAGACTTTTTCCATAATAGTTGAAGCTACTTGTTACAAAAACGAAATACAAAGCATTGAAAAGATAAGTCAGATTATAGATCAAAACTGGATAATAACTGTTAAGATAATCATACGATTTGAAGTTCTTCTGCTGTTAAAATCGAGCGAACAACACTAATAACCTGTGATCCTGTCAAAGCTGACTAATAATCTGTGATGCCGACAAAGCTGACCGTTTGAAGACAATCTCCACTGTATAGAGTGCAATTTCTGTCAAAAATATTTTAGTAGTAATAATAAATATATATAAAATTGTGGACCGCAGTGTCGTCTTTTTGTAAACATATTGATGTATGTTTATGATTTTTTTGATTAAAACAAAAAATCAGTAGGTGGAAACTGATGCATGGTTTATGATTATAAATGCTTACAAATTTATCTGTTAGGTGGAAACTGAATTTTTTTATAATATTATATAAGACGACACCAAATCTCAATAATGCATCTGTATACAGTATATTCTACCATTTTCATATAAATATAGATACACATAGATAAGCGTACACCAAACCTCAAGGGATAATTAAACACAAGAGAAGCGAAAATGAAACTTTCTGCCAACTTTGTAATAATATTTTTATTGCAAAGCTTATTGTTTCCTCTTTACAGTGTTTGTCTTCATCAAAACTCTACAGATGATTCATTTCCTTCTGATTTCTTCTTTGGCACAGCATCTTCTGCTTACCAGGTACTTCCTTTTTGTGCCTCTAAAATAAGATTTTGGAGTCAATTTTTAAATATTTCTTTTTGATTTCATATTTTTATAGTATGAAGGTGCGTACTTAGCCGATGGAAAAGGTCAGAACAATTGGGATGTCTTTAGCCATGAAAACCCTGGTATGTATTTATTTTTTATTTGTTTGGGGTTGTTTCCGGTTGAGTCAATTCGGTTTGGAAAAGAAAATCATGAACAAAGAGAAATCGTACAAACTTGGAGTTCAATGTTTTTTTGTTTTGCAACTTTTACTTGTTTTTCTTTTCACACAAAAAATAGTATATGAAACCGGGTTAAAATCTGGTTAGGTTTCTCATGTGTTTATATGTGAAGTTTTATCTATTTATGTATGTATGTGTATCCGTATGTCGTCGAGAAACAACTGTACGTATTCATGTCATATCTTACTGTTAGGAACCGTCGTATGGTAAGACATGTTATCGCTCTAAATGTCAAATTCAGTTTGAGATAAATTTGAAAGGATAACTTCGAGGAAGTTTTGAAAATATATATATCCGAAATATGATAAGACATCATTAAAGTACTAGGTTTGACTATCATATGAATAGCGAAATCACGGATTAGGTGAAACATTATTATTGAGGCAAACTGAAGAGAATAAAAAATTATAAAATTCAAAAAGCTAGTTTTAGTAGATTAATCACGTTTTTTTTTTTTTACGTTATATTTTCAAAACGCTAGGTGCTATGAATCACTTTTCAAAAACATGAAAATTTGATGAATCGGGTAAATGATAAAATAAATAAAAAAGCGAAATCACATTTCTAAAATGTAAAAACGTGAATAAGCTACAATTTATTCAAGTTCAATATATAAAAGTATGTCAATTACTTTTCAACTTGTAATCCATAATATCATAATTCAGTTTGTTGACCAAGGAAGTGGCTTATGTAAGATTTGGTTCTAATCATACAAATTCAGTTGGCACTATAAAAGAATAATTTCGTTGGCACCAAGAAAAGTGGTTTATGTAAGTGACCGATAAAAGACGAGCTAATAATTCAATTATGTAAATCGGGTCCTCGTGGTTTGGTGGTAATGGAGCTTCAGTTGAAGTGTCCGCCATCACGAGTTCGAGTCCCCGGGCTGCCTTAAATGTGGATTGCCGTAGGTCTCGTGGGATGAATCTTGAGCCTAGAAAGCCTTTGGATCACCCACGGTTATAAAAAAAAAAAATAATAATAATAATAATAATAATTTAATTATGTATTACCAATGTATTAATATTTAAAAGTATAGATCCATATCATTTAAGTCGATTTGTTGTCGGCAGATCAATCATTTAATAAAGGTGTTCAGTTGGCACTATACCTTTATATAATCGATTTATGTTATAACGCAGGGAAAATACTTGATGGGAGCAACGGAGACATAGCTGTGGACCAATATAATCGATTTATGGTTAAATAAAACCATACTAATACTAATAAAATTATAGTTCTAGTATGCCCTATTTGTAAATTAATAATTTACTTCATCGTGCAAAATAAATAAATTTTCTTATATGATTACAGGACGATATACAATTAATGACTTATCTTGGAGTCAACAGTTACAGATTGTCAATTTCTTGGGCTAGAATCTTACCTAGTAAGTCTCTCTTTCCTTAGTCAAAAAATCAAAATTACTACGTAAACTGAATTTAAGTTAAATATTTTTTTAACGGGAACATTATATTAAGTCGACCAAAATAAAATTCCGTTAAACATGGTTTTCTCTTGTTTAGTCAAAACTTTCTTTTTCCTAACATAGAAACAAACATGTTTATCTTATGATATGAACAAACCTTTGCATTTGGGAAATACAGAAGGGAGATTTGGAAGGATTAATTATTTGGGAATAAAGCATTACAACAATTTAATAGACGCTCTCACTAAAAATGGTAAGGTTTTAATCTTTAAATCTTGTTCTGCTGTGTAAATAATTTTTCGAGAGTTAAATACTAATATTTATGTAAATGTTTTCAGGGATTACACCATTTGTGACGTTGAATCATTTCGACTATCCTCAAGAACTCGAGAACCAGTTTAAAAGTTGGTTAAGCCGTGAAATGCAGTAAGTGATTAAACTATGGCTCTAACGGATTAACCAAAAGAAACTAGAACTAATTCCTTGATTATTTTTGTTAGGAAAGAATTTGCGTACTTAGCAGATATATGTTTCAAACATTTTGGAGATCGAGTTAAACATTGGTTCACGTTAAACGAACCAAACCAACAAATAATCTTAAGCTATCTAAAAGGTATATTTCCACCATCCCGCTGCTCCATGCCATACGGAAATTGTACTCAAGGGAACTCGAACACGGAGCCTTTTATAGCCGGACATAACATGATCCTCGCACACGCAAAGGCAGTTCAAATATACCATACTAAATATCAGGTAACAGTATATGATTTAACCTATATTGATTATATGTATAATGTCATCAATATAAATAGGATCGATGTGTTTCTAGAAAGAACAAAAGGGAATCATTGGCATGGTGGTACAAACATCTTGGTTTGAACCTATAAGCGACTCTATTGCAGACAAAAAAGCTGCAGAAAGAGCTCAATCTTTTTACTCAAACTGGTATGTTATATTACTATTTGCTAGACCAAAGATTCAATTCAATATATGAATGTATGCGTACAATTCACATATTATATTATCTTATGTATTGTGTAATGAAATACTAGGATTCTAGATCCTGTTGTATATGGAAAATATCCGGAAGAAATGGTGAAACTCCTTGGATCAGCCTTGCCACGATTTTTAAGCAGTGAATTGAAGAGCCTAAAAAACTATAAATCAGACTTTTTGGGTATTAATCACTATACAAGTTACTTCGTACAAGATTGTTTGGTCTCTGCTTGTAATTCTGGAGATGGAGCTTCTAAAAGTGAAGGACTTGCCCTCAAATTAGATAGGAAAGGCAATGTTACAATCGGAGAACTTGTAAGTACATTTGTATTTAATTTTTTTTTATAAAAAAAAATTGAAATGCCTAGTAATTATAGTTCTTTATCACGTTAATTTTTGTAATGCTTGTTTATAGACTGATGTAGGTTGGCAGCACATTCATCCTGAAGGATTTCGAAAGATGTTGAATTACCTAAAAGATAGGTACCGCAACATACCAATGTTCATCACTGAAAACGGTATAACACCTTAAGATTTTCAGTTTTATCCATATTTTAAAATGTATTTTGAAAAATTACTATCATGTTTTGTAGGTTTTGGAGATTTGCAAAAGCCTAACACGACGGTTAAAGAACTTCTGCATGATACAAAAAGGATACAATACTTGAGTGGATATTTGGATGCTCTGAAATCAGCAATAAGGTAATGTGAATTTGTATAGTGGTTCAAGTCGTTAATCTCAGATGTACTTAAGCAATTTTTGAAGCAATTCATATATTTACAAGGGAACTTAATTACATAGATACTAAGATGCAGAATATAACCAGTCACGAATTCTTTATAAGTTAATTAACGAAAACTGTTTTGTAGGGATGGAGTAAATGTGAAGGGCTATTTCGCATGGTCGCTATTAGATAATTTCGAGTGGTTTTTTGGATACACGGTTCGATTTGGGCTATTCCACGTGGATTATAAAACTCTCAAAAGAACACCAAAGAAATCAGCTTCTTGGTACAAGAACTTCATTAAACAGCACGTGAACTAATAAATGAGATCTCCACGCTAATAAGTAATCAATTTCCTTAACTAGTTGGTAATAAAATGTGTAAGAAATTGGAATTTGTTGAACGAATGTAAGAATATGGTTGTTATTATTCAAAATGTATTTGTATTTAAAAATTCTCCATACTCCCGAAATACCCAAACCCAAATTAAACGGACCCAAACCCGACCGGATTAGCCGAATGCGCACACACCTATAACATTGACGGATACATTCTTGAGAGCTTTTGGGTAAGAAAATTTAAAAATCAAACTTCACAACAAATAGAAATTGCACGAACATGATATCTCGAAATTTTAAAATGGTTAGGTCCAAAAACATACTAGTACTCGTTGGTCTCCAAGTAAGTACTAAATACTGTATTTCCATACGAAAATTCTTTTTAAAAAATAACTTTTACAAACAAACCAAAATAAATAGAAAATTTGATAACAATTATTAGTTGACTTGTATCTGCTTAATCTTTAATTGTTGTTATGCTTTGTTGTTTCTATCAGAGAGGATGGCTAATTCCCTCATTTTGTTGTAAGTTGGCGGATTAAGTTCTAATGAAAATAGTTGTTGACAAAAAAATAAATAAATAATTGACTAAATTAAACTTGTAGTGAGGAAAATTGTCCAATATGGTGGAACATTTTTGATTGACCTTTTTTCTTCTGCCGATCATATTTTGATATTTTCTATAAAAAAATATAATTGGCTGTACATCTAAATCAGTTTGAATATATTTAAGTTGGTAGTTTTTTTGGTAAGATATTAAATTGGTAGTTATTGTAGTCTTTCGAAAATAAATACTCTCAATCATCAGTCCAAATTTTCATATACATATATAGATACATATAATCTTAGACCATACCTCAGAAGATGAACACAAGTACGAAACTAAAAAACTAAAAATGAAAACTTGTGCAACCTTTGTCGTAATATTTTTGTTACCAAGCTTATTGTTTCCTCTTTACAGTTCATCATATCTTCACCAAACTTCTTCAGATGACATTTTAGAAGATTCATCGCCATTTCCTTCTGATTTCGTCTTTGGCACATCTTCTTCTGCTTACCAGGTAGTTCCATTTTCTTCTGGCTATTTCTGAAATCAGATTTAGGAGTCAGCTTTTTTTAATTTGCGCTCATCTTTTTGAGATAACTGTTCTTTATGTATTCAGTATGAAGGTGCGTACTTAACCGATAGAAAAGGTCTGAACAATTGGGATGTCTTTACCCATGAAAACCCTGGTATGAACTTGTTTTTTGTTTGTTTTGGGTTAGTTTTTGACTTTTTGTTGGCGTATAAATTGAACTATATTGACATTTAATTTTTATTTGGTGTTTTTCTGTTGTTCGTCCAATTTCTTTTGGTGTAGATTAGCTACAGGAGCTTAGCTACATGTGTGCTCATTAAAAAAAATGGTGTGCTCATTAAAAAAAAATGGTGTTCTCATTAGATTAGCTACATGTGTGCTTATATGTTATTTTGTACGTACATATTAGTATGCATGTTATACTCCAATTTAATTGCAGTTTCAACTGTGTACGATCGACTTTTTGAAGGGGCGTTATCATTTTTCGAATCTCATGTTTATTCCTGTTTTTTTTTTTTTTTTGACCAAAATCGTCACAATATGATATGGCAAAATGCAGGGAAAATACAGGATGGGAGTAATGGAGATATAGCAGTTGATCAGTATCATCGATTTTTGGTTAGATAATTTTCTTATACCGTAATGTTTTGTGGCTTTCTTTTTTAATTTAATTTCTTAAGCGTGGTAGATTAATTATTTTAAATTACCCACTATGCATATGCTTACAGGAGGATATCCAATCAATGAATTATCTTGGAGTCAACAGTTACAGATTTTCAATTTCTTGGTCTAGAGTGTTACTTAGTAAGTCTTGACATTTTTTTAATCATCAGTATAATAATAACATACGCTTAAGATTAAACTTCTACCATCAATCGATCGGATAATACAGAAGGGAGATTCGGAGGCATTAATTATATGGGAATAAAGTATTACAACAGTTTGATCGACGCTCTTATTAGAAATGGTAACTCTCTCTCTCTAAGCAAAACGTTATCCTCCATTTCATCGTTTAAGACAACAATAAAATTTTCTGTTTTATCCCTAATTAATACATAACATTACTTATTTTCTTTCAATTATTGAATTAAGAGGATATGGTTTAATCTGAAAATTATATACAAATTTTGTATTGAAAATATAAAACACATTTATAATAAAACAAAAATCAAATGCTACAACAACACTTCATATGAAACAAATGGAATATTATTATTATCCATTGTTTATCAAAAAAAAAAAAAAAAACACAGGCATATAATTTAAATTTTAAATAATTTTCTTTCAGGGATTAAGCCATTTGTGACACTACACCATTTGGACTATCCTCAGATATTCGAAAACCGGTTTAAAAGTTGGTTAAATCCCGAAATGCAGTAAGTGCTTAAATTATAAGTCTCTAACTAGTTAACCAAAAGTACATAAACCTAATTCTGTGATTCTTTTTACTAGGAACGAATTTGGTTACTTAGCTGATACATGTTTCAAATATTTTGGAGATCGAGTTCAACACTGGATCACGATAAACGAGCCAAACACACAAGTACGCTTAGGCTATTTAAAAGGTACACTTCCACCATCCCGTTGCTCCATGCCACACGGAAACTGTACACAAGGGAATTCGGAAACTGAGCCTTTTATAGTCGTGCATAACATGATCCTTGCACACGCAAATGCGGTTCAAATATACCATACCAAATATCAGGTAACAAGATATAGTTTAACCTATGTTATATGATATATCATCAATATAAATATGATCGATGTGTCTCTAGAAAGAACAAAAGGGAAGCATTGGCATTGCTGTACTAACAGCATGGTTTGAACCCATAAGTGATTCCATTGCGGATAAAAAAGCTGCAGAAAGAGCTCAATCTTTTTATACAAATTGGTATGTTATATTAGTATTTGTTATACCAACAATTCAAATCATACTATATTATCTAATGTATTGTGTAATAAAATACTAGGATTGTAGATCCCATTGTGTACGGAAAATATCCTGAAGAAATGGTAAATTAACTTGGATCATCTTTGCCGCAATTTTCAAGCAATGAAGTGAAGAAGCTAAAGAACTATAGATTAGATTTTTTGGCTATTAATCACTATTCAAGTTATTTCGTACAAGATTGTTTGATCACTGCTTGTATTTCTGGAGATGGGGCTTATAAAAGTGAAGGATACACCCTCAGATTAGAGCGAAAAGGCAATGTTACAATTGGAGAAACTGTAAGTACATCTGTATATATATTCTCAGAAAAAAAATCTTCGACCCCATAGCATTTAATATTAATTTTGAAATGCTTTGTTTTTCTTGCGCTTGATAGACCGACATAAGTTGGTTGCACATTCATCCTGAAGGATTTAGAAAGATGTTGAATTACCTAAAACATAGGTATCCAAACATACCAATGTTCATAACGGAAAACGGTATAACACCTCAAGATTTTTGGTTTTATCCTTATTTTTCTGAATGTATTTTTAGAAAATAATTATTGATATGTTTTGTAGGTTTAGGAGACTTGCAAAAACCTGATACGACTGTCAAAGAACTTCTGCAAGATACAAAAGGAATACGATACATGAGTGGACATTTGGATGCTTTGCAATCAGCAATGAGGTAATGTGAATGGTATAGTAATCCAAGTCGTTACTCTAACTGTATTTAATCAATTTCTGAAACAATTCATATATTTTCAAGGAAACATATATAATTACATAGATATATTGTTTCTCAATTCCAAGCAATATCTTGTTCATCACACATTATATAATTAAATAAATATCTTGTTTAACACTTTTTCTATTTGTGTTTGTACATGATGCGGCACTCCAGCGGGCCAGCCAACTAGTATACATAAATTTTCTCAACTACAAATACAGAATCTAACCAATTACGAATTCTGTACGTGTTAAATAATATAATGCAAAATCTTTTGTAGGGATGGAGTAGATGTGAAGGGCTACTTTGTATGGTCGCTATTCAATAATTTCGAATGGTTGTATGGATACAAGCTTCGATTTGGACTATTCTACGTGGATTTTACAACTCTCAAAAGAACACCAAAGCAATCAGCGTCATGGTATAAGAACTTTATTGAACAGCATATGCATACGGGAGATCTCACCTATAAATAATCAATGTCCTTATATAGTTGTGGGATATCAAAACGTAATAAATTGGTTATTACTGTTCAAAATGTAATAAGTGATTATTATTATTATTCAGAATGAAACTAATTGGCTGAGCGTTTTAAAATGGTCTTGTAAAAGGTTGATGTTGATACAAGAATCAAAGATAATGGAAGTATAAAGAAATTGGTAATGATCATCTTTCCACGAGGGAAGAAGGTAGTAAGTGAACCCATTAATAATCATCAGCCCGTATCTTAGCCCATCATATATGTAATATGTATATCAGGACAACTACTAATCCACAGTCGTCATTGGTGGCTCGTACCTCTACCACATATGAAGCTTGGTCAAAATTCTCCACCACTTACAAGTGGTAACTTTACAAAACTCAATGATCGACTGAAACAAACCATCAAATGATCTAAACCACTTGATGGACTTTATGCAACTGGTGAAATCAAAAGTGGACCACCTCACACTTTGCGGCAAGACAGCGGACCACGTAGATTTTATTGAATACATTCTCGAAGGCCTCTTTGAAGATTATCGTGCAATCGTGGATGATGTCAACGTACAATAAGAAATGAAAGACTTGATCATGGATAAAGTAAAGAAAATATGAAAATCCTCTCTATAAGGCATGGGAATATTTTTTATCATTGATACTTCCAATATGATATTTCTGGTTTAAACATACTAAGGAAATGAAACAAAGAACATGTAAATCATCTATATTTGAATAGGCCGGCATCAAGAATTAAAATACAAAAGGCTTTTAAATTTGCCTTGTTGATAGATTGTTTTTGGTTTCTCCTGGTGAGGCCGATAGTCATTTTTAATCAACAAACTGTATCATGGCTTCCCTCACACTTTGAAGAGAAGAAAATAATAATAATAAGAAATAATGTCAGTGAATTTGAATCACTCTGGAAGCATTTTAATTAGCAAAATGTTTATTTTACGGACCGAATAAACTTTTTTTGGCAAGCAGTTACCGTGGTTTGTTTTACATGAGTTCTTATTATTTTATTTTTTTAAAGCTTGCATTAGGTAGAAACTATCATTCAACTCAATTTTTTAGATTTTTTTTTATATATTAAAACTAAATATCAATTACACACATGCAACTCAATGAAAGCAATATGTTGAGACTTAGCAAAAAAAAAAAAAAAAAAAAAAAAAAAAAAAAAAAGCAATATGTTGAGTTGATGAGCAATTCCAAAACTATGTGATACTGCATAGATTACATGATTATGTTGAGCTAATCATGTCCAATATTAAATACACCAAATATTACGTACTACTATTTATTTATTATTATTATTTTATGTAAAAGGAGATTACGTACTACTGTATATGTTTCCTTGAATTTTAAAGTCGTCAAAGTATAATTAGCTAATATAGAACGTAAGATTTGCATACAAATGAACAAAATCTGGCAGAAAATTTATGTACCAGAAAAGCCTTTGGTCAAAAAAAAGATTTATGTACCGAAAATTGTTACGCATTAGGGTTAGGAAAAATATTTAGTTACTCTTTCATAAAATAAAATAAAATTTGTTACTCGCTCTCTTGAAAAAAAAAAAAAAACATCGGGTACAAGATCCAATCCGAGTTTTCAAATCTAGAAAATATGATCATGGAGTTCTCGAATTCGAACTAGCAATTTTTTAGTCAGATCAAAATATATGTATGATATTTATACCTTTATATATTTTTTAAAATATATATGTAAGATATATAATTATTAGGTAACGCTATTTAGCTATATAATTATTACACAATGACTCATCAAATAATCTATAAAAAAAAGACACACGAACAAAGGGTCCCCACGAACAAATGATAAGAATTTGAACAAAAATAAAAATTATAAGATAAATACAATATATTAGTTTTGCCCAAAAAGAAAATAATATATTAGCAAAATATTGGGGTCGGACTCAACAATCACATATACAAATGGTTACGTATTTGACGAATTCGTTTGTGTATCTTTGAAAAGACCGTCCTAGGTAAATAGAAGTCAAGTTGTTTGGGTACCCAAAAACCTCTTCCTTATCCAAAGAAAAAGAAAGAAGTCAACTTATATGCCATATATAAACTATAAAACACTTAATCATGAAAAAAATACTTATTTCTTTGATTATTTCGATGAAAAAAGCTCCATATATATTTCTAGAAAAGAAAACCGATATACTAGAATCGAAAACATTAATATAGCTAGAGAGTTCAAGAAGAAGACGTTGCCTAAATTCCAAATCTATTAAGTCTGATCATAATTTTGTCTCCCTTAATTAATTTTCGTCTTTCTCGCAGTATACGCAACCTTGTTCAACAACGTTTGTGTATAGATTTCTAGAAAAGAAAACCGATATACTAGAATTGAAAAAATTAATATAGATAGAGAGTTGAAGAAGAAGAAGAAGAAGATGTCTACTTCCAACTCTTAGTTTCATTGTAACTTTGTCTCCCTTAATTAATTTTCGTCGTTCTTGCAGTATACGTAACATTGTTCTACAACGTTTGTGCCGACACGGGAAACTTCAAAAGAAGTAAGTAAGTTGAGATACGAAAACTACGACAAAATCAGCTATGACGATAGGAGCAAACACGTCACAAACCCTATCCTCATCTGCCGTATCATTAAACCCTTCACGAGACCGGTCAACATTCCCCGCCTAAATTTGTGTTCGAAATCGTTAGTTTATTTTTGTAACTTTATTATATTGTAGTTGCAAAGGAATTGATGAACATTATCGATGTATTTGAGACGGATGTCAGAGTACTTAATCCAGTAGATGATATTTTAGGACATTTTTGTTGTTAAAAATTTGATTGATGATAATTAATTGACTAAATTAAACTTGTAATGAGAAAAAAGTGTTCAATATGGTGGAACATTTTTATTTACCCTTTATTTCTTCCGACGATCATATCTTGATACTTTTCTAAAATTAATAAATGGCTATATATATCTAAATCAGTTTTGAATATAGAGAAAATTAGTTGGTAGTTATTGTAGTGTTTCGAAGATAAATAAGACTACACCAAATCTCAATCATCATCAATCCATTAGTACATAATTTTCATATAAATATAGATGCATATAGATAATCTTAGACCTCAGAAGATAAACACACGTACAAAACTAAAGGAAATAAATGAAAACTTTTGCAAACTTTGTAATAATATTTATGTTACCAAGCTTATTATTTCCTCTTTACAGTTCATCATATCTTCACCAAACTTCTTCAGACCACATTTTAAAAGATGCATCTCCATTTCCTTCTGATTTCCTCTTCGGCACAGCTTCTTCTGCTTACCAGGTACTTCCTTTTGCTTCTTTCTCAGTTTCTAAAATCAGATGTTAGAGTACTCAATGTTATTTTATTTTTATTTTTAATTTCATTTAACTTTTTGGGATGATTTTTCTTCATTATTCAGTATGAAGGTGCGTATTTAACCGATGGAAAAGGTCTGGACAATTGGGATGTCTTTACCCATGAAAACCCTGGTATGTTACGTATGTATTTAGCTAGGATTTGGAGAAGAAAAGTCATGGAAAAGTAGAAATTGAACTATATATATTGGCGTGACATTTTTATCTGGGTTTTTTTTCTGTACTTGTTCGTCCAATTTCTTTTGGTGTAGATTAGTTACACGAACTTATATTTTTTAATTGTTTTTTCTTTTGAGAGAGAAAGGGTGTTGTATTATTTTTTTAACTGAAATTTGCGGTTCAAATTCTGTTTTATTTCTGATCTGTGCTTATATGTTAATTTGTACCTATTAACGATGTATGCATGCATGGCATACTACTTAGATTTTAATTGTAGTTTCAGCTTTAGTCGACTTTTTGTGGGTTCGTTAGCATTTATTTAAATCTCGTGTTTATTCCTTTTTCCTTTTTTTTTGGCGGCCAGAAACTCGTGTTTATTCCATTGACATTGCTTTCTTTTTTTGTTGACATTTCTTTCATTGACAATATGATATGGCAAAATGCAGGGAAAATAGCGGATGGGAATAATGGAGATGTAGCTGTTGATCAGTATCATCGATTTTTGGTTAGATAATTTTCTTATATTTTGTGGCTTTCTTTTTAATTTGATTTCTTAACTGTGGTTGATTTGACTATTTAAAATTATCCACTATGCATATGTTTACAGGAGGATATCCAATCAATGAAATATCTTGGAGTAAACAGTTACAGATTTTCAATTTCTTGGTCTAGAGTGTTACCTAGTAAGTTCTGACTTTCTTAATCATCTGTATAATAATTACATACGGTTAAGATTAAACTTCTATCATCGATCGGGTAATACAGAAGGGAGATTCGGGGGTGTTAATCACATGGGAATAAAGTATTACAACAATTTGATAGACGCTCTCATTACAAATGGTAACAGTTTTTCTCTCTAATTAAATTATACTCCTTCCGTTTCACTGTCTTTAAAAAAAACAATTCAATTAGAACCTCTATAAAGTAATACTCAATAAATAATAAATTTCTCCAGACCAATATAAAAATAAGCAAAATACGATAACATAATAATATTTTTGACTCTTATGTTAAAATATGGTCTTAATAATAAGTTAAAGTAAGAATTATATAAAACTATACAACATATATGCCTAAGAAAATTATTAAACTATGAATTTAAATTTATCTCTAACTTTTTATTATATAAAAAACTCATAATGAAATTTTTCTATGCATCTGAAAATTTTAAATATGTTCTAAACATATTATTTTCAAGTTCATTGGTATCTATAAACTTTTCTAAACTTTTCATTTTTGTCATGTATCAAATTTTATATAAATATTTATATAAGCTAATAATATCCAAAAGACTTGATCATAATTTCAAGTTTACATGTATCATATTAACAAATAAATTATTTTGAATTTGTCATGCGGAGAATAGTTTTCGAAGATTATGAATAAAAAAAAACTTATTTTTATAAATTAATAAATATATAATTTCTTCATAAAGTAACATCTCTATAGGATAATAAATTCTCAAAGTCCCAACATTATTACTTTATAGAGGTTTCACGATAACTAAAAAGAAACAGAGGAAATACATACCATGATTCAATTTTCTCGATTATTGAACTGAGAGAATATGGATAAATCTGGAATTTATATTAATTTTTTTTATTGAAAATGTAAAACGACACTTATAATAATAATAAAAAAACTATAAAACGACAACTTAATATGAAACGGATGGAATATTATACAATGTTTATTGAAAAACTAAATACGGACACAATTTAAAATTTAAATATTTTAAATTAAATGTTTTCAGGGATTAAGCCATTTGTGACACTGAGCCATTTCGACTTCCCTCAGATATTCGAAAACCAGTTTAAAAGTTGGTTAAGTCCCGAGATGCAGTAAGTGATTAACTTATAAGTCTTAACTAGTTAGCCAAAAGTTCATAAACCTAATTATGTGATTATGTTTACTAGGAACGAATTTGGTTACTTAGCTGATACATGTTTCAAATATTTTGGAGATCGAGTTCAACACTGGATTACGATAAACGAACCAAACATACAAATAGGCTTCGGCTATATTAGCGGTATGTATCCACCGTCCCGTTGCTCTATGCCATACGGACACTGTACACAAGGGAATTCGGAAACTGAGCCTTTTATAGTCGCGCATAACATGATCCTCGCACACGCAAAGGCGGTTCAAATATATCATACCAAATATCAGGTAACAAGAAAAGTTTAACCTATGTTATATAATATATTATATCATCAATATAAATACGATCAATGTGTCTGTAGAAAGAACAAAAGGGAACCATTGGCATTGCTGTACAAACAACTTGGTTTGAACCCATAAGTGATTCCATAGCGGACAAAAAAGCTACAGAAAGAGCTCAATCCTTTAATTTTAATTGGTATGTTATATTACTATTAGTTAGACCAACAATTCAAATCATACTATATTATCTAATTTATTGTGTAATGAAATACTAGGATTCTAGATCCCATTGTATACGGAAAATATCCTGAAGAAATGGTGAATATACTTGGATCAGCTTTGCCGCAGTTTTCAAGCAGTGAAGTAAAGACCTTAATGAACTATAAACCAGATTTTTTGGGTATTAATTACTATTCAAGTTACTTCATACAAGATTGTTTGATTACTGCTTGTACTTCTGGAGCTGGAGCTTCTAAGGTTGAAGGATACGTTCTCAAATTAATACAGAAAGGAAATGTTTCAATAGGAGAACCTGTAAGTACTTTATATATATATATATATATATATATATATATATATTTTCAGTATTGTTATTGGACTCCGTAGTAATTAAAATGTTTTTCTAATATTAATAATTTTGATATGCCTTGTTTTTGCTCTTGATAGACCGACATAAATTGGTTGCACAATTATCCTGAAGGATTTCGAAAGATGTTGAATTACCTAAAAGATAGGTATCCAAACGTACCAATGTTCATCACGGAAAACGGTATAACGCCTCAGATTTTTGGTTTTATCCATATTTTTCTGAATGTATTTTTTTTTTAAATAACTATCGATGTTTTGTAGGTTTAGGAGACTTGCAAAAACCTGAGACGACGGTCAAAGACCTTCTGCATGATACAAAAAGAATACGATACGTGAGTGGACATTTGGATGCTTTGCGGTCAGCAATGAGGTAATGTGAATTGTATAGTGATCCAAGTTGTTAATGTAACTATATCTAATCAGTTTTTGAACCAATTCATATATTTTTGTAGGGAACTAAGTGCATAGTATCCTAGATATATAGTGGAATGCATAATATATCCATTTACAAATTCTTTGAACGTTAATTGTAAATAATTTTGTAGGGATGGAGCAAATGTGAAGGGCTACTTCGTATGGTCGCTATTAGATAATTTCGAGTGGTCGTATGGATACACGCTTCGATTTGGACTATTCCACGTGGATTTTACAACTCTTAAAAGAACACCGAAGCAATCAGCTTCATGGTACAAGAACTTTATTGAACAGCATTTGAATACGGGAGATCTCACATTTAAACGATAAATGTCCTTATATAGTTGGAAGGATATCAAAATGACAGAAATTGGTTATTATTGTTCAAAATGTAATAATTGACTATTATTATTATCATTCAGAATGTAAGAAATTGGTTTGTAATTAATTTATCTCCATATTATCAAATCTTTTATTTCTTGATACCTTGGCTGAGCGTTTTAAAATGGTCTTATAGAAGGTTGTAGTTGATAATAAGATTCTCCAAGTGATTAAGTGAGCCCATTAAGAATCATCAGCCCGTATCTTAGCCCATGTAAGCCACAACAAGTCGATTTTCATGTGTCGAGGTCAGACAAGACAACTCCTCCCTCCACATAGGTGTATATCAGGACAAGTGGACAACTACTCCTCCACAGTCGTCATTGGTGGCTCGTACCTCTGCCACATATGAAGTTTGGTCAAAATTCTTAGTAATAAAAAAAAAAAAAAAAAAAAAAAAAAAAAAAAAAACTCAATGATCAACTGAAAAAACCAGCAAATGATGAATTTTATGTAACTAGTGAAATCAAAAGTGGATTCCCTAATACTTCTCAGCAAGACAGCGGATCACGTATTCACGTAGATTTTATTGAATACATTCTCGAAGGCCTCTATGAAGATTATCGTGCAATCGTGGATGGTGTCATGTCAACGTAGAATAAGAAATGAAAGACTTGTTCATTGATAAAGTAAAGAAAATATGAAAATCCTCTCTAGAAGGCATGGGAAATTTTTTTATCATTTTCAAATACTTCCGATATGATCTTTCAGATGCTTATGCATGATCTTGGTTCAGTTAATGAAAAAACGACCATGTAAATCATGTTTGAATAGGCCGGCATCAAGAATTTAAAATACAAAAGGTTTCTATATTTGCCTTGTTGATATAGATTGGTTTTGATTTCTCTTGGTGAGGCCGATAGTAATAGTATCATGTCTTCCCTCATACTTTGAAGAGAAGGAAAAAATAATAGTAAGCAATAATGTGAGTGATGAATTACTGGAACCATTTTAATTACCAAAATGTGTATTTTACAGACCGATTAATGAAGTTTTTTTGGCAAGCAGTTACCGTGGTTTGTTATTTTATTTTTAAAAGCTTGCATTAGGTAGAAACTAGCATTCAACTCAATAATTTTTTTATACATTCAAACTAAATATGAATTACACACAACTCATTCAAAGCAATATAGTATATTTAATAGGTTTTGTCAGAAGAGAATGTTGAGCAATTCCAAAAGTATCCATAGTTGATTATTTCTCTTTGAGGCATGATTAATTGTTTATTATTTAGTCATATGGCTTGACTTGCATCATAAGGTTATTCTAATATTGGACTGGACATATTCTAACCTATTTTAAGATGTCGCAAAATAAGAAAGAATTTAAATCTGGAAGAAAAAAAATATCAAAAGGCAAAAATGATTACATCTAACACTAATATAAAAATGATCAAAAACAAACATTTAATTTAGATTAAAAATAAATTCCAAACTGAAAGAAAAGAACCGAAATAAATATAGAATTCAGAATGGATAACCTTTAATTTATAATATTTTGTTAATATATACAGTGCACATACACAAAGAGATCACCAGAACTCAGAAGGAAAAACACAAACAAGAGAGAACGAAACAAAATGGAGATTTTAGCCATTTTTGTATGTATCATCTTATGGCAAAGCTTAACGTCTAATGTGTATAGTTCATGTCTTCTTCAAAATTCATCTCCATTTCCTTCTGATTTCCTCTTTGGCACAGCTTCTTCTGCTTACCAGGTACGTCTCCTTGTTAGAAAAAAAAAAAAAAAAAAAAAAATCATATTTTGGAGTCTTTCAACAAAACTTAATGTTTGTTTATGCTTTTTGGTTATTATTTGATGTAAATAGTATGAAGGTGCGTTCTTGACAGAAGGGAAAGGATTGAACAACTGGGATATATTTACGCATGAAAATCCTGGTATGTATGTATTGATTTCTGGTTTAAATGGGTTTAGTTCCGGTTTAGACTGTTAAGTGATGAGAAAATATCGACATGTTTAAAGTACAGCTAATCCAAATTACTTTGTTCTGGTTTATTTGGATAAGTTTTAACAATATAACTTTTCCATTCTTCAAATGTGAATTCTGGTTCAGATTATACTATATATTTACGTATTGTTTTATACACATACGTTTATGTAGATATAGCTGCTCATTTCTATAAGCTACTATATGTCTATATATGTTTGAATAACATCAATATTAGTTATATTCTGCTGACAGTATCAATATATCCCAGGAAAAATACGTGATGAACACAATGGAGACATGGCCGTGGATCAATATCATCGATTTATGGTCAAATCAATTTCTAAATAATATTTTGATGTTTTGTTTTCCTATTAGAAAAATGTGTTTGGATCGTATTAAATTATCTACTATGGTTACAGGAGGACATCGAATTAATGACTTCCCTTGGGGTAAACAGTTACAGATTTTCAATCTCTTGGTCTAGAGTCTTACCTAGTAAGAATTTATTTTCTTAATCATGATCAACTAATAATTACTGAATTGGTTTAGGAAAATAAAAGTTTATTATTTGGGAACAGGAGGAAGATCTGGAGGTATTAACTATAAGGGAATACAGTATTACAACAAATTAATCAATGCTCTTATTAGTAGAGGTAATAATAATGTTTGCATTTATTTATCCTTAAGTATAAGTGTTACTTATTGTTAAGAGAAAATTATATTCATAATTTCCAAACTAATTTATTCAGATATTAAACCATTTGTGACGTTGAACCATTTGGACTATCCTCAAGAACTCGAGAACAAGTTTCAAAGTTGGTTAAGCCCGGAGATGCAGTAAGTGATTTACTAAATTCTCTAACAAAATCGATCACAACACAACTGTTTTTTTTTTCAATTTTGAATGATCTCTTGTTACATCTTTTGAGTTTTATAGGGATGATTTTGAGTACTTGGCTGATATATGTTTTAAACATTTTGGTAATCGAGTTAAACATTGGATCACATTAAATGAACCAAACCAACAAATAATTATGAGCCATCTTCAAGGCAAATTTCCGCCGTCCCGCTGCTCCTTACCATATGGAAATTGTAGCCATGGGAATTCGGAAACTGAACCTTTCATAGCCGCGCATAACACAATCCTCGCACACGCAAAGGCAGTTGACATGTATCGAACTAAATATCAGGTAACTAATAAACCAATTGATACAATATGTAAATATGTATAATCTTAACAGTTATTTGATCCGGTCTAATACTGATAGAAATGTGATACGGTTTAGGAAGAACAAAGGGGAATCATCGGCATTGTGGTGCAAACAGCATGGTTTGAACCCATTAGTGATTCCATTGCGGATAGAGAAGCTGCAAAGAGAGCTCAATCTTTTTATTCGAATTGGTATGTTCCATAATGATTACTAAGTTAAGATGTATGTATAATGTACGACATACTAATATTCTTATACATCGTGTACCAAAATATTAGGATTCTAGATCCGATTATATACGGAAAGTATCCAAAAGAAATGGTGAATATACTAGGACCGGCTTTGCCGCGATTTTCAAGAAAGGAAGTGGAGAACTTAAAGAAGTCAAGCTTAGATTTTATTGGCATTAATCACTATACAAGTCACTTCATTCAAGATTGTTTGTTCTCAACTTGTAATGCTGAAGATGATGGAGCTTCTAAAGCACAAGGATTTGCACTCAAGTTAGATCAAAAAGACGGTGTTTCCATCGGAGAACTTGTAAGCACTTTATGAATCATTTTGTTTTTCTTAAAAAAAAAAACTCTAACTCGTGAATATATTTTGATATTTTAATATTTTGAATTGTTTTTTTTTCCATGATAGACCGATGTATATTGGCAGCGTATTCATCCTGAAGGTTTCCGAAAGATATTGAATTACCTTAAAAATAGATACCGCAACATACCAATGTTCATAACCGAAAACGGTACAAGACCTCAAAACTTAACAACTAATCAAGTCAAGATTCATATATTTGTTTGGTATGTATATTTGATCGATGCAAATCGATATTTGTAGGTTTTGGAGACCTCCAAAAACCGGAGACAACAGTGAAAGAACTTTTAAATGATACAAAAAGGATACAATACATGAGTGGTTACTTGGATGCTTTAGAGTCAGCAATGAGGTACATAGACTACGAGAATTTCGCATGTACATATACATAATGCATAATCTATTAGCATAGTGTAAATCTTGTAGTAAACTTTGTGTAGGGATGGAGCAAATGTGAAGGGATATTTCGCATGGTCGCTATTAGATAATTTCGAGTGGTTATACGGATACAAGCTTCGATTCGGACTATTCCACGTGGATTATGCAACTCTGAAAAGGATACCAAAGCAGTCAGCTTCATGGTACAAGAAATTTATTGGAGAGCACATTAAAAGAAGATATAATTAGACATGTGTTTACAAATATGCATTTTTTTTTCTTTGTAATTACAAGAAACGTCTTACCACCTTGTAATAATAACAGTCTTATTCAAAAAAAAAAAAAAAAAACAGTCGAGCATACTTTTTTTGCTGGATTTTGACTCTAATGTATTTGCAGATTTTTAATTGTTCATCTCTCTTCATGTTACTAGTCAACTTTCTAGTCAATGTGATAAATCAATTTATTTTATTTCACTATAGAATATTGAAAATAAATGGAAATACCAGGAGACAATGGAGAAACCAATTCCTAGGGTTCGATTTTCATATGTGAAGTTTATCTGGTGAAGACTGAAATATGGTCAATTTTTCGAATTAAAATAGAAGAAGAAAGTTGTTAATTTACGTAATAAAAATTATTGGTACTTTATCAAAAAAAAAACAAATTATTGGTACATACTGTATCTAATTTCTCATTTGTTAAACTGCTAATGGGCTTTACATTGGGCCTTTTCGTAATCTCTTTTCTTCAACCACTCGTACGTTTTCAATATAATAATATTCTTAGCAAAATTAAAAGTAAATATTTCATAATTTTCATAAATTCACATTTGAGACCAACGACGAAGTTACCAAATTCCGGCTAAGAAGATCAGAAAAACTGAAGAAAAACGAGTGTTGTTGAATGCAAACTCTAATAACTTCATCCATTGATCGGAATCACATTTGTGTTCCTCTTCTACGATCGAATTCTCAATCACTCAATCCGATCCGCCATTTTGATTCGAGTTTCTCCGGTTGCGATTTTCTCACCCCATAGCGGTGGTGATCGGAGATCGTCCAGATGTCGTGGGGATTGGGGTGGAAGAGGTCGTCGGAGAGTTTCCGTCTGAGTCTCAGTTACGGCGCCGATGATCTAAACGACGATCCCATCCCACCATCGTCGTCGTCGGCGTCACCGATGGGATCTCCATCGTCGGTATCATCCACGTCGTCTTGTCCATCCGCGGTGGAGGATCCGGAATTAGGTTTCCGGATTGATTTGGACTGGACTGCGGGCGATTCCGAGGATCAGGTGGCGCTGAGACTGGAATCGCAGCTGATGGTGGCTTTGCCTGCGCCGCATGACACAGTGGTGGTTGAATTGAGAGGCGACGAAGGTGGAGAGAATGTTGGGTTAGAGATGAGAGTTGAGAAACGGAGAGAGCCATTGCGAGCAGTTACGTTGATGAAAGCGGCTGGCTCAGGTCAGCAGTACGACGGTGTAGGCATCTTAACGAGGCTGATGCGTTCCGACATGATGCCTGCGGCTATTCCAGCGCCGGCTATCGACTTTGCTTCTTCCTGTGGAGAGCATTGGAAGACTGTGACTTCGTTGAGTCTCTCTGGTTGTGGTTTATTGGTAAGTTTTGGTGAAAAGCATTAGACTTGATTAAGAAATTTCATATCTTGAGATTAGCAATTGAATCCTTTTGCAATGTTGGGGCAGGTAATGCCAGTTGAAGTGACTGAGTTGCCTCTTCTTGAGAAGCTATGCCTTGAGAACAATAAACTCTCAGTTTTGCCACCTGAGATAGGGAAGTTGAAAAACCTTAAGGTTCTTAGAGTTGACAATAACATGCTAATCTCTGTTCCAGGTGAGCTTAATCTGCCATTTCCCTTTTACTTGTTTATGAGAATGTAGGAGCCATGAGAATGTTTAGCTGATTGGTGTATCTGATGTTGGTTCAAAACTCTTGTGCAGCGGAACTAAGACAGTGCGTAGGTCTTGTTGAATTGTCATTGGAACATAATAAACTCGTCCGGCCTCTTCTTGATTTCAGGTCATTGTGGCAGAGAGTTGGTATTACTGTTTTGCTTTCTTTCTCTAAGATTTTGTAGGGCTGAGGCTGATATGCTATCTGTTGAAATGCAGGGCGATGGCTGGGCTACGAATACTACGGCTCTTTGGTAATCCCCTCGAATTCCTTCCAGAAATTCTACCGTTGCATCAGCTTCGCCATTTGTCTCTTGTAAATATCAGAATTGTGTCTGATGAGAATCTAAGATCAGTAAATGTACAGATAGAGGTAAGAAGACAAATCCTTGCACAATCTAGCTGCTACTTTTCATTCTTCAGAGATGTTTAAGTTTGTATGCTAAGGTTGAGTTTCGATTATGCCAGACAGAAAACACTTCGTATTTCGGAGCATCTAGGCACAAGCTAAGTGCCTTCTCTCCCCTAATATTCCGTTCTTCGTCTTGTCATCATCCTCTTCTAGCATCTACATTGGTGAAGATAATGCAAGATGAAGGAAACCGTGTTGTTATTGGTAAAGATGAAAATGCAGTGAGGCAGCTTATCAGTATGATAACTAGTGACAATCGCCATGTGGTATGTTGGTTTTTGTTCTCTGCTATGTCTAGAAAAAAAAAAAAAAAAAAAAACTACTTTCTTTTGGGAACAATCACCATAACTACAGGTTTGATAGGTTGAACAAGCATGTGTTGCTTTATCGTCTCTTGCTCGAGAAGTTGGCGTAGCAATGCAGCTGATGAAATGTGATATAATGAAGCCGACTGAAACTGTTCTGAAATCTGCGGCCCCTGATGAAGTGATAGCCGTGCTACAAGTGGTGGTGACCTTAGCTTTCGTATCTGATTCCGTTTCTCAGAAGATGCTCACCAAGGATATGCTAAAATCCTTAAAATCCTTGTGCGCCCATAAGACCCCTGAAGTAAGATAGCTGAATTTTTACTCTCTTAAGAAATAAAAACCTTACAGCTTCATCGACTGAGTTTCATTTTCCTTAGGTTCAAAGACAGGCCTTATTAGCAGTTGGGAACTTGGCCTTCTGCTTGGAAAATCGTCGTATTCTGATTACTTCAGAGAGTCTGAGGGAGTTATTGATGCGGTTGACTGTCACACCTGAACCACGAGTCAATAAAGCTGCAGCTCGAGCTTTGGCAATTCTTGGTGTGTTTCTTGTGTATTAAATTGTCATTTTTGTTTGATACTCTAGTCGGGCACTACATAAAATATTTTCCTTCTGATGACAGGAGAAAATGATATTCTGCGACGTTCCATAAAAGGCAGGCAAGTGCCTAAACAAGGACTGCGAATACTCACCATGGATGGAGGTGGAATGAAAGGTCTTGCAACGGTGCAGATTCTTAAAGAGATTGAGAAGGGAAGTGGCAAGCGTATACATGAACTATTTGATCTTATATGCGGCACATCAACAGGAGGAATGCTAGCTATTGCCCTCGGTGTCAAGCTTATGACACTGGAGGAGTGCGAAGAAATTTACAAGAATCTAGGTGTGTAGGCTTCCCTTTGAGCTTTACAGCTTCGTTGAATTGTTGGTTCATTGACTTTACTTTGGATGATTTTTCTTTAGGAAAGCTTGTTTTTGCTGAACCTGTCCCAAAGGACAATGAAGCTGCAAGTTGGCGGGAAAAGTTGGATCAGCTATATAAAAGTTCATCTCAAAGTTTCAGAGTTGTTATCCATGGATCTAAGGTATAACACCTCTATTGGTCTATTCAGAATTGATTTCTTCTATAGCGACATAGTATCAAAGAGCAATGCTTTAGGCTTATAGTTTTATGCATTTATCAGTTGCTATGATGTTATTTAGTGTCTTCGATTTTAAATGTAAGTCCTTCAAAATGTCCACCAAGGATTGTAAGAACATATGCTTGTAGATCACGAATAGCTCTTGATTGCTCCTACGTGACTTGGAATCAGGTTTTCTAATATACTGTCTTGCAGCACAGTGCAGACGAGTTCGAAAGACTGTTAAAGGAGATGTGTGCTGATGAAGATGGAGATCTACTAATAGAGTCTGCTGTGAAGAATGTTCCAAAAGTCTTTGTCGTGTCTACTCTTGTTAGTGTGATGCCTGCGCAGCCATTTATATTCCGGAACTACCAGGTACAACACTTCACTTTTTTTTTTACTTTTGATCCATTCGCCTGCCTATACTTCTTTTGTGTATCATGTGCTACTTTTCTCTATTTGCAGTATTCTGTTGGAACACCGGAAATGTCTTATGCATTTTCTGATCATTCAGGCGGCAGTACATTAACTTCATCAACTGCCAATGATCAAGCTGGCTACTACAAGCAAAGTGCTTTTATGGGAAGTTGTAAGCATCAGGTTTGGCAAGCGATTCGAGCATCTTCAGCCGCTCCATATTATCTGGATGATTTTTCAGTCGGTACAAGTCTACCTTCTTTCTTCTCTCTCCTTATCCTTGAGACTTTGTGCTAAGCTGAAGTGCTGATATTGTTTACTATATCTGTTTCGTTTTCACTTAAGATTCATACCGGTGGCAAGATGGTGCAATAGTGGCAAACAATCCTACAATCTTTGCCATCAGAGAAGCACAACTTCTATGGCCTGACACAAAAATTGACTGCTTGGTTTCCATTGGCTCTGGCTCTGTACCAACAAGGGTAATTACCGTTTCTCTCCTACTCGTGCAATTCAGATATTGGATTTGTTTAGTCAATGTTGCTCTGACTCCCTTGTAGGTACGGAAAGGCGGGTGGCGTTATTTAGATACTGGGCAAGTACTGATTGAGAGTGCATGCTCAGTGGAACGGGTTGAGGAAGCTCTAAGCACATTGCTACCGTTGTTGCCAGAGATACAATACTTTAGGTTCAACCCAGGTAACACAGCATTTTACAACATGCGAGAACACTATCTTGAATTTCTAATCCATGTCATTTATCATAATGTTTAATCCTGTACGTTTATGGTCTATGCAGTTGATGATCGCTGTGGAATGGAGTTGGATGAGACTGATCCAGCGATCTGGCTAAAACTGGAAGCTGCAATTGACGAATACATACAAAGCAATTCCCAAGTAATAAAAAACGTCTGCGAGAGATTGACACTCCCTTTCCTAAACGATGAGAAATGGTGTGAAAATTTGAAACCACGATTTATGAATGGAAAGCTACCAAACACCAGAGGTTATCCATTTTCCCAAAATTATTCGCTTTCTCCGAGAAACTTTCTCAAAACTGTTAGCTTAGTTAGTAACTTTATCATTTTCTATACAGTAGAGAGCACTCCTTCTCTAGGATGGAGACGCAATGTTTTGCTTGTGGAGGCTCAGCATAGTCCTGACTCAGGGAGAGTGAAGCATCACCCTCGTGCACTCGAGTCATATTGTACGAACAATGGGATAAAGCTATCTTCATTACATGCTACTCCCGGAGGCCCGAGACCATCTCCAGGAACTGCTTTCCCCACACCGTTTACCTCACCTCTAATAAGCGGAAGCTTGCCTCCAAGCCCTCTTCTCTTCACTCCTGATCATGGCCCACAAAAGTTTAATAGGATTGACCTGGTTCCGCCACTTAGCTTGGACGGTGGTCATACCCCTGGAAAGACGATCATGTCACCTCCATCATCTCCTCCACGACAAAGACAACTCTACCTTCCATTACGTCAAATGCATGAAAAGTTACAGAATCTGCCCCAAGTAGGAATCATACATTTAGCTCTTCAAAATGATTCTAATGGTTCCATCTTGAGGTTAGTCCAAATTTCTCAATTATCCACCATAGCTCACTCGGGTCTTAAATACTGATTTCCTTTCTGGTTTTTTGCATTTTAGTTGGCAAAATGATGTGTTTGTGGTTGCTGAACCTGGAGAGCTCGCTGATAAGTTCCTCCAGAGCGTCAAATTCAGTATTTTATCAGTCATGCAAAGCAATCGCCGAAAGGCTGCTTCAGTTCTTTCCAACATCTCCTCAATCTCGGATCTTGTACGTAGCAAGAAATGCTTCCAGGTTGGGAACATCATCCATCGTTACATCGGACGCCAAACCCAAGTAAGAAGAAAAAGCTTTCATTTCCATCTTCTTCGTCATGTTTGTATGATAGCCTTGCAGAGTTTGTGATCGTTCTTGTTGATTTGTTTAAAGGTGATGGAAGATGATCAAGAAATCGCAGCGTTCATGTTCCGCAGAACCGTCCCTTCCACACACCTAACTCCCGATGACATTCGTTGGATGGTAATGGCACTTGATCTTGATCTTCACCTTTGCTCTTGATCTTCACTGTTTCTATACACTAATGCTTTTAGTGTATTCTTGTAAAACAGGTAGGAGCATGGAGAGACAGGATAATACTCTTCTCAGGAACATTTGGACCGACACAAGCAATAGTGAAAGCCTTCTTAGACTCTGGTGCCAAAGCAGTGATCGGTCCTACGACCGAACCGCAAGAGACGCCATTAATCACATCACAAGGTTCATCCGAGTACAACATTGGAGAGAACGGGAAGTTTGAGATTGGAGAAGAAGACGATGACGAAGAAGGAGTAAACGAGGAATCGGAAAGAGCAGAGACCGAACCACCGACCCCGACAAGCGACTGGGAAGATAGCGACCATGAGAAGACGAACAGAGACGATGCTAACAAGTGTTGTGGTCTTTGGGAAGATGAAGAAGAGGAAGTGTCTGAGTTTGTTTGCCTGTTGTATGATCAGTTGTTCAGAGAGAACTCAAGAGTTGATGTTGCTCTTCAAAAAGCTCTTGCCTCTCATCGAAAGCTCAGGTACACTTGTCATCTTCCCAATGTATAGAGAGGGAAACAAACACAAAACCAAAAAACAATCTTTTTTTATTAATTATACACCTTTTTTGACCCATGGGAGAGGAAAATATTTGAGAGATGAGATAAATAAAACAAAATAAATAACAGTTTCAAATAAGATTTTTACAGTTTTGTTTGATGATAATCTTTCAACATTTCTCTTGGTATGTGAATTATCAATATATTAAAGAGGTGATTAATAATTCAAGATTTGACTTGGAATCAAACAAACAAACAAAATTAGTATGAGATTGATAATCCCACAATGCCATATTACACCACATTACAAAAGAACTGTTCGCAAACGACTTCGAACACTAACCCTAATTGCTTTCTTGGGTTTCACGTTAAATGAAAAAAAAAAAAAAAAGAAAAAGAGAGATTAGAAGAAGGGAAACAAAAAGAAAACGAGAAGTTTTGTTTTTAAGGATCAGATGACGAAGATGATGATGACTGACTAGCATAAGCAGGAGTAGTGTTTGTGTTTGTAGTATTATTATCAAGAACCTCTATAGGCTTATTAGCCAAGAACTCAAGTGCTGTGACCACATCACCCATCAACGGCCTAGTCTCTGCTTCTTCTTGCAAACACATTGCTGCAATCGCTAGAGCTTGATGCAACCCTTTTAAAGGGTAGTTTCCTTCTAGATTCGGATCCACAATCTTCGTAAACATCCTCCTATCTCTCAACAACGGCTCCGCCTGCAAAAAAACAAAGACTCTAATCAGTTTCTTCCTTCTCAAGTAACAACAGAGCCCTAGGGTTTGTGTTTTATGTACGTACCCAAGATATCAAGTTTTGTTCATCGGTTGGTCTATCACCATCAATAGCTCGTCTCCCGGAAATTATCTCGAGCAAGACAACACCAAAGCTATAAACATCGGATTTAGCAGTGAGCTGACCGGTCATTGCGTACTCAGGAGCACAGTATCCATACGTTCCCATGACTCTAGTGGACACATGATCTTTGCCTTCAGTTGGTCCAAGCCTAGCTAAACCGAAATCCGACAGCTTGGAGTAAAAGTCCGACTCTAACAATATGTTTGAAGCTTTGAAATCGCGGTAGATCACAGGAGGATCCGCGTAGTCGTGCAAGTACTCAAGCCCTTTAGCTGCACCGTGCACTATCTTCATTCTTGTGTACCAATCTAGACTTGGTGCTCCATCTGGTAAGTCTATAAACAGAAGAAACTTTAGATTTACCAAGAAGAAGCTTATTATATCATCAACATGAAAAAGGTCACACAACGTTTTTACCAAATAAATGATCTTCCAAAGATCCATTAGGCATGAATTCATAAACAAGAACTCGTTGCTCGTCTTCCACGCAATAGCCAATGAGATTGACAAGGTTTGGATGTTGAACCATACTCAATACCATCACTTCTGCAAAGAATTCTCTTGTTCCTTGTAAACCGTTCCTGTCAAGCCTCTTTACAGCTACCACCTAAAATTCTCATCAAAACAAACAAAATTTAGACACTTTTCACCAAATCCATACACGTATATAAGATTGTAAAAGGACCTGATTAAGGCTTGTGAGGAAGCCTTTGTAAACTCTTCCGAAACCTCCTTCTCCAATCATACAATCCATGCTGAAATTGTCTGTTGCAGCTATCATTTCCTTGAATTTGAAGATTCTTCCACAGTTCTTCACGTTACCATATTTCTTTATCTCATCCGTTATGTACTTCTGCCTGCAGCTACCTACATTTTACCAATGTTCATGAACATTTTCATAAACCAAATGATGTTAAAATCTTGACCAAGATTGATTTGGATGAGGAAGAGATACCTTTTCGACGTGAGCGAAAGGTGAACAGAGCAAAAAGTTTCCGGCTATGGCCTCTATAAGCTGTAAGACCTTCATCAAATGAGTCTCTAGGAGAATTAGGTCCTCCAAGTTGTTGTGGATTGACGAAACAAGGACAAAGCCTCATCATTTTTTTCTTTTTCTTGTATCTTCTTCTTTTTTTTTCCTTTTTTTGTGTTCTTGAATCTTGAGAACAAACAATTTCTTCTCAATGAAAAACCCCCCAAGGAAAGATTCGATCTTTGTCGTCTTTTGATCGATCCTTTCAGATCCAAACCCTGTCTGGGCAAAATGAATCCGAAAGAAAGATCAGATCTTTCCCAGGAAAATGTAGCATTGTTGGAGGATCACAAAGTTTTGCTGTCTCTTGTTATATATGATTGTTCCCATCTTTGGCTTCTCTCTAATTTGGATAAAAGGATTGATTTTTCTTATTTTTAGTCTTATCTTGTCTGTTCATTTACTTGGAACAAGCCAACGCGTCTGCCTTCTCTAACAAACCTCAAAACAACGTAGTTCGTGCTAAGCATGTAAACATTAAACTTATCTACATATACACACATAGTCATCATCATCAAACTGTATAATATAAAACAATACGATTGATTTGTTGACCATTAAGCTAAAAATTGCTCCAACGCATAAAAAAACTTCAAGATCGCAACTTTTTCTTGATTATGGCTGAAAAAATTCTAACTTGAAACAGAGAGCTATAAAAAATCTTAGATTTATTGAGGCAATGCAGCTTCAACTTCATTCCACAACTCAACATTTCTACTGAACTTCTCTTTAACCTGCTTGATAAGCTCTTTAGCTTCTTCAACCTTGGAAGCTTTAGCTAATCCATTCACAAGAGACTTCATGATCCCAAAACTCGGAACCCAATTCTTCTCCATACTCTCTTTACAAACACTCAACGCCGTCTCAAAGTCTCCACCTTTACACAAGTAATAGATCAGAGTGAAGTAACACTCACTATCAGGCTTACATCCTCTGCTCACCATATCCTCAAACAGCTTCTTCCCTTCATCGAAATCACCTTCGTTGCAAAACCCATGAATCAAATGCGTGTACGTCACCGAGTTCGGCTTCATCCCTGAAGATAACATCCCATCAAGCAAGGCTTTCGCTTCTGCGGACTTCTTCTTCTTGCAAAGACTCTGAATCCGAATGTTGTGAGTCGAAACGCCGACGCTCACGCCGCGAGCTTTCATCATCGCTAAGACTTTCCCTACTTCTTCCCCCTTGTCTTCTCCGTAAAACCCAGCGATCATTTGACCGAAGGTGAGACTCGTCGGCTTGATCCCTTTCCTCTCCATCTCCGCGACGATGGAGAAGGACGAGCTCGAGGAGCGTGACTCGCAGAAGACTTTGATCATACGGTTGTAAGTTTCGAGATCGGGCTCGATTTTGTACATCTTAGGGAGATCGATGTAGACTCGTTTCGCTTCCTTGTAATCTTTAGCTACCAGGCAAGCGAAGAGGAGAGCGTTTAAGGATTTTACCGTACGAGGGATCTCGAATTTCTCGAGCTCGGTGAAGATCCGTAGCGAGTGGTCGAGCATGTTCGCCTGAGCGTAGAGGACGATTGCGTGAGCTGCGAATCGCTCCGATCTGAGATCGGGTCGGTTTGAGATGAATCCATCGAGGAGGGAAGTGACGGCGGCGAAGTGTTTCTTCTCGGCGAGATTCTCGACGGCGGCGGAGAAAGCGAGCCGGTCGATGTGGGAATCGGGGGTGAGGGAGGCGGCGCGGCAGATTTCTAGGATCCGATCTGGATCTGTCTCGGTTTTGAGGAGGGAGAGAGCGGCTTTGCTCTTTTGCTTGCTGGTGAGTGGGGTTTTGGAGTCCGGCGAGAGGATCGATGAAGCGGAGGCGAGAGAGCGGATTTGAGGCGATGGGTTGAGGTGGCGGAAGAGAGTCGTTGATGATGAGCGGATTCGAGAGAGCAACGCCATTGGAATTGATCGAGCTTAAAGGGGTTTTGTGATGTTGCAGAAGAAATGGAGAAGAAGAGTGAAAATGATTGCGACGACGGAGAAGAGTTTTAGGGATTTAGGGTTTAGGTAGAGAATTAGGATTTTTTTTTTCTAAGTTGTTGGAATAATCACAGCCGTTGAAGAGTTTATCTGATCTCAAAAGTCGTCTTTATGGACGGTTGTGATGAGTTTTGCTAGAAAAATTAAAATTAAAAAGTTAGGATCATTTTAAACCGGGGTTTTGAACCCGACGTGAATCGAACACGCAACCTTCTGATCTGGAGTCAGACGCGCTACCATTGCGCCACGGATCCGATGTTAATACTGTACAAAAGGTTTTATATAGCTTAAATTTGGTAAATAATATTGAAGTTCAAATTTAACATCTTTCAGTAACTAATATTGAAGTTGGTAGATAATTTTCTTTTTCTTTCAAAAGGAAAAATAAAAGACATATGGATATACAACATTTCTAATTTCCTATGTTGCCAAAACATTAACAATAATAAGTTACAAAAGGAACAAAAACTATGTCTTACAATAGAATGTTCAGCAAACATTCAACTAGTATTGGCATGATCAAGCATAGGCAAACTATAGATATCAAGATCTTAATAATATTAATTTATAGAGAATTTCTTATTATATACATGTACTATAAATAAGAAGATAGTATTAGAATACGTACAAACCTAAGAAAATACACTTAAGCTCATTAGTGATTAGTCCATGTATGACTATGAAAGCGTTGTGTCTACACAGACAAATTTTGATTAAGGGCTTTTTTAGATCTTCTTGAGAAACTCAATGATGTGAATACCGAAAGCATTGCAAACAACTTTGATGCCATGAAAGCCAGACCCTTTAGCCAATGCCTCGAACTCTTTTTCAGTTCGCTCTATGCCTCCACGACTATGAGCCAACATAATACAATCTACTTGTAATGCATGTTTGGTCATAAGGCTCGAGTCTATAGTCTCTGGAAGTACACACTCAGCTACTATCACTTTTCCATTCTCTGGAAGCTCCTCATAGCAATTCTTCAAGAGTTTAATACATTGTTCATTGCTCCTAGCGTGGCATATCCACTATTGCAACAACGGAGAAAATGCTCAGTCTCGATTTTGGGCTTCAAAACCTAGTTAAATATTTACTAACCTTCATGATCATGGCGTCACCTTTGGGGACACTTACAAACATATCTCCACCAACATGCTCAATACCTACATTTTTAAGCAAAAGACAAAACGATAATGAAATCTTAAGCAATTATTAATAATAAAAGTGGATTTTGTGAAATGCCAGGAAAATATAATTAATATACCGGGATGAGGAGGAGCATCTTTGATGACATGGGGGAGATCAAAGTTGATGCATTTAAGGTTTGGGTACTTGGAGATGATCATTTTGAGAGTAGAACCATTGCCACCACCAACATCAACTAGAGAAGTCAAGCCATCGAAACCCTTATAGGTCTCGAGAATCTTCTTCATGGCGATTGTGGAATGGTTGGACATTCCATCGTTGACGACCTTTTTGAATCTAGTGTCGGTTTTTTGGTACTCTAACACGCTCATGCCATAAGCCTTGTTAAATGGACTACCACCAAGAAGAATTGCATCTTTCAAATGGTACCTACAACAAGTCTCTTTGGCATAAGTTTGATAAAACACATACACACACACACACTCCTTAAGCTTTAATCAAACCCTTCTACTTTGTAAACTTCAAATTAAAGTTCTCTATTGTTACATTTCTTGCTTGTTACTCAATAATCGTATAAGACTCAAGAATATCAATATCATGATCTGTTCAGATAGCAATGCATTCTTATAAATACTTTTGTAAAGTCTATTGAGAGATTAAATAAGCCAGGAACAAAAAAAAATACATAATTAACCCTATAGTTTTTTTATTTGATAAAGCATGGGTAGTATACGTGTCAAATATACTTGATGTTAGGTTATTAGTTTTTGTCTGATTGCCTTTGCAATATTGTATTTTACGTAAACGACATCATCGAAAACTAAAACTTATATTTTATTTTCTGACTTTATTTCGCATAAAATCTATTAAGATTTTTTTTTTTTTTTTTTTTTTTTGCAAACAATCAGAACTTTTCTTACCAGCTTTCAATGAAGACCTTATCTTGGTTCATGAGACAGAGAGCAGCAATCGAGACGCCATCTTCGTTCTTTGTCAAGTATTTGCAAACCGGACCGAGCCCGTAAAGCCGCTCCACGCCGTCACCAACGGGAAGTGTACGGACGGAGCAAGTGAGGATAGCGTAAGCCGCAAGAAGCCGGAGGATACGGTCGAGCATAACCGGAGCTTCCGGGTTTGTGGTCGGAAGATGGGAAGCGATCTCAGCCGGAGACATATGAGAAGCGTTGTTCTTGGACATGATCTCGAGAAGGTCGAGCTCTAAAGCTGATTGTAAAGCCATAGGAAGAACGGAGGAGCTGGCTAGCTGCATGGCGAAGAGGCTAGTTTCTTCGTCGGTGACTTGCATCGGAGCTATTGCGTCTCTCCAAGAGTTTTAAATTTTTTACAAAATGAAAACAAATTGGGTTTCTCAGTACTGAGGTTTGTGTTTTGTCAAAGTTTATATATTGTAATATTTCTTCAACTGGCCCACTGAGCCCATTTTATGATTTTATCTCACTGTGACAAGTTGTCAAGGTTTATATATTGAAATAGTAGTTGGAACTCTCATAATGCTGAAGAAACCAGCTTATATCAATTGACCAAAGTGAAAAGTTAGAGATAGTTTCATTTATGTTTACAGTTTAATATTATTACTGTCTCTCCCTTCATATTTAATTCCCTCTAACTTTTACAAGTCACAATAAAAATGAGAAGAAACAAAACAAGTTTTCCTCGCTCTCGCTGAGATTAATTATTTTTGTTTTGTTGCAACACGTTTTCCTCCTTAGTTGAAAAAGTTGGATTATAAATTCTGTTTCACATGATGTATGTGAAACCCTTCTTAATTGAATGTGAGAAAAACTCTTTGACAAAAAGGGGTTGTTCCAACAGACCAACACTATCCGTATGTTCAATACTACTAGACATAATAGGCAAGGAGAAGCACATAAATCATTCTGATGATTGATGATGCAGGTTGGAATCATTTATTTTAGTTCATTGACTGGACCATCTTTTTTCATGTGTCAGGAAAGATTGGACCATCTTCTTCTATTGGTCCTAACTCCTAAGTCCTAATAATAACACCTTTGTCCAATTGATCAAAAAATTAAAATTAATTTACATAAAAATTCACTCTTAAAGTTAAAACGGTGAAGATAATTCAATAGGGAAAAAAAGAAAGTGAAGAATGGATGTTAGTATTTTTTTTATTCATTTTCTTATAAACTAAATTGTATTAAATGTGTTAAATTTTAAACATATAAGTAATAATTGTTTTTCAAAATATATATATATATATATATAATTTAAACTATGTTATATTTTCGTTATTAATTCTGTTAAATTTTTTGATGGAGCGAATTTGAAATCTAGTTTGAATTTTTTTTTTTAATCTTAAGTATTTTAAGTTTTTAAGTTGTTTTTCTAACCCTATTATGGGAGTGAATTCTTTGTAAGTTTAAATATAAGTGGAAACTAGTTTGAAGGGTCTTTAAATGTAGTTTTCTCTTTATATAGAATATAGTACTGTCAAGTGTCAAGTATGAATATATTTGTAATTAAAACAAAATCTCACTCTCTTTAATAAAAAAAAAAATATTCACTCTTACATTAAAATACTGGATACAGCTTTGCTTTCTTTGGGTCTCCCAACCATATACTAGAAACATATACTGTTGAAAAAATGAAAAAAAAACTTTGCTTTCATATCTAAATCCGCAAATTTGCTTTAAACAATAAACAATTCATTTTTTTCCCTTCTAACACCCACAAGCCCACAACACTCAAAAAAACTCAAACCTTTCTAGCCATTTAATCAACAAAACAACATACATTTCTCGATTGAAAAATTATTGTTTTTGCCAATTGAATATGCATCTTTCATGTGATCCTCTACCAATTTCGGGAACACATAAAAATTTTGATTTCAATTTGACCTCAAAAGTTCCCAAAACTAAAAATATTAATCTTGTGTCTTCATTTTTTTACTCCTTCAGAAGTGGCTCACGGCTCTCTTCCCACTGGTCCAATCGGTTCGAAGCTTTTTCCACCTAAATTTCCAAATCAAATTAATTTAATCACCATATCTAGACAAAATCGTACCAATATTTTTTTCATTGTAAACACCAAAGTGTATATTTTAATTACCTCTTTATCCCAATCAGTTCTAATCGTGACAACCACTAAGATTATCGTTTGCATTAAAGTGCCACCTATCATCCCTGTCCATATCCCCTGCACCATATCATACATATATACATTTATTATTACAGCTATTACGATAATTTTTATGTGTACATTCATTATTAAATGCGATTTATTATTATTTACCTTTGCTCCCATATCATACGTGAAACCAAGTAAGAATCCAATCGGAATCCCCACAACGTAGTAACATCCAATGTTAACGTACGCCACAAATGCTTGCCATCCACATCCAACAGCCACACCTAAACACATAAATATACAATTAAAAATATTAATCAACCGATTTTATGATGTAAAAAAAAAAATTGAAGTAAATATGGGATTCTTTTTTTACCGGACAAAACAGGCTGGATTCCATTGAGAACGACAGTGACGGCTAAGAAGGGAGATAGATCCGCAACGGCCTCAGCCACCGCAGGACTATCGGTGAACGCGTAGCTGATTACATGACGCCACGATAAAATCACGATGGCTTCGAAAACCGCTATTAAGAATGATACTCCCGTCGTCACTAAAAAAAAAAATTGAAGTAAATATGGGATTCTTTTTTTACCGGACAAAACAGGCTGGATTCCATTGAGAACGACAGTGACGGCTAAGAAGGGAGATAGATCCGCAACGGCCTCAGCCACCGCAGGACTATCGGTGAACGCGTAGCTGATTACATGACGCCACGATAAAATCACGATGGCTTCGAAAACCGCTATTAAGAATGATACTCCCGTCGTCACAAACGTCGAAAACGCAGCCGCCTTCGGGTTTCCGTTGAGTAACGTCGAGAATTAATGGTTTGTGCATGTACAGAAGTGCATGCCGTTTTTATCACAAACAACACGCAGTTTAGAACAAAAAAACATTTAGAAAACGACAAGAGTGAAGACAGGGAAACAAAAAAAAACGAAGAGCTTTTGTACTGAACAAAGACCATGACGTGACAAAGCTGACTGACTAGGTGCTGACGAGTCGTCTTTTTCTGACTCTTCTTAAACTAAATAAATCACAAACCACCTTTACATTTAATTAATTAATTTAACCTTTTCAATAATTACATTTGTCCCACCTAAACAAGACAAATTATTTGTCACATCTCCATCCTCAGATTAATTGTAACATAGAAATATAAAAAAAATAAAAAATAGTTTCACGACAAAATTACAGCTAATCTTCATGAAAATTTAACAATTTTACTAGATTCTCTCTTTTTGCAATAATTACTTAATACGACAATTTGTTTGTCCTATATGTTCAGTCAAATTTTTTTTGTAAATGCTAATTTTTTTCAATTAATTTACTTAGGTAATTTATGTATTTTCGTTTACGTCTCAAAAGGTAAGAAATCTACTGAGAGTCAAAAGTTTTCAGAATATAAACCGAAAAATATATAGTTTTAACGACAAAATTACAGCTAATCTTCATGAAAATTTAACAATTTCACTAGATTCTCTCTTTTTGCAATAATTACTTAATACGACAAATTGTTTGTCCTATGTTCAGTCAAATTCATTAATTTACTTAAGGTAATTTATGTATTTTCACTACGTCTCAAAAGGTAAGAAATCTACTGAGAGTCAAAGTTTTTTCGAAAAGTTACCATATCGCCAGAGAATCCAAAGCAATCTCAGGGTGAGGGAGAAGTCCGGCGAGCAAAACCAGAATCTGAGAGTACCACGACTCAAGGCAGAGCATGACGGCGGAAGCCGCCGATAATCTGAAGAAATCCCAAAGACCTTCGAAAGCTTTCCAGCTAAACCCGTCCCAGCTCCGGCGACACCTCGGGCTCATCTTAATGTAAACAATCTGAGCGGAGACGATGATCCACCACGACAAACTATGGATCAGAGACAACGCCAACAATCCATAACCCAATCGGTAAACGGCGATCCACGAGAGGATCAAGTGGATGACGAGCGTCGCGGCGGCGATGTAAGCGCTCGGCGTCACGATGCTCTGCGATTGGAGGAATTTCTGGATCGGGAAATTGACCGCGTAGGCGAATATCACCGGGATCATCCCGTAGACGAAAACGGAAGCCATCGACGCGACTTCCTCCGGCTCGCCGAGCGAGTTTAAGATCGGATTCGAGAAGACGAAGAGAAGCGACATCGGAAAACAGGTTATCACCAGAACCACCGTCGATCTCTGGAGGTAAACCCCGAGCATCTCGTAACGATGCGCTCCATGCGCTTGCCCACACAACGTCTCCACCGCACTTCCCATTCCGAGCTACATCACCGGAAAATCGATTAGATTCAACAGATCGGAAAAATCAACGGTTAGATTTATTTTATTTTTTTGGTTCAAAATCAACGGTTAGATTTGAATTTGGATTTTTTTTTTACCAGAAGGCCGTAAGTGAACATGTTGAATCCGCTGTTACCGAGCGAGACGGCGGCGAGTTGTAAGCTGCCGACGTGTCCGGCGAAGATGCGGGTGGAGATCGACATTGCGTTGTTGATGACGTAGACGAAGATCGCCGGAGCGGCGAGGTAGAAGAGAAACTTCATCTCTAGCGTCATCGCGAGGTAGATTTTTTTGAAGTACGGCAGTTCTCGGTCGGTCAACACAGTCTCGAGACGGTAATCGACGAACGATTTCGACGATTCGATCAACGGACGGTGGAGATTCTCCAGCGACTCCGAATTCATTTTCTCTTCTCCGAGAAAATCGAGGAAATTTTTATTTGATTGTGTGTCTCTCTCTCTCTACCACTCTGTTTTTTTCTCTCTTCTCTGTGTGTGTCTGTGTAATTCTGCAAGTTCGAGAGAAGTTATATAATACAAATTTTGCCGTGTAGGCTGACGGAAATAATAATATTTTAATTATTAATTGACTACATGGAGTTTTTGGTTTTTTGTTAAATTTAAAACTGAGAAAATGAAGAAACGAGGAAAGGCTTGTGTTACCTTTTGAGCCATTTTTTATTTTTTTTGGTTCGTCGTATTATAGATTTGGAAAAAAAGGCCATAATCACACATGAAATGTGTGTCCAGCTAGAACGAAGTGAATATGTAATAGGCAATTAAGCTGTGTTTACAGCATTAGTTTTTGTCAAGTTGTTGCTAAAAAGATTTTTTTGTTTACCATTCCAATTTAAGAAGTTATTACTGTATTAGTTTTTAAAAAAAAATTATTACTATAATACTTTTCTAAATCATAAATAATATACCAACTATTTTTGCCATGAATAGTAAAATATCTTTGAAGATTTGTTAGTATATTAATATTTTTAATTTGAGTGACACCAAATTTTGATTTTAATTTTAATTTCTTGATTAAATAATAAATTACTTCCTGTAAAACAAACAGACTAAGACATTAATTCAACCAAAAAAGGCTAAAATCTTTAAAGGGAGTAATGTGATAATTTCCAAATCAATTCAAATCTATGAGGAATCAATAACTCTTACGTAATGGAACTTCCAAATCAATTCAAATAATAATTAAAATTTACAAGTCTCTCTCTCAAACTAATCAGTTTTTTATAACTTAAAATTAATCAGGTTGACAATTCTGTACAGATTTAATAACTCTTACTCTTTAAGTTAGATATTAAAATGAAAAATGGACATAAAGGAAATTCGAAGTGTATACAGTATACCTTATTTGACTAACAATGCCAGTTGGTAAAATTTGCAGGGAGAAAATATATATGTGTAGTTTAGTTTAGTTTTTATTTAACATATTCAAAGTTATTGTTGAATCTGAGATAGCACTCGTGAAGACGGGCTATCAAAGATGTGAGTTTAAGAAACTGGAATGCTTAATTCAACTCAAAGAATATCAAGGAAGTTACAAAGAGGTTATCTCACTTAACAAGCCTAGCGAGATAATAGTAATGAACAAGAAGAAAGAGTAAAAGCGGATGTAAGAGCCTAGTGATTCTAGATGATTTCGGATGCCTTTTTCCCAATGGGGGGTCTTCAATATATAGTATCGATAACTCGGCCGAACGATGAATATTCTCCTTCAGGCGAGATGGAAAACTTCCTCTTTTGCGATATGGAAAACTTCCTCTTGTTCTTGATCTCCTTCCATTCTTTAAGGCGGCATGAAGATTTATTTACATTTCTCCATGAATTGTGTCTTCCTTCTCAAATCTTGCCTTTTTCTTGAGGTAGTTAGGCCTAAAATCAGATTAGGCTTTGTGACTTTATTAATGATGACGGACTCAGGGAAATGTACTAATTCCTCCTCTAACAATTATTGTTTTATTCAGAAAAATGGAGTTGAAATATGGATCGAGCGCTGATGAACAGATGGAATAACACCAAAGAAGAAACCGTTTGCGTTCCATGGAACACATGTAATGCTTTTTAAAGACTTTCTGACAGTTAAGTCAGAGACATTCCGAAAAATGGTAGAAAGTGTAGCAAATCCCTCAGAACATTTCGAAAAAAAAAGGATATAGATCAATGATAAAATAACATTTCATTTGTATTTATAAGAGTGAATACGTTGGCGCAACGATGTCTGTTAGTGAGAAAAATTATGTAGTTTATCGGATGTTACTTTGACATGTTACAAGCCGTGATATGTTAATTCCAAATGGCTAGCATTTCTTTCCTAGCCGTGACATTGGTACTTGTTACTTTGTTGGTAACAAAATTTGTTTTCACATCGATATATTATTTTATTTTTTAGAAGATAACAGAAATCCCTACATAGTTATGTGTCACCATCCAAATTGATACTACAACTATCATGTTTAAACTTTAAGAAAACTACAAGTTTCAGAAATTTTTGAATAATAAATTACAGAAAATTTGAGTACAGTAAACGTTGTTAGAGCATCTCCTCTAACGAGGGTTTCTCATGATTATAAACAAGAAAGAAAATGAAAAACCCATGAGAGCTTTTCATTTGATATTTACTTTTGTTTTTAAAAAGTTATATTTCATTTACATAACTAGATTATAATAAATTTTAATTACATAAATTTATTGTTTGAGAAACTCTTCTAAGCTAAGGTTCTCACCACTAGAGATGCTCTTATAACCTCAATTTAGTTTTTAGTGATATCACACAATTAACATCGATGAATCCAAAGTGTATATATCACTCAAAGATCAATACGGAATTGAAGCAGATATCACATCCACAATAGTCTAGAATGAACTATACAGAGCTCACCTACCAACAACCGGAAGATATGCATGAACATGACAAGCCGATTCATTTCTGACGATATTTATGTAGATGTACATCGTGAGTCATAAATTTGCAAAGTACGAGTTAGACACGACAGTAGAGTAATTTTGTAAAGCATAACTTAAAATAAAATCATAGTATAGAGAGTAGGTTGATTGATTAATCATGTGTTTTCGTCGTTTGATCCCATATGCATGCAGCATGCATCTGTGATACAAAATGCTTTCGCGTAATCGTACATGATCTGGTATGATGTTTGACATCCAAACTTGGATTTATGTATTAATATTTTTAACACACTCAAAGAGGTATATGGAAAGAAAGAAAATAAGGTGGTGTATATGAAAAACTACCACCATAACAGTAGTATTTTGTAGAATCTTTTTCTGAACAAGTTAAAAGTTATAAAATATAGAATTCCTTGTTTTAAGAGAAGGAAATCACTATAGCTATTTATATAATTATCACCTTGAACATAATTTAGCTTTTGACTACTAATGGACTTTCCGGAACAAACTTTTGCTTTTCTAAAGCAAAAATCTTAGCCATGTGTAAAAAACTCAATTCTTTTCATCTATATGAAAACGTTACCAAATACCAATATAGGTGTCACAATTTCTTTACTTTCGCGTTAACAAATACATGTTCCTTAATCAATTTTTTTTTAAATATTCTCTTTTACAATAATAATAATGCATTGGATAGTATATGCAAAAATACAAGTATTTAATTTTAATATCTATTAAAAATATAAAACTAGAAAATACATTGTTTAAATAATCAAACTAAAAATCTGTGTATATCATATACTGATATTCTGATCCTAATACAGTATTACAAATAAACTACTAATATTGCATCTGATAATTTTGCAGTATTCTTTCGACAGAGCAGACCAGACCAGTCAGTAGAAGATCCAATATAAACTAGTTTCAGTTGCGACTTACACTGTAGAGCTTGCCAGTACTATCATGTGGTGGCTTGTTCAGTTCACTTGTACTGTTATCGCGCTGATCCTTATATTAGCATTTATTTCACAAATAAACCCCAATGGTTATAATAAAGTCACATAAGAACCTGTGTTTTTTTATCTAACAATTATACAGTTTGTTATCAATTTATACACTTTTTTCTTTTCAAACTGGCCTACAAAACTCAATTTATACACCTTGATTCTCTAGTCTGTTTGATAAGTTAAAGAATTGAATCTAGAATCTCTGCGAATTTACGCCCTAGGTCCTTAGATTGGCAATCTTCGTACTATCACACACATGTTTAATTAGGAAAATTATTGGTAGTATTTTAAGATAGAGGAAAATTATGGTTGGAACAATTTGCATGGTCAATCAGCAGCCAACTTTCATTTCTATTCAACCCATATTTATTAAAGAAAAGAATAAAGTAGCTAATATAACAGATCAGAAAATGACATGTAACATGGGGGTGTACGAGTATAATTATGGCCTCGTGATTGCTCTGGTTGATCTCCTAATAGAAATCATACTATTAGTATCCACTTCTTTTTGAAGAAGATCCTAATTTAATTATTTAATTATATATTATAAAGTTTGAGGACTATGCATGCATTCGAGAACTTGTAAGACGTCGATCGAAATCATAGGCCGGTCGCATTTATGCTTATTACGTCAGTGCGACAATATATTAGCTAGTGAGTCACTCACTCCACTAGTATTTAACATGATCATGACATAATATGTAAAATGTTATAAGCAAAACCAACCATCTAATCGCTTGCCGTAAACAACGACATTTTGATATTTCATTTTCAAACATTTCTGTCAATAATTAATGGAGTACGAGAAGTTGTTTTTGTTAAAAGAGTAGAAGTTATTCAGCAGGTAATTCTAATCCCTACATAAAATTTAATTTTGCGAGTAAGTAGTAATTAACAGGACACTACACGAGTGACCATTTATAGAATGTTCAACTGCATCTGACCTTATTATTATTGTGGTGCTTTGAATTTATTGAGCACCAATAAGTTTTCGTTTATCTTCGTCTCAGCAATGACTAATTTCATTGGGCCAAAGAAAGTGACGTATCCAAACAATAATTTTGCTAATTTTTAGTCTACTACTTTCTCTGTTTAAGATTGATTTTCTGAACAAGGTGTTGCATCTTTTTATTAATTGATGTTAATAAACTGTAAGCTTCAAAATATATACGTAGATATTTGAATAAACTATTGTTTCATAGTTGAAAAAAAAATTTAAGTAAGATAAATGTATCTACAACTAGACATTAAGTACTTTTAATTTGTATGAAAACTTTAAGAAATCATTTTTTAGAAACACATTTATTTCTTTTGTGTGAAACTTATACGTAGGAACCATCACTAAAATAATTCGATTAAGTTACGAAGAATTAAACTAGTACTAAATGAGTACAGTATATGTTTCTTTATCAACAATTACAAAAACAAGAAAATTGATAAGACAGTGGTGTTTCAGCTAAAAACACAAGTTCCGTCCATTAA